CGGCTATAACAGACCCTCCTATCGTCCTAGCATACCTAGACGACGTCTACATCATCTTAGGGCAACAGATCACCCTACAACAACTAGAAGGCTACCTAGAAGACGCCCCTATCGCCCTAAACATAGATAAGACAAAGACACACCCCCTATCGGCAATACAGACCACGGGAATGAAGATACTTGGCTCCTTTATAGGGCTAGAGCCACGGAAGGCCGAATTCCTAGCTACAAGGACAGAAGAACTCCAGACGGTGCTAGATAGGCTAAAAGACCTACCAAAACAACACGCACTCCTCCTACTTAGGGCTAGCACCTCTACACTACTCCGACACCTTCCTAGGACCATAGGATCACAAGGACTCCTGGCAAGATTCCAAGACATTGACACAAGACTCCTAGAAACCATAAAACACCTTCAAGGCTTAGAGGATAGAAGACCACTAGACCAGGACCTAGTAGCCCTCCCTACTAGGCTAGGAGGCCTAGGAATACCTCTCTACGCGGAAGTGGCCGAGCTAGCCTTCCAAAACTCACAGGCTATAGCAGACATCACCCTACAGAGGATCCTACCGCCAAAACTCTTCTGGCGCCTACCCCGAGCACCCTCGCCAGCCCCTAGCAACACTAGTATGGAAGGCCACCCCAGACTAGCTATAGGCCTACACAAGGCCAAGAAGGCAACCTACAAGAGGACGGCCTAGAAGGGGACATAGACAAGGCCACAGAAGAGGACACACAAGGTCTAGACGAACAAACCACTCTAGGAAGCCAGGAGCAAGAACAGGTACAAGAACAGGAACAGGATCACTCCCAGGACCGCGGTAGAAGCAGGAATAGAGCAAACCAACAACCACAACCAAGCCTATCCTACCTCCTAGCCCAGGACACCCAACAACAGCCTAGCTTTCCCTAGAACACCAACAACTAGACCCCACTAGTACTGGCCCTGCTAGAACCATCTACCGAGCTGCAATAGACAAGCTTAACAGAGCTCGACTAGCTAGAGTACAGCAGAAGCTCTCTTTACAGCAAGAGAACGTACGGATCGAGAACTCAGCCTTCCTAGGCCGGAGATGGCTATCCGCAATGCCTACCTCACAGCCCCTTCTACTCGGACATGGACGTAGCCGTAGCACTTTCTATTCGGCTTCTTACATCCCCTGAAGAAGGCTAGGACATCTGTAGACACTGTGATAGGGCCTATACCTTCGCCCACGAAGACGCCTGCCGTGCTAGGACTAGACAGACAATTGTCAAACATAATAAGGTGTGCCAGGCGTTAACTACGGCCCTACAGACCGACCCACAAAACAAAGTCACCCTAGAGCCACAAGGAGACTACCGAGGAATCCGGACAGACATTAGAATCGACAACCCTAAGGGAACCACCTACCTAGATGTGTCCATCATTTCCCTAGGTAAGGAAACCGCTAGGAAGGACCCTAATAGCACCCTATCGGCCGCGGAAAGGGCTAAGAAGCTCAAATACCAAACCCTAGGCCGAGCTTTTAAGCCGTTTATCCTTAGCTAAGGAGGCCTTCTAGGAAAGGAGACCTCACAAACCTACAAAGAATTCCAAAAGTCCCTTGGTCCTAGCACCTCGGAGTGGCTAGATAAGTATATCTCTACCACTCTAGTAAGACTCCGGGCTAGGAACTGGCTAGGATATGGTATAGACTAGATAGATTTCTTTTCTTTTCCTTTTTCTTTTGTTTCCTCTTCCTTTTTATCGTACCCTTTTTCTTTGTTTTTATATAGAAAAGTAGTTAGACGAGCAAGAATAGCTTATATAGAAGCGTATCGAAATGCTGCTAACCCTAACCCTAAAACCCTAGACTAGATAGATTTCTTTTCTTTTCCTTTTCTTTTGTTTCCTCTTCCTTTTATCAAACACCCTTTTTCTTTGTTTTTATATAGAAAAGTAGTTAGACGAGCAAGAATAGCTTATATAGAAGCGTATCGAAATGCTGCTAACCCTAAGTTACAAATCGGCTATCGTCGTCTTAGATGGTGTAGCGGTTTGCTACTCTCTCTTCTACTTTAGCTACTAACTTTACTTACATCGTTATATGGACTCTTTCCTTCTATGTGCTCTAGCTGTTCGATGGTAGCTAGATCGGATCTGCTAGTTTAACTACAAAATACACCTACCATCCTTACTATGCGAAAACGTTTAACATGCTTAACCCTCGTTCTATAACCGGTTAGGTAACTATGTAGTCTTTTTATATACATTGCCGCCGGGTTTCTGCTTATACTTCCATCCGTGCTTAGTCTTATAATGGTCCTATATCCCTAGAATTAAACGGCATATGTATCTACACTTGTTGCTAGTATTTTAGGTTAATACGTAACAATATCTATTACGGTATATAGAAAACCCTTTAACTAGCGGTAAATTCGGCTCTAGGTATATCACCTATTCTTTGTTCTATACGACACCGTCTATCTTTTTGGCGACATACCCTAGCTATGCCTTTTCGGCACTTCTAATTAACGGCCTTTAGGTGCTTGTCCCTTAAATGTCTATGTATGTTTGCTAGGCTAATTGCGTATTAGCACTAGATGCACTATATGATCTTATACTCTGCTTGTACGGTAAATAACTGTTAGAAACACTGCTCTGCTACGTTTTTGTCTATGCCTATGTCGTTGCTACTATAACTTTATTTCTATCTATATAGTTGTAATAGGTATTGCTAATAATGTGTTTAATGGCATAGCGCGTTGCGCGTAGAATGGGACGTGTTTAGTGGGCTTAGGCTAACTTAACCCTAGAACCTATAGGGTTAGGCTTATGCCCTACGGGCGTAACGCTGTCTTAACCTTGCTTGCTAGAAACATTACCATTAGGACCGGCTCTAGTATGCCATAAACATACTAATGTTCTACTTAACTCTAACGCCAAAATATTATTTAAAATTCTGTCTACAAACTGTAATTTTTAGGCTTATTTAATGCACTTTTCGTTAAAAACTGACCTGTAACTTTCAAATAAATTGACCTCTTGTGGATTTTTCTTGGCATGACTTTGTATAGGATTTTCAAATAAATAAGCCTTTTTATTTCTGGAATTATGGGTAGTACAAGAACCTCGAAGGTCTATAAGAATCGTCTTTAAGATTAAGAAACTCTTTATGAGTCAGACTCGCGTCTATGTACAAGTACGTTTAGAATTGCTTGCCTTAGACCAGCACAACGGTGGCTGACATAATTAAGCCCAGCACAGCAAGCCAGTGAGATATGCCATACATGCCTTGAGCCCCATTAGTCCCATCTTCCATTGTTTCAACACTCTTATCGTTCAAATCCAAGGGTCGTAAACAGACCAATTCAGTGCTCGACTTTTCGTTGTTTCCNTCAGCGAAGAAGATCGTCATGACCGGTGTGGTTCCCACGCCGCTCCTCACGGTGGTATCATTCTCAATCGAGGTATAGATACTAGCCGTCCATACCGGAATCAGCTGATTGGTCTTCGGTAACGTTGGCCAACAGTTCGATGTTTGGTTTTCAGCTGACGAGATGGGTTCCGGCGCTGAAGAACCTGTAAGTGGTACAGCTACGACCTTCGTACCAGATGCCAAAGAGCAAGAGGATGGAGGATCGTCTTGTAAGGTCCGGGCAATGGAGTTGCAGATTGAGGTATCCGAGGTGGCTAACTTGTTGGCTTGTGACTTGAGGTCCGAGATGCACTGATTACTGAACCCTGTACCATCACGGCTGGTACAGTCTGTGGATACAGAAGCCATGCGATCATAGAACAAAGGTCCATGGTCAGGTGTTGTGAAGAAGAAGGAACATGCTGATTGGCCCTGCGATTTGAGAGTATTGCTTGATTCGACACCTAGATAGAAGGCGCGATTGATGAGCGAATCATTCCCGGTCTTTGACTGATTGACTGCGATTGTCCATTCGACATTGGANCCTAGNAGAGATTGGATTGAACTGAGGCCGATGACAGGGTAGCTTGCACCTGCCACTGAGCAATTTGAGATTGCGGTGTTGTCGAGGACAGGACAATCAACACTGGCGCAAGACAATAGGTCAGATTGTGCTGATGTATATGTTGATTGGAGCAAAAGCGCGACAAGACTCGCTTTCGTACCAAGATTGTGAGAGAGAGGCATGATGTTGAGTGTAGGCGTTGATCTGAAGAGTATGAGAAAACAACGGGGTGTAGATTGGAAGTTCGTTGGTATTATTCTGGCAAAAGTGGTCACATCAGTGGGTTATTATAGTCAGCAGTGGCAAGATGAAGTTGGGAAGGTCGATCTACAGATGGCCATATCATCAAACAATAGCGTTCGGTGGAGGGGGTATGTTATTGCCGGTGTTTCCGTGTCCCGACATGCCAAGATTCTAGGCAAGAAGTCAAGATCAGGCACCGCGGAGATTTTGTAGGGGAAAGCTGTAGAATGATGGAAGAGGTATTCCCGGGGCGGGGTTGCCAATACATTCTGCCAAGAATGTGGTCATCAGGAGCCGACAACCATGTCCCGCTCCGCTTTTCCTAGGGCCGCTGCTCAATCTCCCAGGAGCCTCTCATCGTCATTGCATGGAATAAGACGACATGTCATCCTCCATTTTCCACTTCCATACAGACAACCTTTCGGGGATTGCTAGATTGACGAGGCCCCGACCTCTAGCTCGACACTTGTTCACGTCGTCTGAATCTCGAGCTTGCCGACTCGCTGCACTATTTACTACTCCAGTCTTTAACCTTCGAACATCGTCCGGCTCCACTACTTGATATGATTTTTCTTTCCTCGAAGGATTCCTTGGCTCTGGATCCATACCACGCAGCATCATGCAGCGTTCTGACTGTGTGGAGCGAACGCTATCCACCATCCTGGAAGCCTTCCTCGTTCTCAAAACAACAGAGACGGCTAGAGTAGCAGAGAAGGGTTATAAAGAAGCATCCTCTGCCCATCAATTCGACTCATACATACCCAAGCTCTCACTACTCTACTCATTGTCAATATCTATAATTTCTCTCCAACATGGCCACTGCCTTCGGTGTCTTCACCGGTATTCTTAGTACCATTAGCTTCCTTCAGAGCAACATTCCATCCAACGATGGTAGCTCGAGCAAGGTCCGCGTCTTCGTCGGCCTCGACGGAACTCAAGGACTCACCAATGCTGGAGGAGATGCACCAGACATCCGTCAATTCAACAACAACCCCGAGTTTCTCGGAGCCAACTACGACCCAGGTTACATCGGTAGCGGTACTTACAAGGATATCAGAATCTCGCAGAATAGACAGCAACCAGTCTACACTCTTCTGACTGCCAACAACGATGCCATCTGTATTGCATACATGACTACTGTAAGCCTCTGGCTTTGTTGAACATTTCTGACTTGCATCCATCCGCTGACCCATGGCACAGNNACCTGGCCTGATGGATCTCAGTACGCATTTGCCGGGAACTGGGGCCACACCTGTGGTCAAGACTGGTACTACTCTGGAGTTTACCAGGACAACAAGGAACTAGAATGCGTTTGGATCGATGGCAACGGTGAGACCCATCCTCCTCATAGCTTGTCCCCACTAACACGAACAGGCGACCGACCGGTCACGGCCTTCCACGTCAAGTGGCCCGAGTTCAACGAGAATGGCTATGCCACGACAGACAACAACAACATCCAGAGCAAGTACTGTGACTCTCCCAACGCCTTGAACTTCCAGTATGGCAACGACCCTGGCACCATTTACTACAAGAGAGATGCTGCTAGTTCAACTCGATCCTATCCTCCTCCTATCGGACAACTCCATCACAAAGCTCCCGTCGCCAGACGTTCCATCCTTGACAACCGTCTGGTCAAGACCAGCAGACTCAGTCAAAGTGCTCGCACGCTCTGCGAAAGCGAGACCTCCTCGGGTCCGGATTTTGTCAATCTGGCCGAGGGTTTGTACTGTAACATGCGANAGAAAGAGCTCATGCCGACTTGTACCGGAATACTCGGCGAGACCTGTTTCGATGTCGAGAGACTGGCCATGAAGGTTGATGGCATCATCGGTGGCTTGCTCGACTTTGTTAAGATCATCGACTGGGGCAATGGAACTGATCTGGCCGATACTGCTGACAAAGCTTTCGATATTGATTTGCTCTAGGGCCTCTGATGTGACTTATGCAAGACTTGTATCATCGTCAGGAGAACGGGTCGTCTTTTCGAGTATCATGGAAATATAGTTTGCCCCCATCCTAACTGGTCACTCGATAAAACCTAGACAGAAGAAAAAGCATTTATTGTTAACAGCTTAACGAAGCAAAATTGAGGTCCAGCAGATGATAGCCAGTGGATTTGATCATATGACTGCGCACGCGACAGTACTATGGGGGAATGATCTCAGTGTTGTGCCGGCTTTACTAGTGAACAGAATCCGTGTTCATGCTCGATTCTCGGCGTTGTAGACAGGTCTCGAGGACGCCTTGTCATGCATAGGGTTCTCTTTCTTGGTTCTGTACTGTCAGTCGAGGATCTTCCTGGATACGCGAGGCAGAGGAGAGTGATTGATGAGTCCTAACAGGCTAGAAGATGTCTCGTTCTTTGCCGCAAGATTTCCCGTTTGCAATTGTATAGCGTCGTCGCAACTGGGAATCATGACTTTGCCGACTTTGGACCAACCGGCCGGGTGTGAAGTAGGTCATAGTATTCCTACGAAGATCAAGTACGAGTAGGTCTAGAGAATGATGCCTCGGATGTTGGGTCATGTTATATGTATGGCTTATCTCCATTGACCCCGGGCGTCGAGTCGCGTAGTAATAAAGTCCTTTAAGAACCATCGATTTGCGTTTAAGTGAGCAATAGTAAGGCCGAAGTACCCTTCGCCAATAGGTACAACTCGATGTAATGAACATATGCCATGACTATTAGACTTGCAACAACGCTTACAAACCGCATCGTCGACCATCGTTCTGTCCTTGCTGCAACAAGAAAAGCTATGGCTGCATCAAACTGTAGGACACCTATTAACATAAGCGTGCGGCTGTTACGCCAATCTTGATCCTTGACTTTAAGGCTCATCAAAAATGGCGAGAACTGAAACAGCCAGAGAGCCACAAGGCAGCCAAACTGTAGAAAAGTCTGGATAGCTGCTTCGAATTCGAGATTCCTCTAGGGATCGATNTTAGGAGGCGTTGGCGAAATGAAGAGCGCAAGGCCAATTATGACCAAAATGCCGAACCACGACTAGAGTGCAGCTTCTAGTGAATCATCGCATATAGCGAAGCAGGCCAAGCTGTAGGAGATGGCAAAGAACAAAGGACTAGTAATCTTCCGACGGACACGATCGGTTTTAGTAGCTGTTAGTTGCTACGAGCGCAGTGGATAGATTTTTGTAAACAACTAGCAAACTAGATACAAAGTAACAAAGGCCTTTATCTAATACACGTCCTTAAGAGTAGATATCTTATAGGCGTGCTAAAGACTTAGTATGTTTATAGCAAGTCGTAGTAGTAGATAATTNTTATAGAGTAGAAGNATAATGCCGCTATATTTATTACCGCCATTATATAATAAGAAGTGCGCGATATCGACGATTCTAGTCGTTAGGTCGTATAGACACTTAAAAGGCGATATCCGATAGAGAGCTAGCTCGCCCTAGGAGCTAGGGTCGAGTATCGCATTTAATGCTTAGACTATTAACCTAAGAAATGTTAAAGTACCTTCTAGCGTAATGGCATCTAGGTCCGGCATATAGAAGCGGTTAATTATTGTCCTACTATAGGATATAGGGAGGTAAGCGNNCGTAGAGCTATTAATAGATTTTACTTTAGATTTTCGGAAATAACTCGGTATCTTAGACTATAGCTAGTACGGTACTAGTCTTGAGTACATTCTACCTAGGTTAGAACCATTTGCCCTACCTATTATACTACTAGACCGTAACAACTCTAAAATCCCTTTTAAACGCTCTTAATACTCTTTTATTATTATGCTACTACTAAGTTTCTCTAGCTATAGTGCATTCTTCTAAACTAGAATATCTTTTATTATATACCTATATACTTCTAAAGTATAATAGTTAGTAAAGCAAATATAGTATTACTATAGGGTAGTACTTCCTAGCTTAAGCTTAAAAGGTACTATATAAACTTTAAAGCTTTATTCTAATACTAGTATATTTATAGTTAAGTAGGCGCCTAAGCTATTATTAGCTAAGCTACCGGTAGTTAGGTTATTAGTAGCTAAGTTATTAGTAGTTAAGTTTCTAGCTATAGTATGCTACTTAGAAGTACTAGAGTATATTAGTAGCTTATACTTAACATAATTATAACTACTAATTACTACTAGCTTACGCTACTTCTAAGGTACTTAAGCCCTTAATTAGCTCTAGTAGCTCTATACGCTACTACTAGTATAAGTACTTAAGCTTATTATTACTATTATTGTTACTACTATTACTAATTACTACGTATATAGTAGCTATACTAGCTACTAAGAAGCTTTACTATTACTTCCTATTTATACTAAACGTTACTATTATTATATATAAGCCTTTCTAACGTTGCTACTACTAGATCTATCGCGCGCCTCTACTATATAGCTAGTTTAACTAGACGCTTAATAGCTAGTATATTAATAAATTTAAGTACTTTTATTACTTTAGTAAGAAAGAGGTAGTTAATCTTATAGAGCTACTTAAGCTTAATACCCTTAAATTTAGTAATCAACTAAAGCCTTCTTTACTATACTTCGCGCTAGTAGTTATCTACGTAAGGCTTTTACTATCTAACTAACTAGGTAGTCCTTTATAACTACTTTAGCTACTACTATAGCTATTTAAGTATAATATTTACTAATACTATTAAGTTCCTTAATAGGAAGTACTTATAACTACTTAACTAGCACTCTTAGCTAAAGCTTCTATAAATTGATACTTTACTAAGTATATACGTTGCTAAGAGGGTAGAATTAGTATATAGGACTTTATTAATAGTACTTTCTAAGGCTTTAAACGACTAACTTAGTAATAGTAAGACTATTACTTAGGCTACTACTATAGCTATAGCTTTAAATACTAAGCTATTATTACCTAGATAGCCGATATCTTATAGGTTATTATAAGGATATATAAAATTTAGAGTAGCTAAATCGAAAACTATATAATAAGACGTTATTATAATAGTTATAACTATAATAGATAGTAACGCTATTCTCCTATTTATAATTTGTAGTATTTAGCAGACTATAATGCTTAGATAATTAAAGATAATAAAAGTTCGAGATTCTTACTATATTTTAATAGATTACGTAATAATGTAAGGCCTATATATACTAATTATTATATATATATATATATAGCTAATAACGTATTCTAGTGATTATATAATTTTAGTATAATATAGATAGCTTGCGATTACGTAATTAAGTACGCAAAATAAAGATTTAGATAATTAATTATTTTAGGAAATTAAGATTTATTTACTATATAAAAAAAGAAATATTTATCTTAGAACTTTAAAATCTCGATTTTAGAAAGATACCTTATAAGTCTAGCTATAGTAGGTATATTATTATAGTATCTTAGCTATATATATAAACATATATACTTTATCTACTATATAATTTCTAGATAATAGAGTCTAGTATCTAAGAACTTATTAAGTAAACAAATCGTTAAAAGTAGTACTAGAAATTTAAGTATAAATAATAGAATATCTATAGTAGAAGGTTAGAGTTAGCATTAGAGTTAGCATTAGAGTTAGAGTTAGAGTTAGAGTTAGAGTTTAGAGTCGCACTATAAGTAACATTCTAGTAACTATAATCGGCCTAGGTAGTAGTAGTATAAGTAGAACTATAAGGATAAGTAGAGCTATAGGTATACTAAGTAGTATAATAAGAAAGGCTAAGAATAATTTCTATAGTATTAATTATAGGACGCTAGAAGAAGCTATAAATAATACTACGTAAGCTATAATTATAAAGGAAGTTAGTATAGTTATAGTTATAAGAAGGATAAGTAATATAGATAGAGGCGTAACTAAAGTTAGAAAAAGAATAAGTAATATATTTAATAATAGAGTAGGGTAGAAGGTTACCCTATAGCCTATCTTATATATAAGAAAATTATAGCTTAGTATTTACTTATAGATCTACTTTATATAGAAGTATTACGTAATAGTAAAGCGGCTAGAGCGCTAGGTCTCTAACATAAGAAAGAAACTAAGAAGATTAAGGATATTAAAGGTAAGGGTAAAGTTATTAATAGACTTATAATAGCTAGGAGTAGTAAAGAAACGCTAGGTAAAACCTAAAGAAAAGGAAAAAGGGCCTCTTTATTATAAGCGCTAGGTATGTTCTAAGGACGTAATATAGTAGGCTATATTACTATTAGTAAGTATAGATAGTAAGAAAAAGCTATTATAAATATACTAGTTAATAATAGAATAGAGGTTAAGGTAAGAGTTTAAAATAAAGCTACTAGAATAGGAAAAAAAGAGGTAATAAAAAGCTAAGGCGCTAGTATAAGTAAGTAGTATATTAAACTAAGGTATAAATAAATAAAGCGTAACTTTACTTTAACTATACTAACCGCTATATAGAAATATCTAGTAGAAGTAATTATAGTAGCGTTAAGGGTAGGATAATAGTAGTCTTTAATAAGGGTTACTAAGTAAAGGTAAAAAAAAGAAGAAAAGTAAAAGGTAGTTATATAGAAGTAGTAAGTAGGTATACTATAAAGTTAAGTAAGAGGTAAGGTAGTAAATCCTAGTATAAATTTCTTTACTATCTTAATAAGAGTTAAGAGTAAGTAGTACTTATTATATCCTTCTTCTATCTATATAAAAGACTCCTTAAGCTAAAGCCTAATATATCTATAGGCGCGTATATAACCTAGAATACTACCTAGAAGAAAAAGTATTAAGTAGGTACCTATCTATCTTTATAAGAAATAGACTACTACCAACCTAGCTAACTTAGGCCTATAACCTCTCTAGGCGTAAAGACCGCTTTCTATATAGGCGTATAGCTACTATATATAGCTAATTATTAGGTAGTAGAAAAAAGAAGAGCTATAGACTATAACTAACCCCTAGTCGCTAGTCCTACCTATCACTTAATTAAAGCTTTTCTAGTTACTCTTAAGGCGTAAGGAGTCTACTACTAGACGTTAGAAAGTAGTAGTAGCTATATAAGTATTATAGACCTAGTCGTATACTTATCCTCTATATCTAACTAACCTTTAACTAGTAAAGACTAAAGCGCTTACTACTTTCATATTAACTAACTTATTTAAAGTAAATAATAGTAGACTCTTAAAATCTTTCTTACTACTAGTAATAAGTCTCTTATTATTCCTTATACTAATACTTAGGCTAAACGTATTCTTACTTCTAACATTAATAATATTAACTCTATTAACTCTAGTTCTAACGCTAGATACTATATACCTATTATTCTTAGCCCTACTATTTCTCTAGCTATCTAGCGTACTAGCTACTCTACTCTAGAGTATTACTTTTTCTTTAAGCGCCTAATTAAAGAGTTACTACGCTTCTAGTTAGTTATCCCCTTTAGTTACTCTACTATAGATAACAACAATATAGCTCGTTTTTATATAATTCTTTATGCTTTACTTATACTTAAATACGCGCTATTACTAGTACTAATATACTTCTAGTTATCTATCCGGTTAAGTCTAAAGAATTAAGCTCTAAGCTAGGAAAGCTTAGTAGCTTTTAGTTAATATACCGTTCTATACGTTTATAAAGAGGCTATTATCTATATAAGACATCTAATAAGTATATACAGAGTAATTTAATATAGAGATAAGAGAAGTAGTAAAGCTATTATAGCTATCTTTATTTAGCTTTTCCTACTATGCTATTAACTTAAGAAGAGAAATAAGATAGATAAGGTAGTTTATAAGTAGCTTACTTAGTTTATTATAAAAGCAATATTATTAACGTTTATTTTACTAGTTACTATTATCTTATACTTAATAAGATAGAATATAACCTTTCTATGCTAAAGCTAAATATAGTATAACCTCTTAGTATTCTACTATATAGGACGTATAAATTTAGGGCATAAATATAAGGACCTACGCTAAAGTAGATAGTAGTAGTAAGGTCCTTTAAAAATTCCTAGATAAATACCTAGTAGAGACTTATACTTTCTATACGCTACGTAAGGCCTATAACGTTACTTACTAGTCTACGTACGTCCTCCATCTATAGACTACGTAGTTAATTATTACTAAATATAGAATCTTACTCTAAGGATTTCGCTAAGAACTAGGATCTTTATAGAGTATACTATATAAGTACACACTTATACCCTACTCTATACGATTCCTTATTCTCTACTCTCTCTAGATAATATAGAATAATAGAGCATATAGAGTAATATATATATACTTATTATCTATTAAGTATATAGATAGGTAGGAACTTACTAGAAGGTCCTACGTTTAACTTAATTAGTTATTCTAACAGTCCCTTTAGTATACACTACGACTTACATCTGCTTTACTACGCTTAACACTCCACTTTACGAGTCTAACCCCGTGACTAGTTATTCTCCCCAGAATAGTTGGCCATAACACCCAGCCATGGGCGTAGACAGCGATGGTATGCGTAAGCGTGTGTCGCTTCGTCGCTTGGCTTTTCCCATGTCTTAAAGAAGTCGAGTTTTGGCTCTGTCAGATTATCCGACCCGATTGAAAGACAGCATATGTATCGCCGAAACACGCTCGGGCGCTAGACATATCATACTACAGCAGCAGTCGGGCCGCATGCTGATCGCGACCGAGAGGCAGAGAAGCTCGTAGGATCAGTCGGCACTTTTTATAGCAGATTTCACGGAGACTGACCCGTTCAATACGGCATGGAACAGGATATGGCAATTTTGAAAAAGTAGCATTAATGCGACGTAGTAATGTTCGAACCTCGATTTAACAATAGTTGTCAATATATTCTTTGACAAGATCCTCGACTCGTTGATCTCTGAGTAGACCAAGCCTGTCTGGCGTGCTTGGGTCAAAGTCTTCAGGCCAGCTTCGTAGGATTCTCTCGAACGTCGGGTTTGTCTCCTCTTTCAACAGCTTGAGCTTGTCTTCGCCTCCGAACTTGGCCAGGGCGTCCATCATCTCTTGAATTGTTGTTGAAACGCCGGGGAACATGATGTGTCTCTGATGGGGCGGNAGTGCATCGCCAGGAAGATGCAAGACTCGTACAAGATTTTCGATGGTACTGCTTGGCGAACATACATATGTGCGATAAGAACGATCCGTCAGAGGAATGACACACTCCTCACCCTTCATGGGTTCACGGATCATGCCCGACAAGAAGGACGGCGCTGCGTTGCTTGGGGCGCCTGGTCGAACGATGACGGTGGGGAAGCGAACGCTGAACGCGTCGACGTAGCCTTTTCGGTTCATGTCGTTAATGACGACTTCTGTTGCGAACTTGTGTGCTCCGTAGGTGCCTTCAGGTGTAGGCATGGTTGAATCGGTGATGACTTTCGGCAGTGGTTGGCCGTAGACAGCCTGGGAGCTCGAGTAGACGACGCGAACTCCTGGATTGGATTGGCGCAGAGCGAGAAGGAGGTCGCGCACACTTTGCACGTTGACTCTCATGGACTGTGATTCATGTCAGATTCTGGTTTACCTTCTTGTTTCAATCTCAACCACCTGGGCACTCACCAGATCGAAATTCGCTTCTGATCCTGCCGACATGATTCCGTGAAAGATGAAGATGGCGTCGAGAGGTTGCGCGGCTTCGATCAGCGATTTGACAAACGTGGGATCGCAGATGTCGCCTTTCATGCACTTTGCATTCTCAGGATGTGCGACACCTTCGGGGACTTTTGGCTGTACAAGATCCGTCAAGACCAGCTTGTGGCCCTCGTCGAGAAGTCGCTTTGCGAGCATCGGGCCAATCATGCCACCCGCACCTGTGATGATGATGTTCTTGCTGCCTGTCATATTCTTGGGGCCTGCCATGTTTGCGACGATTATTTGAAAGTGTGTTGTAGAGGTTTGGTACTGGTTGGAAAGTTGAACCTTTGAAAGTGTCGGCGACAAAAGGTTATATGTGAAATCAAACATCATCAGAGCCACGTCTCGAGGCTCAATGTGGGGGCGGGACGGTCTTGAGCCTCGTGCCGAGATGACCAAATCTAAGGCGGGGCTCCCAAAGAGGCGCTCGTCTCGAGCCCGAACATCGCGCTGACTTGACGGATATCGTGCTAACATTATGCGTATGTCTGTGTCGGTAAGTTGAAGTTGGATAGCTGCACTCGACTGTCGAGAAGAGCATGAAGGAAAGAGTTGCGCGCAACAAGATACACTGGATTCAACAAGACGTACCGAATCGCGCGTTATACGGTCCGTTGACATAACAAAACCGATTCACCAGATATGGAGGCAGGGTTTCTGGAGCAGCCACATCAAGATTGGAGCTACGAATACATGTCGACTGCTCGCGATGCTCGAATGGCTTTGTGAAGGCAAGACTGCCTGATGCAGATTCTATGCTCATGCAACCCAAGTACTATCGCACTCATCAAGACGACCGGAGCAGACTCCAGAGTTCCAGAGCAGGAAATCGTTGATCTGTGCGCTAACTCGGCTGAACTCATACTGAGTGACGCGGGGTGTGCTTCGCCTCGGTCATCTCGCCTCGGGCGCCTCGCGACACTGCTCTTCCTCCTCTCCGACGCACGCGCAGACTGCGATCGTTACGTGCAGTCGCTTCCATCACCACGAAATGCGCCCGGCATGTCAGGATCGCCTCGACCGAACAACCGTGTGCGCAAGAACAAAGGCAAAGGTCTCAGGACAAGGACAGGATGGTGCGTCGCCCGGATCTGACTTCTCGAGTGCACATCGTGTGACATTGGCGACACTGGTTAACCTTCTAACCTTGAACTCAGTACTACTTGCCGCACGCGACACGTGAAGTGTGATGAGACTCATCCAATATGTCGCGCATGTCAAAGGGTCAACCGGCCTTGTCATTATACCACTGACACGTCGAATCGCCAAAGCTCAAGTCTGAATATTGTATGAGTCCGTTCCCGAAAAGGCTCGCCCCTTATGGTCCTAACCGCCTCTAGTAGACACNTGAACACGGACGCGAACAGAGAATCGGATCAACCAACATTGCCTCAAGACGAACCACCTACTGCTCAAGAATCTTCTGATCAACAGATTGACCACTACGACATTACTTTGAACGAAACCGCAGCGACAACGGACATAGATGAAACGACCTTGATCTATTATGATGATCACGATGTGAACCAGAACATTCAACTATCTGGCCACGACAATTTCAGTCTACCCGCCCTGGAGCCTGCAGCATTGAACACGACAAGCCCAGCGTCAACAGCAAGTGGCAACCTCTACTCTGCAGAAGTAGCCNCCTGGAGATGGCTGGATCTGCTGACACGTGATGCCACCGTCTCCGATGACTATCAGTCTGGTGGCTGCTATCTTGGTCNNCTGGACATGACAATAATGCACACCAACAACTGACCACAAGCCAGATGGGCTTTGACTGTGCAACGATACCGGAAGCTTATACGAGACAAGGAGACATACAATGTTGAAGGCCATCTCGAGTTAGCGAGTTCAGAAAAAATACTGCTACGACATTTCGTGGACAACATCTCGTCGTGGATTGATCTTACCGATCGCGATGCTTCTTTCACGACCTCCGTGCCCGCCATGGCACTTCAGAATAGAGGACTAATGCTGGCCATCCTCGCATTATCCTCGCGGCATCAATCCTTACTCACAGCCTCAGAAACATCCTCCCGCATCGACAGAACAGTCGCCGTGCAATACTACAACGAAACACTTCAATACCTCCAGATTGCAATGAAGATGCCCGACTATCTCAAGAGCGAAGAGTTACTTGCGACAGTACTTCTGATCTCAACCTACGAGATGATAGATGGACNNTTGGGAGGATGGGAACGCCATCTGANNAAGGTATGCAGATGCCGTAGTCATGATCATCGTTCGCGGCAGCTCCACATCTCACTAACCACATCAGGCGTCTTCTGGATCCAGAGGTCTCAGCTGATACATGGCGAGTCTGGAGGCTTGAGACAGGCAATCTGGTGGGCCTGGCTACGACAAGATATTTGGGCAGCCTTCCGAGGCGGTCGAGTGATACTCAGCTTCTACACTTTGAAGAAAGATTGCGCCGAACTCGATCGCTGGGAGCTCATCAATCGAGTCGTGTGGCTGCTCGGGCAATGCATCAGCTTCGGTTCGGATGCCGGAGTCGCGGCCGGGAGGACAAACGTGCAACAACGTATACACCGCGCTGCGTTCCTGACATCAAGGCTGGATGAATGGTGGATCTACTTCGCTATCCACCGCAAAGAGCTACCTACTGATTGTCCCGATGGCAACGCCTTCAAGCCTCTCTGGATCAACCCAGTTCCTTGCAGTGNNAGCGTACCGGGATGATTCCTTAAACCGTTACTGATGAGCATAGGCGTCGCCGTACAGATCTACTACTTTTCCAGAATCATGCTGGCTGTGCACTCTCCGGCTGTCTCGGGATTGAAAGAGTTGGAACGACAACGCCATATTCTGGACAACGCCATTGATCAGATCGGCGGTATCGCTTGCACAACAAGCGACACTGCTGCGACCATAATCTCAACTCAATGTCTCTTTGCGGCCGGTCTCAACCTGCGCGATCCAGTTAAGCGAGAGCACATTGTCAGATTGCTAAGATCTCATCAAGCCTCGCNNACTGGATGGCCAATCACGGATCTTGCTGAAGACCTGCAAGCTGAATGGGCGATGGAAGCTTCGCCAATTCAGGCTCGAAGCTAGCTCGATTCTCGAATTCTTCTAGATTCTTAAGGATCCCATCCGAGAACGACGCGAATAAGATCCAGATTTTCCACCTTATGCAAGTGGGTGACATTAGTTCTGATGCTTGTTCGGTTCGACCATCGAAGTTGATGGAGCCATGCGAATTGTGATTAGTGACGCAGCCACTACATGAGTGTGCTTCATCGCAAGGAAGTAGGCATCCAACAGTAACATCTCAAGGTCCGGACAAATCGTTTGCGAACCCGCGAGGTCCTGTCTCGTGACGAGATGGTGGGTGTTTCGGGCCAGATTGTCAGTCGCAATCTGCTGGGAGACCTCGCCGACGTACCGACCTTCAGCTACTTGTGAACAGCGCACCTTGAGCGCGGCAAAACCAAGTACATGTCTGCGCGCGCGATACCATGAACGGTCCCGTGGTTCTGCGTTCCATTATGGCTCCTTCTCGCTTCGAGAATTCAAATCCTCGTTCCAGTGACGCAAGACATCGTGCCGAGCAACCTCTCCAGCTGCTCCATACGCCACAACAACGCCCACCGCATGACCATGATCATTGAGTTTACGAGATCTGGGGGTACCCACCCGGGGTATGGTTCCTATGTAATAACAGCATTGCGGTCCTGAGTCGCTCCAAGGTCTTCCAAGCAATCAATCTCAACACCAAGCATACCAAGCAACTCAAGCATTGACAGCCATGGCGATGGGTGCCAATACCTCAGTCGGTTCCTCTCGTATGGAAGAGCTTACCAAAGGTCGACGTGCGGGATTCAGAGGACTTTGGGAGCCAACATGTATCTTCTGCTCACTACTGGCACAGTAATCATCGGATCTTTCCTCTACGGTACTGACCAGGGCGTCTTATCCAACCTCTTGACTGGACAAAACTTCGGGTCAAAGTTCNCCAACGTCTATACCGATGCTACTTTGAAGGGCTGGGTAGTAGCAATTCTACAGCTCGGTGCCTGGCTTGGTGCATTGATCAACGGGCCACTTGCCGACAGAATCTCGCGCAAGTATAGCATTACCGTTGCCGCTTTCGTACGGCTTTGATCTAGTCAGACGTTATCGATGTTTACTGATTGTCTGACAGTTANNTTCACCGTGGGCACCGCTCTCTGTGGCGGAGCGCAAAGTGTTAGCTACNTCTTCGCAGGACGCATAATCGCAGGTGTCGCTGTCGGTCAAGTGTCGCACGTTGTACCCNTCTATCTGGCTGAGATATCCCCATCCGAATTCCGTGGTGCACTTGTCTCTTGTCAACAAGTCGGCATTAGTGAGTCATGGGTGATCTCGCGGAAGATTTCGATTCACTGACCAAGTGTCTTGCTAGCGTCCGGTATCATGATCTCCTACTGGTTGTGCTATGGCACGAGTTTCATCGGCGGTCAAGCGTGCAATGCCGACCAGAACGCCCACNCTGGTGACGGCAGCTTCAATCCCTATACAGACGTTCCAGCAGGCGGTTGTGATGGGCAGACAGCGTTGGCATGGCGACTGCCCTTGTGCCTGCAATGCGTTCCCGCTGTCATTCTCCTTGCAGGATCCTTCTGGTTGCCTTTCAGCCCTCGTTGGCTGATGTCCAAGGGCAGAGAAGAAGAGGCTCGCGCTAATATCGCCAAGCTCCATGGGCTTGCCATCAATGATCCCATCGTTGAGACCGAGTGGCTGGAGATCAAGGCAGCAGTCATGTTCGACGAGAGGACCGCTAGAGAGCAGCACCCCAACAAAGAAGGTTTACGCTTGGCTTTAGGCAAGGTCAGCATGTTATTGACCAACAAAGGTCTCTTTCGAAGACTCGCTTTAGGATGTATCCTCATGTTCTTCCAACAATTTACGGTAGGAATGCCGCATCCAGCACCCAAGGTCCTGACACGATCACTGACACTTATCATAGNNGGCATTAACGCTATTATCTACTATGCACCTACCATATTTGGTAGCTTAGGCTTGAACGTCTCCACTACTTCCCTGCTTGCGACAGGTGTTCTGGGCGTCATCGACTTCCTCTTCACATTCCCAGCGATCTTTNTCGTTGACCGCTTCGGACGTCGCAAGTTCTTGATGGCAGGCGCTCNNGGCATGATGATCAGTCACATTGTCGTCGCGGGAATCCTTGGCCACTACGAAGGCAACTTTGGTCTGCCTGGAGGCAAAGCTGCTGGTTGGGTCGGCATTGCTTTCATCTGGGTCAGTATCCCCGTCGCATGCTGTCCCGATCACCACGATGCTGACAACGCAATCAGGCTTNTCGGTGCAAACTTCTCATACTCCTGGGGTCCTGTCGCATGGCTTCTCGCTTCCGAACTTTTCTCTCCTGGTCATCGCAGTCAAGCTGTCAGTATCATCATTAGCTGCAACTACATGATGAACTTCATTGTTGGCCAAGTCACACCCAATATGCTCCAAGCACTCAAATTTGGTACCTACATATTCTTTGCCGCATTCTGCCTTCTCATGTTCCTCTGGGTCTGGTTCTTGGTCCCTGAGACGAGATACAAGAGCTTGGAAGAGATGGACGCTGTCTTTGGCGATAACCTGGGTCAAGCGGATCAGGAACGCATGCGTGAGATAATGGCTGAGATTGGTTTAGAGCCGGCTACTCATGTTCATGATGATGCGTCAATCTTCGGTCAAGGGGACTTGGAGGTGAAGGAGAGTCAGGTTGCTCACGTCGAGGAGAGATAGGAGGGTGTAGCAACGAAGCTCCGAAAATGGGGACCAGGCAATAAACTAATTGTTCTCACAAACCGCTTAGCTCAACAAGTCCTCGTGAGGCTGAGTCCTGATCATCAAGATGAGGGGCAAGAATCTCCAGACCTGTTGCATGTCGCAAACCTTCCAGCGCAAGAGATTGCGACCATGTAACGCGAACTCCTGAGTAGAGTGTCTACTTGACACGAACAGTGTAAACTCAAACTTCGCGATTCAATCCCATCCGACGGAACTCCACAGGCACCCCAATATACATTGTTCAGAATCCTGAAGCCTGTCAGTATTGTATACATCTCACTTTCAATAGCTTTTTCACGTTTGCGTCAATCGATCAGGGTAGCGATTGTGTGGTCAAACTATTGCGTGAAGGTTCTTTTCCATAGTATTTTCTAAGTCTATTCATGATATCGCTTGACCGCTCGATCCTGCAACATCCATCTGTTCTTCTTGCTGTCGTATTGTGTGTTGGACGCCTTCGTCGATCAGTTTCGTAAGGGGCATCTTGGCTGCATTCGCTCTGAAGTGTTTCAGATAGTCATCCAGTACCAATCTATTGACGTTGATCTTGCTGACACCAGCCTTAATGACACGCTGAGTGACTTCGTCCGGCCATTCATTGGTGCCGTGAGCCACAATCCGTACCCGTCCATCTGCCTGCTTCCTAATCGCTTCCAGTCTGNNCTCTTGTGTCAGTCATTCCTCTTCTCAAGCACTTGTGGTTTCGTACCTTGCATAGTCCAGCTGCGGTCCAGACTTTCCGTAAGATGACTCTCCATGGATGTTACCAAAGGCCGGGGCCAAAAAGTCAACACCGGTTGCGATAAATTCTTCCACGTCCTCTGGTGTAGTCAAGACCCCCTCTAAATCCACCGTATCTGCAACGCCGTCTTCACCTCCTTCAAGACGACCTGGCTCTGCCTCAGTGGAGATACTNCGGGCATGGCAGTACGCAACAAGTTCTTTGGTCTTTTCAAGATTTTCTTCTTTTTCATAATGTGACATGTCCACCATGATAGAGTCAAATGGTAAATTGTCAGCCGCGTGCCGGATCAATGCTTCGTCTTGTGCATGATCGAGATGGATGGCAATAGGAACTGATGCTCGTGCCGCTGCGTCTGCTGCCGCCCGGACAAGAAGCCCATCCGAAGCTGTGATGGCCCATGGAAAGACTTGTATGATGAGCGGCGAACGTTTGTTCTCTGCAGCTCTGACCACGGCGACGATGTTCTCGACATTGTAANNCTGCCGGGAATCAGTGACGGACATAGGTCAAAACCATACTCGTAACACTCACACGATGGACGCGATGACTCCATATCCTCCATTCTCTGCAGCCTCCAGAATCTTTTTCGTCTTGTTCTGGGCAAGGCTCCTGTAAGACGAGTCTATGATAGCTGCATTTGCACCCATGATGATTTGTGTGTAGAGTCAAAAAGTTGTATGCGATGGGGTTGAGGCCCGAGTCTATTCAAGTACGATGTTAGGTTGGAGCGAATAACATGTACCATAAGTGAACATAAGCGCCACACTCGCATCGAGAAAAGGTGTTGTGGGGAAACGATGTGCCCTGATCAGCCATCAAGGTGCATTTGATCCATGTGAGAGGGGCTTGAGATGTGCGGCGAGCCGACACTGTGGGGTGGGACTGGTCTCGAGACGAGACATCTCGTAACGAGATTCAACCGCCCATCTTGCGTCACTTGCGCAAGTTGCCCGAGATCGTCAGCTTGAAGAAATACAACGATCAGTACGAAGTTTTTAGAACCATCGCGATGTGAACCTTGCGTTCGAATCGGCGAGAGTCTTGATCATGAATCCGAAATGTTCGATCGCATCACTTCGACAAGCTTCGCCCTCCACGACAAGACACCCACTTTGACCACATGTCCCCTCTTTATCCTGCCTTGCGATCACAACTCTCACTACGCGACAGTCTAGAATATAAACCCCACATACCGCCTGCACGAATCACAACGTATCACGGATTCAAGCAATGACAACTTTCTCAAATGCGATGCTGCTTGCTGGCAAGGTGTGCGCGATAACAGGCGGAGTCTCTGGCATTGGACGAGCGATTGCCATTGAGTACTTGCGCCAGGGCGGCGCTGTCGCGGTGAACCATCTTGGCGATCGCAAGTCTATTGACCTGTATAAGACCCTCAGAGCCGAAGTCGGCAAGGACGCGAAGCTCATTGGTGTCGGCGGTGACATTGGCAAGATTGAAACCGGCAAAGGACTGGTACAGGCCGCAGTCTCTGAGTTTGGATCACTTGACGTCTTTGTTGCAAATGCTGGCGTGAGCGTGTTCCATGATTTTCTCACGTTAGCATGATCTTCTTCGTTTCCTGATCTTGAGGCTGACTCTCAACATAGCACCGACGAGAAGATGTTCGAGTCGCACCTTCACGTAAACACTCGTGGCACATTCTGGTCTGTTCAAGCAGCTGCTCGACAGATGGTATCACAAGGTAAAGGCGGCTCAATAATCGGTGTCGCCTCCATCAGCGCACTCCTCGGCGGTAAACAACAGGTACACTATACACCGACCAAAGCCAGTGTCCTCAGTATGATGCAGTCAGCTGCTTGCGCACTAGCAGAGCACAAGATACGATGTAATGCGCTGTTACCCGGTCACACTCGCACACCGATGAGCGCCGACGACTTGGCCAATCCAGAAAAGTTGAGAGCTGTGAACGGACGTATCCCTCTTGGTCATGTCGCAGAACCTCACGATATGGCTGGACCTGCCGTTNTCNTCGCAAGCGACATGAGCAGCTACGTTGTGAGTCTTGTCAGCACTGTCCAATAATCTATTGTTGACCACATTTCTAGANCAGGCGCACAGCTATTAGTAGATGGAGGGTTGTACGTGAACCTGCAGTGAGGACTGCTGATGTCGACATTTTGTCTTCAAGATGCTTCAATTTTCGATCGAGTGAAGTCGATACAAGTTGCTCAAGTCCAGCAGCGACGAGGAACGCGCGCTCACAGGTCCCTCCGGAAATAGGAAGCACGACAACAGCTTTGATATGGACTCTCTGAGACATGTCAAAGTTCCTGACACCTTGTGAGTAAGGTCTATCCCCGTCAATGGCTTGAGCCTGATATAGCACAAACCTGCCACTTTGAGCCCCACCTTCAATTTCCTCCGGCGACTCGTACTCTTGGCTCGCCGTCGCTCCCGGTGCCAATGGAGCCACCATCTGGAACATCGATCAGGACGGGCCCAACGCCTCTGACTTCAGGTTCCGCTTGAAATTGACCAACGGCTACCTCCTCGAGGCTCAAGGCGCCAGCAGCGGTCACGCAGCTACCTTGGGTCCTGCAGCCAATGGCAATGGACTGCAACAGGTCTTCTTCAACCCTGTTGGAGAAGCAAACACCTATGTTTCTTGTACGCAAAACACTGCTGGCACTCCTCATCTTGACTGCAGGGTCAAGAATGTTTTGCAGCAGGCCTATGTCTGTGACGATGACTGCAACCATGTCTACTTGGTTCCCGTTGGCGGTGCTGTCCCTAAAAACTATTACCAGAATAGCGGTATTTTCTACGCTTAAAGGATTTGGTGGGTGTTTTGAGGTGAGCGATTGATGCAGTCATGTTGATTCTTGGGTTCTTGCTTTGGGCTTGGTTTCCGGTTTGTCCTTCTCGGTTCATTTTCTCTAGATTTGAGATTAGCAATGGTAGTTTACAAGGTGCAATTCCACAATGGTTCCATTATCGGTTTTCTTCCTGAGCCATCTTGTGTCATGATAATGCTTGAGATGGATCTACATCGCGTCGCTTTGCACGTATGGACAGCTACCTGCCGGGAAAATCTGCTTGATAGCTGATTCCTAGGATAGTGAGTCAGGAATTCCTGTGCATAGAATATCCATCTTACTTGAGAGATATCTTGTGCCCCTCTAACGTATCTCGCCCGTAAGTCTGTCCGCCAGATCATCGTAACTTGATCGAGGGTGTCTTATCGCGATATCTTCATTGAACTGACATTGATGATTCAACCTTCAGAGGTTGTCTTGTGGTCGTTTATACTTCCCACAGCTGAGTGGGATGTGTCACTTTGCGGCTGGTCCTCCTTTGGTTAGTGTTCCTTGTGGTATAGTTATCTATCGTGTGTGTGCGTGTATCCCTGGCAGTTTTGGAATCAGACCAAGCTCTGTCCAAACCCAATGTCCTGGTAACAAGCAGTTCTACAGAGCATTGAAGAATCGTTATTACTAAGGAGGTATTGGTCAGAAAGGCATACAAAGTCTGATGGCAATAACCTTTAAATGGCTGTAGCATAGTCCTATCCTTGTCTTACCTTCATCGGGTACCTTCAACGTTCATGTCAGCCACGCAAGACCCCTTACTTGGAAGAAGTAAACAGCCAAAACATGTACCATCCAGACCTTCACGTATACAAAAAGATCAATACATAACCAAAGCATGATTTCAAACATCGCTGTCCGTTCAAACGCGTACAAAAACTCAACCGATTGACACCATGACAAAAAGCCTCTCCAGTTTTTACATAAATACCCACCCTCCGAACAGCAACCCCAGTCCCAAATTCGCAAGTCCCACTGTATGAGACGAGGCAGCACCCGTAGAAACCGCGATACTGCTCGTAGCACTTGCAGCCTTGGACGTAGCCGAACCGGCAGTACTTGATGCAGCTGAGGCGGAAGAAGCTGTGGAGATTAAAGTCAGTCTATTGTTCGTATATCAGAGACGAAGAGGCTGTGAACATACCCGTTGTAGCGCGAGAGGAAGAACCATTAACTGCGCCGGCAGCAGAGGACGCAGCACTGGAAGAAGCTTGGGAAGCCGAGGAAGCCATCGAGGGAGCCTTGGAAGACGATACCATCGCAGTAGAGGACAACAATGATGTCGCACTGCTAACTACCTGAGCAGACGACGAAGAACTCCCAGCCGCATCATCGTCATCTCCTTCTTTGGCTGCCAAGATACCACCATAGACGCTGCCAGGTACCGTGCTAGTCCCAGCCGTCGAAGCAGCAACAATAAACGCACCAACGTTCTCATTGCCGGAAGTACTGTGCAAAGAGTCAGCAACAAACAAAACACCTATTCCTGCAAAAGACTCACGGAGGATTGATCACCCCCACCATACCAGCCTGACAATGATCCCCCCTGTGGACAATAATACCAAATCGGGTTTGTATCATCAACGGTAATTGTAAACGTGGTTTCTGACTCTCCGCTCGAAACCTTGACAAAGCCAGAGTTGAATCCATTGTCGATAGCCACGCAAGGGCTAGCAAAGCTGCTGCGAGCAACACCATGAGCGCGAGGGTAAAAGTGGAAAGTTACTGTGTCTCCAACAGCAGCGGTGGTAGAGTTGGGAGAAAGACTAGGCCGTCTTCGCCGACGTCGATGGAGTGGGAGGCGGCGTAGGCAGAGCCTAGCAGCAGAGATGAGATGATGGGCAGTGTGTATGACTTCATGTTTGAGATCTTGAAAGGAAGCTGGAGTTGCAGTGGCGAGATGCTGATAGTTTCAAGACAAGTTCTGACATGAGAGAGCAAACGTCTTATATGTTCGGAAGAGTTGGAAGGAGATGCGCAGACAATGAACTACTCCGTTGATTGTTGCTGGTCAACGCCAGATACCGGAAACCGTAAAGTTGTCTGGGCCCTGATCTGCAGTGTACGAACAACATGACCAAGAGCGACGGTGCAGTTTGTAGGTCATGCGTCTCCTTGACTGGCTCGGAGACATATAAGCGTTCGTGGCGGATGACAAGGCGTTCTTAGGTTGTCAGATTCTCGTGCTGAAGGTCTCATGCATGATATAAAGTCCGCGGTGTTGTGACAGGTAGCACGGCTTTCCAGGCTGCATGCCCCGAATATATCCAGAGCGGATCGAGTATGCGCAGACGGTTGCTGGTCGATAGAAGGATGTTCATTTGACTGATAGTGTTCGGAAGAGAAGGGCGAAGGTTTGGGAGATGCGGGGAAGTGAACGACAGCGTCCAACAACAACGGCTGAACCAAATTCCAGAACGATCGTGCAGCACGCCCAGCTGAGTGACTCCGGAGAGGGTATCTGGGATTGCTGTCAGCTGTAACCAATTGACGAGTCGTTCAGAACGCAACAGGGTATTCTCATCTCAACAAGACCGCATGGGTCCTGCAACGAGCATCAAATCGACCCCGATATAGAGTTAGCGAATCTTCCAGCATAAGCTCTCCTCTTTTGTCAATTGCGCCGACATTACCTTCGCAAATCTCCCCATCCCACTTTCGGCCACAACTTAAAGTCTGCATCACTCCACCCTTGCAGACGATGAAACAGAAAGGCCAAAGGTGAGGACTTCCATATCGCAACTTGATTGCGACGACTCTAATGGATTGTTGCAATGAAAAGCACGATACCAAGCACCACGATAATCGATGGCAAAATCAGCCAAAGCCAGCGCACGCGGATATACTGTGTGATAACAAAGGACTGATCCACTGCCTGCTGAGTGTCTTTAGTGCCGTATCAGAACCCATCATTTCAGTATTGGTTTCGAGCTCGCTTGAAGCGTCTTCCGTACCAGACCAATCTCCTCCAAGGTCAAGCCTCCCTTGTCAGATACTCCTTCTACACCACCATAGGTGCTGTCCAAATGCTCTTTAATCGCACTGACCCACTGCGCCCTCGTCTCAACCATATCTTGCATAAATTGAGCCTCGGCCTTACTTTCGGAGCCACTCGAGCCAGCCAGCACATCCTGTACCGACAACACATAGTCAGCGGAGACGCACTCGACGGGGACTTGCAGGAGTAAGAATATCAAAACAGCCAGCAAGTTCTGCTCTCTCAGCCAGTGACTACCGCATAGCAGTACGGGGTATGAAGAGGCATGACACAGTACGCCGCTGAAAAGCTCGCAGATCTGTATGTTGGCTGCATCCAGGACTTCGAGGCTTTCTCCAGTGGGTCCGGACGCGCACATGGCGTCTGTCACGGGCTCTGTCACAGCGGGACTGTTCATGTCTGCTGTGAAGAGATGGAAGAAAATCTTACTATGCCAGCAGAATAAACAAATGATCAGCTCACAGAACCCTCAAAAGACAATGGACTGTACGCACGTCGCACTCCACATGGACAACCTTGCCCTAATGTTCTTGATATACACCCCGGATCTGAGATGAGTGCGGCAGCGCAGATAACCAAGAAATTTGCTTCCGACCACATTGCCAGAGCTACCAATCTTGGTAGCATTGGCACCGATATCGAGACTTTGATGCGTGCTAATGATGGTCCTGACTTTGTATTTGTCGCGCAGGAGTGCACAATCCTCGTCGGTCGCATTGTCCAAGGAGGCGCAGATGTACAGCTTGCCAGACGGGACGAACTCGTGGCCCATGGACTTGTTGACTGAAGCACCCACGTCGCGCAAGGACGTGACAAAGGGCGATTTTGACATGCTGGACATTCTGATCGTAGTGAACAGGAAGATTATCCCGATAGTCGTTGGGCAAGAGGTGCGCCTCTGCTTGTTCTACGGCAGCCGAACCGGACCGCCTTGGCAGTTGGACAATCATTTCTCCATCGGATACTCAAGATTCCTACACTGTGGACCAGCCCTGCTTTGACCTATCACTCCATTTCACCTGCGGCGACATGGCCAAGGCCTCGGTTAGATGGACAAGGAGTGAGAAAGATGTAAGAGGGAGAAACTGGTCTCATACAATCCATGCGGATACCTTTCTCATATCTAGTATTCTATTCTTCCACTTCCCACCGACGTCAAAGTTAAGTTGACGTATTGTATCCGTTTCATTCGTGTTCTTTCGTGCAAACATTGATCCCTTGAAAATTGTTAAAATAGTATCCCGGAACACCGACGCTGTTGAAGTCAATTTATGTTGAAAGATTCCACGGCCCATAGTTGTACAACGCGGTCGTTCTATGTTGAGCGAAACGACTTAGAAGAGTCCATCGATCTCGCCAGTCTCGGCATCAACGTCGACGTTGAGGTAGCCGGGAGCGGTGGGAAGACCGGGGATGGTCTGGATGTCGGCAGCAAGTGCATACNNCTGAGAAGAGCAGTCAGCACGCAATTGCAGAGAATAAGGGATAACGAAGACTTACAAGTAGCCAGCACCGGCAGCCATGCGGACGTCTCTGATAGGGATGACGAAACCCGAAGGAGCACCCTTGAGATCAGGGTCGTGCGAGAGCGAGTACTGTGTCTTGGCGATGCAGATGGGCAGGTTGCCAAAGCCCTGGCGAGTGTAGGCATCGACCTTCTTCTGGGCAGTCTCACTAAATTCGACACCAGAAGCACCGTACATGTTCTTGGCAATCTTCTCGATGCGCTCCTGGACAGAGTCCTCGAGACCGTACAGTAGCTTGAAGTCGTTGGACTCCGCCTTCTCGCAGGCATCAATGACACCCTGGGCGAGTTCGACAGCACCCTTACCACCCTCGGCCCAGTGATTCGCGGGAATGGCGTCCTCGGCACCAGCAGCAAGAGCCTCCTCGCGAATGACTTGAACCTCCTTCTCGGTGTCGGTCTCGAATTTGTTGATGGCAACGACGACCTTAACGCCGTATTGGCGGGCATTCTCAATGTGCTTCTTGAGGTTGACACAACCCTTGCGAAGAATGTCGACATTCTCCGTGCGGTAGACTTCGGGAAGCTGGGCGCCAGGAGTGATGGCGGGACCACCACCGTGAGTCTTGAGGGCACGAACAGTGGCGACAATGACAACGACATCAGGCTTGAGCTCGGAGGAGCGGCACTTGATGTTCATGAAGCGCTCACCACCCATGGTGAAGTCGAAGCCGGCCTCGGTGACGACGAAACCAGTTCTCGAGTTGTAGTCCTCATCGGGCTCGGTACCAGCCAGCTTGAGGGCAAGCTTGTCTGCGAGGACTGAGGAAGCACCAATCGAGATGTTGGCGAAGGGGCCGGCGTGGACAAAGACGGGAGTGCCNTCGAGGGTCTGCATAAGGTTGGGCTTGATGGCGTCTCTCATGAGGGCGGTCAAGGCACCACCAACACCAATGTCGTCGCAAGTGACNGGCTCGCCAGCGCGAGAGCTGGCAACGACCATACGGCCAAGTCTCTCACGCATGTCGGAGAGGGAGTTGCTGAGAGCAAGCACGGCCATACACTCACTGGCGACTGAGATGTCGAAACCGGTCTGGCGGGTCTGGCTCTTCTCGGTAGGAGCCTGGCCGACGGTGATGCCACGGAGATGTCTGTCGTTGACATCGAGCACGCGGCGCCAGGTGATGGTGTCGGGGTCAATGTCCAGACGGGCGAAGCGGCGGATCTCCTCCTCAGTCAGTTCGTCAGGGTTGGTCTTGTCAATGCCGAGCTTGTTGAGGCGGCGGAACATGATGGGCTTGAATTCGCGCTTGCCCTTTTGCGTAGGTACGAGACGCTTGTAAAGAGGGCCGTCCTTNTGTGTGTTTTCGTGGAAGATGCGAGTCTCGATGGCAGCGGCGAGCAGGTTATTGGCGGCAGTGATGGCGTGGATGTCGCCAGTCAAGTGCAGGTTGAACTCGTCCATGGGGATGACCTGACTGTAGCCACCACCAGCGGCACCGCCCTTGATGCCGAAAGTGGGACCTTGGCTGGGCTGACGGACGTTGGCAAAGGCAATGCGACCGAGCTGACCGGCAAGAGCCTGGACGAGACCAATGGTAGTTGTCGACTTGCCNTCGCCGAGAGGAGTGGGTGTGATGCCGGCGACCAGGACGTAGCGGCCGTTCTTGCGGTGTTCGAGGCGCTTGAGGACATCGAGTCCGACCTTGGCCTTGTATGCGCCGTGGGGCTCGAGTTCGTGGGCGGAGAGACCGATTTCGGCGGCCAATTTTGTGATGAGCTTGGGGTGCTGCTTGCGCGAGACTTCCCAGTCGGCGGGGACGGGCTGTTCGAGCTTGAGGTGGAGCGGTGTGATCTTGCGAGACTTTTGGCGGTCAAAGTAGCTGTCGGCAGAGTCGACAACGTTGCGAAGGAGCATGGCCACAGTCATGGGACCGACACCGCCGGGCACGGGTGTGATTTGCGAAGCGACCTCGACGGCAGACTCGTAGTCGACGTCACCGACCAGGCGCTGGCCCGACTTCTTGGTGTCGTCGGGGATGTAGTTGGTGCCGACGTCAATGACGACGGCGCCCTCCTTGAGCCACTCGCCCTTGACGAAGCCAGGGGCACCAATGGCAGCGACAACAATGTCGGCCTGCTTGACGTAGCCCGGCAGGTCCTTGGTCTTGCTGTGGCAGACGGTGACGGTGGCGTCGGCGTTCTTGAGCAGGTAGCTGACGGGGCTGCCGACAATGTCGCTGCGGCCGATGACGACGGCGTTCTTGCCCTTGATGTCGACGCCGCTCTGNCTGAGCAGCACCATGACTCCCTTGGGCGTGCAGGGTGTGAAGAGGGGCTTGCCGCCGCGCTTTGCCAGCTCGCCAATGTTGGCTACACCAAAGCCATCAACGTCCTTCTCGTCAGCGACGGCCGAGGTGACGGCGTGCTCGGAAATGTGCTTGGGGACGGGCAGCTGGACGAGGATGCCGTGGATCGAAGGGTCGTTGTTGAAGCGCTCAATGTGGTAGAGCAGCTCCGACTCGCTAATGTCTTCGGGGTAGTTCTCGAGGTCGCACTCGATGTTGGCCTCGGTGGCGGCCTTGAGCTTCATGCGGACATAGGTCGACGAGTCTGAGCGGGCGCCGACCTGGACAATTTTGAGCGAGGGCTTGTAGCGAGGGTTGGCGGCCTTCTTCTCGGTGATTTCCTGGTTGATGCGTTCGCGGATCGACTTTGCGATGGCAGTGCCATCAATCTTTTGGGCCGTCATCTGGCGGAGTGTGGTGCTGAATGCAGCGTGTTGGATGTTGGGAGAGAGGAAGGAACGCGTCACAGAGGTCGAAGATATGAGAGAGCGAAGATTTTGGCCCCGCAGAGCGATACGCCGACCGCTGATCAATTGACCGTGCATGGCGCAAGAACAATCCACCTTCTTCTTTGAGACGGGTATACCGAGCACAACAACAGAAGAGACTACGAGTGTCAACAAGGGAGCGACGGAGGGCCTGGCGTGGGGCAGGAGCGGCAGTTTGGTTTCAATTACATACAATGAGCAGAATTCGGTGGACTGTGTGTCACTCGAGTCTGGGGAGAGCTCAGAGTGGTGGCACGTCTTTGGACTTTTTCTGCTTGCAATACACTCAACTTGCACGTCTGCCTCTATGAATCACTATGACAGGCGACTTCTGGAGGTGCTCTTGTCCATTGGTCCAGCAGATTGCAAAAGGCGCAGATGGATGGCCAGTGGGTCAGAGTGTTGAAGGAATAGAGCGGTTCCAGAATGCGGAGGTGGACGGAGAGCTTGATTGGGAAGGTGCGACCAGCTTTACGGCTAGCGAGGGGGAAAATTACGGCGCAGGCAGTCGCAGACGCACGGGCCAAGCAACTCATGGCGGGCAACGCACATTTTCATAGACGCCAGCAGCAGCGACAGCGACTCGAATCCCACACATCACCGCCAACATGAGACCCATTCTGCTTTCCGGTCACGTACGTCTATCCCTCCTCCATCCCTCGCTCGCCGCAGAAACTGACCCCCGTCGCAGGAGAGAGCTCTGACCCAAGTCAAGTGCGCGCCCGCTCAGCTTTTTCGACAAGACACCCACTAACACACAGCGCAGGTTCAGCAAGGAGGGCGACTTCATCTTCTCCGTCTCCAAAGATCACAACGCATGCGCATGGTGGTCGCACAACGGTGAGCGCTTTGGCGTCTACAAGGGCCACCAGGGTGCTCTCTGGACGATCGACGTCGACCCGCGCACCGTCCTGCTCGCAACCGGCGGCGCCGACAACACCATCAGACTGTGGGAGGTCAAGACGGGCAAGCTGTTGAAGACGTGGGAGTTTGGAACTGCCATCAAGCGCGTCGAATTCAACGAGGACGGCACGCAGCTGCTGGGTGTCACCGAGAAGCGCCAGGGCCAGCTCAGCACAATCCTCGTCTACGACATCAACCAGGACCCTGAAGGCGAGCAGGCCGCCGAGCACTCGTTGCGCATCGTCGTCGACGACATTCCCAAGGTCACAGTCGCTGGTTTCTCGGCCTGCTCCAGATACATCATCTCGGGCCACGAGGACGGCTCCGTCACCCAGTGGGACGCAAAGACTGGCGAGGAGTACGAGCGCGCCTACCCCCACGAGGATGGCATGATGGTCACCGATCTGCAGTGGTCCGCCGACCGCACCTACTTTGTGACTGCCTCCAAGGACAAGACGGCCAAGGTACGACTGCCCTTCTCTCCACCTCCTCTTGAACAACTGCTAACCCAGCACAGCNTCATGGACGCCAAGACGCTCGAGGTCATGAAGACATACGTCGCCGACACGCCCCTCAACTCTGCCGCCATCACACCCGTCAAGGACTACGTTATCGTCGGAGGTGGTCAAGCCGCCATGGACGTCACCACCACCAGCGCCCGCCAAGGAAAGTTCGAAGCCCGTTTCTACCACAAGATCTTCGAGGAGGAGATTGGCCGTGTCAGAGGTCACTTTGGTCCCCTCAACTACGTTGCCGTCTCGCCCCTCGGCACTGTCTACGCCTCTGGAGGTGAGGACGGTTACGTCCGTGTCCACCACTTCGACCAGCCCTACTTTGATTTCAAGTTTGAGGTTGAGCGCGAGTTGAGGCTGTAATACGCCTAATTTCTCTTTGTGAACCACGGCATGGCATGGCGTTCAGGGCGTCGTTTGAAAAGGACTCTTTTCCGTGTGATGATATACAACCAAAAGTATCAAGAAGAGGAATGAGAAGAAGATGAGAAGAATGAAATGTCTACATCAAATGATTTGCTTGTCTTGTGTTGAAAATTTTCGAATCGTGAAGGCTTCGCGTGACATGACGCTGCGTAGACGAATTTTGCCTTGCTCATCCATCAAAGCCATATGCAAGGAACTTGTCTCCAGTCCCCAAGTACAACATCTATGAAGTCGCTGCACACTAACATCAACCTGGGAGTCGGTCGTATACAGCTCAGACTTCATCCTTTGTTCTTGTAAGCATTCCCTTCCACTCATCCATCCACGTTGCGGCGTCGGAGCGGAACAACGACGCCTCAAGTGGCTTGCCCGGCGACCTCGAATTATTCCGTCGCGACAACAATTCATCTCCGACGACTGCTTGTTCTGTCTTTGATTCTTTTACATTCTTGCTATCCCTTATCTCGTCGACTGAACTCTGACGCATCTTTGCAGCTTCTTGGTTTCTGTCGCGGGTGTTTTGACGTACCTGCACACAACATCAACAACCATGGCCTCCTCTATCACTCTGCCACCTCCAAACGCCAAATATTCATTCAGCGTCTTGGAGAATATATTCAAGCAAGGACTTCCCGACACTGATGCCGATACTTTTGAATATGTATGCTTTTATCTCATGCCTTCCTCTACTCCTCAAACTAATGCAACAACATAGGCAAAAGAGAACTTTGGTCTCATCCAGCGAGAGTATCCTTCAGATGCCACTCTCGAAGACGCAGCAAACCAAACTCAATGGCAGAGATTCGAACACTATATCCGTGACTTGAATGCCCATGCCGAAGAAGGTGTCGAGTACAAACTTCTGTACTTGGGCAGACATGGACAAGGATACCACAATGTCGCTGAAAGCAGATATGGCACAAAACTCTGGGATGTATGAATTTCCCCTCTTCTCAAACCTTTAGCTTTTCCCAGACTTTTTGTTGGAAGTATTGGTACTGATGTAGAAGCACAGGACTACTGGGCCAAACAAGAAGGCGACGAACACGCTCACTGGGCAGACGCCCATCTAACCCCAATCGGCGAACAACAAGCCCTTGACGTAAACGCCTTCTGGGAAATCGCTTTGACGCAACAAAAAGTCCCAGCACCAGAAACCTACTACACATCCCNNCCCTTCTACCGCTGCCTCCAAACGTCCTGGCTTTCTTTCCATTCCCTCGCCTTGCCCGAGGATAAACAATTCATTCCCATCATCAAAGAACTCCTCCGCGAAACCAACGGCGTACACACCTGCGACCGCCGCGGTCCCTCCTCAATCATCCGCAAAGACTTTCCAACCTACATTCTCGAANAAGGCTTACCCGAAACAGATATTTCGTGGACGGCTACTCATCGCGAAACACCTACTGGACATATCCTCCGCGAGCATGTGTGTCTAGAGCAGATTTGGGACGAGCAGAGAAAGAAGGGTGTGTTTTTGTCGTTGACGGCGCATTCGGGGACGATTGCCGCCATGTTGGGGGCGGTGGGGCATAGGAGGTTTGCGTTGCCGACTGGAGGGGTGATTCCTGTTGCTGTTAGGGGTCAGAGGGTGAGGTGATGGTGGGGAATGGTGAGAGATGAGTAGAAGGGATGAACGTTTTGTTTTGTTCCGACAGAATGGTACAGCGCCCGATAACCAACTGCCAAGATGGTGTATCATGGCATGGTTTGCTTCGCCAGTGTTTCCGTACAAACACCATGGTTCTCAAGCTTCGAGAATCTGATATCACAGATCAGGACATCACGACCGCCACATTGGACTAATCCTGCCGCAGTAAACTTCATGAATCCCCATTGTATACCTTAAACACGCACACATGTTTTGTTTTGCTCTGAATGTCACATCGTCGATGATCCAGCCATTTTTTGCCCTCGGATATATTGTTGCGGCTACGACCCTGCTCATGGACTCATGCCGTCCTCGGCCCGGGACAGTTGGGCATGATACGTCAATATGGAGGCCCCGTTCTCTTACAAGCCACACGAATTGAAAACGACGATAGACACTTGACCGGCACAGAAAATGCAGTCCAGGCTCAAGAGTTCGTTTAGTGAGATAACACTGGAAATGGATCACTTTGAAATATATATGTAAATATCTGCTTTGCGCAACAAACGAAAGAAAGCTCCGTAAAAAGAGAAAAACAAAGGAAATGGAAAAAAAGAAAAGAAAAAAAAAACCGAAACGTCTGCTATATATTCAACACCTCCCAACTCTGATTTTGTTGGGAGTTTACTTTCTTGTCCAGTCAAAGACTGCATGACCGGCCCATACAGCAGGCTTGTCAATGGCCCAGTGGAACAACTCGCCGCAGAGAATCGATGCAGGCAAGACGACAAAGAAAGCGACGGCCTTTGCCGCAGCAGAGCTGAGTCCAGCTGAGACGTTGCAGTATAGGAAGAGCTTGATGCCAGCGGTGTACATGAGGAGGGTAGAGACGAGGAAGTANGCCTGTGATACAATCAGTAGGGGTTCCATGAAGCAGTGCAAGAAGGGTGGCTTACTCAACGAACGTCTTCCAACAGTCTTGAGAGGTTTGCTGGACAGGATGCTCTTGGTGACCTCGCTAAACTCGACGAGCAGCAAGATACCAACAATAACCAGCCAATTGTCCATACGAGGGTAAGGCTGGGTGCCATCAAAGTAGCCGAAACTGCTGCCGCCGAGGTAGCGAGCGGGATGGGCATGGGACTCGCCACTCCAGTACAGGTTGTCCAAGCCTGCAGTCCACATGTACTTGAGACCAGTTCCAATACCGAGCATCAAGACAGCCAAAGACCAGTAAGGCATTCTTACACTGCCACTCTCATTGCTGTAGCCGCGGAACATGGCGGTGCGCAAAGGAGGGTTGACAGCGACATCAGCGAGGAAAAGACCGGTGGCTGAGTACCAGCCCCAGCTGTTGAACCACCAAGAGCCGAATGCGAACATCAAGAGGCCGGTGACATGCCAAGATGGTCTGCTGTAAGGCAAGACGACCATGAAGATGTAGACGGTGTAACTCTGCAGATACACGGCACTGGGCACCCACAGTGTCCAAGAGGGGAATGCCAGGTTACCCATCTGCAACGAGTAATCCTTGGTCACCCACAGCAAGTCCCAGATACTGTTAAAGCAAGCCAGTGCAGAAGCTGGCTTCTCGGGCGCACGTAGGTATGGATTGCCATTGAGAATGGCAAAGTCTTCGAGGTATTGAGTGTTGATTGTGCTGAAAATTATGCACGAGAGGGCGAGGCCGATGGCCAGAGGGATGCCCATGCGGATGGGGCGGGCGATGAGCGAGCGTGCATAGGTTGCCGAGTTTGCATCGCGAAGGAAAGAGATGGCGACTGTGCGGGCTGACAAGAGGATGAAGAAGCAGAAAATGAAGGATTCATCCCAGAGAAGGGGTGAGAGGATCTTGCGGAGGAGCACTTGGTAGTGGGGAGACTTCTTGAATGGTCGGGATATCGCCTGGAGGAGCAGGTTAGCGCTTGGGAAGATTGAATTAACATCGTGGCATGTGCGGTGACAGAACGAGAACATCTGCAGAGCGAGTCTTGGAGAGCATGCTGGTCGCTTCTTCAATCTGGAAGTTGCGAGCCGCACGCTCTTGCCAATGATAACTCATTTCGATGCAGGTCAGAGGACACGCTAGCCAGCACAACCTCAACTTGAGCACCTGTCTACAACTTCAAGCATCGCATAGCTGCAGGAACCAGCTGTTCTGAGCTCCAGAAGCTCTGCCATGTGATGCTCGAAATTGAAGTACGAGAGATGATGTCGAGGATGAAGCTGCTGCCGCCTTCTGCCGATGTTTCTCCGCCAGATTGCGCTCCTTGGATCCTTTCCCCGCACCGCTCGCTCCCACCGTTCACTCTGATTTGATAGGGAGAAAGGAGATTTTGACATACTGAGGTTGCGAGGATACAAGTCGCGAGCATACAGATCGCGAGCTACAATTCCGGAGCCAGCACCAGGAGCGACAATACCGGGACCACCAAACACACCAGGCACTGTCGATGGCGCGTTGTTGGGTACGTGTTCTCCAGTCGTCGTCGGTGCCGGGACTGTCAGCGTCGGATCAAAGACCTTGAAAAACAGCCAGGCGAAACTCTGCACTGCGAGAATGGCGCGGATGCCCCAAAGGTGGTCTTGAGAGTTGCTGAAGACAGACGACTTTCGCCGCTGTGTCATGTAATTCTGAGGTTGGTAGCCGGGCATGATGTCTTGATTTCGCCCAAGGAGCGTGCTTTGGCGTTGAAGGGGAAAACAACAAGGTGAGTTCGAGTTCAAATGCCCGAGATGGAGTGTCTGAAGAGATCAACTATCAATTTGCTCATCAATCTCTCGACCCTGACTTGCGTTGCCGGTCCACGCTCTCGTCATGTTTTGATCAAAACGGCGACTATAGGCGTCAATCACCCTAGTTGTGTCCAGACTTCCTTTTCCTCCATCCGTTCATCTCGCGCCTGGTCCACGGTATGCCATGGACAAACGTTTCGGACCCACGGCCGGACAAGTGACCCGAATATGGCCCGTGATATCAACCGTCAGCCCTCCAACGGCCGCAAGCCGCACCGTTTGGACAACAAGCACAAACTGATTAGTACCCTTTCCTTCTACGGACAATCCATTCTTCACTCGGCACGCCGTTCTGAAACATATGACAGCCATGCTTGCCTGGTTCTCTCGGATATCGTCGGATCTGCGCGTTTGCTACCCCTTTGGTATTGTGATGCCCTACTATGGCAAATCCTTTGCTTCGTTCATGCCATAGTAAGACATACCGTTTTGCTATTCCTCTCACACGATGGTTTCCTGTCAATCGATCCCCGCGGTATACACTGGTGGCGTCAGTCAAATTCCTTCTCTTTGGAGTACCATCTTGCCGAATGTGTCAACCGAGTCCGTACGTCCGTACCCTTGGCAGTCTCATTCTAACGCGCGACTCTGTCGAAACGGCCAGACCAGTGAGCGCCATGGCGACTACGTCAAGCAGTCCCGAAAACAGACAACCCTCGTCAATTGCAGACGTTGATCATTTCGATGAATCCAATCTGACGATGGTCTAGAGATTCAGCAGACTTCCAGATCTAGAAGCCTCGTGATGATAGGCTTGCTCAAGGATGCTGCTTGAATAAATTGAATACTTGACCAAAGTCTTTGAAGTTTTGCCGCAATCTCCCCTCTTTCTCTCCACCAAACTCACACCCCTGCTTGAGCACCAACACCACCACAGTCATGGCCGACGAGTTCAAGGGTGGCAAGGCCGCAAAGTCGGGCTTGAAGGAGGTATTCAGCAAACTTGACTATGCTGTCAAGTACTCCTCAAACTGGATCTTCGAGTGGACACCCTTCATCCTCACAATTTGCTACTGGGTAGCATCCATCACTTTCTACGTTTCTTGCGATGAAGGGACCATCAAAGGATTCTACTACTTCTTCATGGTCATCAACTTCTACATCGCCGCCTGTACAGTCATTGAGGCTTTCTTGGGAATTTCACCACTCCGCGATGCGAGAGCAGCTGCTATCAGAGTCAACGCTTGCGGAGAGTTCCCCACTCCTGATGACCTTCTTCCAATTCTCGACATTGTCATTGTCGCATACCTGCCCAACGAGCAGGATATCGTCAAGGATCAAGTCAACTACGCCCTCGAGGAGATCGTCTACCCTCGTGACAAGCTGCGCATCAACCTGCTCTACAACACTCCTAAGCCAATCGAGCCTCTGGAGACTGAGCTACTTGAGATGGAGAAGCAGCACGGTGGTTTGCTTCGTGTCACCAAAGTTGTAGGCTCCAAGTCCAAGGCCGACAACCTCAACTTCTTCTTCACCCTCGACACTGGCGCTGAGATTATTGCTGTCTTTGATTGCGATCATTTCCCCCACCCTTACAATGCTCGATGGGCTGCCGAACGTTTCATTGCCGATCCCACTGTCGACATTGTTCAAGGCAGATGTATTGTCTACAACTCCAAGGAAACCTTCTTCACTCGCATGATTGCTCTCGAATTCGACAAGATCTACGCTGTATCGCATCCTGGTCGTTCGCGTCTCTTCTCCTTCGGTCTGTTCTGTGGAAGTAACGGTTACTGGAAGGCTGAACTGCTACGTGGTCACCAAATGCACGGTCACATGCTTTGCGAGGATATCGACTCCGCCCTGAGAGCTTACGGTGAAGGCAAGAGAGCTGTCCACGACATGAACGTCAAGTCCTACGAGATGGCACCGACGTTCTGGATGGCTTTCTGGAAGCAAAGAATGCGCTGGACTCAGGGATGGACTCAAGCCTCTATTCGCCATGCTCACATGATTTGGGACAACCCTCCCAATGGTACTCGCTGTTTGAGCGAGCGTTACGGTCTTCTTTCTCTCATTATTGTCCGTGAATTGAGTTACTACCTCGTTACTCAGTAAGTCACGATATCTGCGGTGGATCATAAAATATTGTGCTAACCAACCATCAGACACACTTGCCTTTTGTTCAGTTTCCTCATCACTGGCTGGCCCCACAACTCAGGTGAACTGGCCAGATTGATCTTCTTCCGCTACGCCTTGTCCGAGTGGTTCCTCTTCCTCACTGTCGGAAGTTTGATTGTGACGCTATGGATCACGGAGATCGTCCGATCCGAGTTTACCTCATTCTACGACATGATCCTCTTCTCCGCCATCTACGTGCCCTATCTGATCCTCCAGGGTACAATGGGTAAGTTCCACTACAAACTCAAGACATTGACAAAAGCACTTGCTGATCACGCATACANNGGTATCTATGGACACTTCCGTGAGATCATCGGATACTCATCTTGGAACCCTACTTCAAGAAAGTAGGGTCACTTCACTCCACCAACATATTTATGTTACCCCCATTTTTCCTTTCTTCTTTGCTCTTTATTTTTTCTATATAACTTGTTTCCTTTGTTATCATAGTCTAGACTGCATAGCTTAGCATCGAAAAAGATCCGTAGGATTGCTATCGCTAATATCAGCCAAACTTCGCCGAAGATTGCCTCAATACCTTGACTGGAGCTTTTCGGAAGCTGCGGTATATGACCGTTGCTGCAAGTCCTCGATAGTTTTACCACGCAACGCTTTTACCAACGGCTTTTCGCTCGGTACACATGTTAGAAGTCTGTACGATTCATGAACGAACGTGTGGGATAGGCGCTGATTTGAAGAAGTCAAAAAGCCGTTATATTCAAACGGCTAATGCAATCCTACCCTTAACTATATACACTCTAATCTTGGGTTGCTCCACCACGAGTGTACACAGTAGGTACATACGTTGTGCACGCATTACCGCTTCTTTTCTCCACCCCACCGTTGCACCCGATTTATTGATCTACAGAAGCATTGGAAGTTGCCGCATAGAACAAACAATTGCAAGAATAAGCAACTGAAACAAGGTAGGCTGATCCGTACGTTGACTTGTAACTGTCCATAGTGCCGACCTTCACGCTCCACTTCAGCCCAGATGGCAATAGCCATCGGTCATTAGGGTCACAGCGCTATACGGCTGACGGTTGTATACTGGTGATGTTGATGAGTGTCCACAACAATGGCAAGCGTACTGATTGCCTCGGGGTCCAGATCGCCAGTAATAATCCTTTGCATCATACATTGATCGCCCTTCCCTTCCTGCTTGTTCTATTTCCAATACCTGCCACTCACACGTCAACCATTTGGTAGGACGAGGCACGTGCGGCTTGGATATAATCCAAAACTGCCTACAGCCTTCTTGCCTTCTTATACTTCTTACCTTTGTGTTACCTTCTGCTTCTATCGTTTTGCTTGCTCTCTCCTTCCATACCGCAACCATGAAGTGGNGGATCGCACTAACAAGTGCCATCTTGGCGGCAACCACGACCTCCGCCCTGGATGTTTCCGACTGCTCTTGCGGTTTCCTCGATGCTGCGAATGATCAGATTTGGACGGATGCACTGATTGTATACTTCAACGAGACTAATCAACTGCCCCAAGAATTCAAGGCCCTTGATTTCCACCATCGCAGAGAGTATGGCTACAACTCACTGTATCGACAGGGTGCCACTCCTGATAATGTGATGATTGGCAATGCTACAGATGAAAATGTCAACGAGCAGGTGCTGCAACTCTGGATCGATCAGGGTACTGGACAGCACTATGTCCAGGGTGCTGGTATCGAGGCCCTGAGACAGGACATCCATTTTGGTACCTTCCGTTCGTCTATGCGCGGACCGAACAAGAACACTGGGTGAGTAAATATTCGAAAACAAGGCTTAAAGGTCGATTGAAGCTGACAATAATGCCTCTGTAGTGGATCCGCAATGTCGATGGAACTCTACCACAACCGCACGTCTTTCATCGAGGTCGACATGTGTAACATGCAATACCCCGAGGACGCCAAATTCCTGGCCCTCAAGGACGGTGAATTCCCGGACACCAAGTACCAGCTCAATTACACTTACTTTGCAAACGAGAAAAACGCTACCGTCGGTGGCGATCCTTGGGAGTTTGTCGAGAGCAAGATCGACTGGACCGCCAAGCACGTCAACTGGACCTTTGGAGGAAACCAGACCAGATCGGCCAAGCGTAGTCGTACCGATCTCAGTGAGCCCCTGCCTCTGGTTTTCAAGCACTGGTCGATCGGTGACAAGTACTGGATGGCCGGTCCTCCCAACCAACGCAACCAGGCCGACGTCGCTTGGGTACGTGCCTTCTTCAACTCTTCGCTGACCACCAAGGATCAACAAACCGCCTTTGATGGTCGCTGCAGAGGAGTCCAAATGTGCTCCGTCGACGACGTCACTCTTCGTGGCTCGAGTCCTTACGAACAAGCTGCTCTCGTCCCATACAAGGAGCCTCCGATGAGCAGANGCTGGCGTGTCCCCGCTGGTGCCACTTCCGGTGCAGTCTTCGCCTTTGGTTGCTTGACCCTTATCAACGTGCTTTTCAGAAGAGCTCCTTGGAAGTTGCTGCTGGCCAAGAACAGAGGCAAGAAGGTTCATGTCGAGCCTGAATTGAGTTCGCCTTCACCTTTCGTTCAGCAGCTTTTGGGCGTCTCCAAGGATGAGAAGACCTTGATTCCTGCACTTCCTGAGAAAAAGGCGTCGGTTGTTGGGTTTGTCGATGTCGCTACGCCAGTTGAGGACAACAAGCGTGACAGCATGCGCAGAAGAAGTGTCAAATTCTTCAACCCCTTCGACGCCGAATCCGGAGATGACTTTGTCAAGAGACACAGCGGTGCTTTCACTTCAGCCACTGAGGTTCCTCGCAACATGTCCAACGCACAACCCACCGACTGGCGCAGGAAGAGCATGGCCTACCACGGTCAACTTCCCGAGATGCTTCCCGAGAGGAGTGAACAGGCAAAGAAGATCAGAAAGGCCAGTGTTGCGTTCGCCGAAGACACGGCTTTCCGTCCCCGTCAAGCCAGTACATTCCAGAGCATCAAGGGCCGCAGCGGAAGCACCGTCAAGGCTATTGGACACGTTCTTCAGCATGGTATGCATGATGCTGAACGCGTCGAACCTATCGAGCTGCAGCAGAACCTGATGCACACCGAGTCCGACTCTGACAATGGAAAGCCCACTGCTGCCAGAAGAGAGAGCCATGCAAACTTTGCTGGTGTCGTCATGCGTGATCCGGATACTCTGCAAGATGTCGACCTTTCCCACCAATCCCCAGATGCCCGTCGCTCCACTATCATCAGAGGAAGACAGCCTAGCGTACTCGAGCGATACCGCGAGAACCACTTTGCCAGCATTGGAGGTGTCTCGATGGCGTCTGGCATTTCCCGTGGTTCCATCCCCATGAGAGACTGGAACACCCAGGAGTTGCACGAAGTCAGCACCATTGATCCTCCTCACGAGTCGCAGATGAAGATGAGCCGCCGTATTACTCTCGCCGAAGCCGTTCCCGTGTCAGCTGTCGATATGCCCCTGCCCAAGGCCAAGGAGCACGAAGCCCGTATCAACTATCTCGCCGGTCTTGTCGCTTTCTCCTCTCTCGGTGTCACTGTCATCCATTTCATGCTGTCATTCAACCCCTACGCCGGTGGTTTGAACTATGGTCAGCATTACAGAAGCGAATACTGGGCTCGTTGGACTGTTACTCCCGCTATTCTCAACCCCATCTGGGTAAGTCAGCAAAACCAAGATCAAGTGCATTTCTACTGACTAACCTCATAGCTCGGACCATTCTTCGTCACTTCGTGTAGATTCTTGGCCGCCAGATACCTCCGTGATGGCGACTTGGGCATGATTGCCGAGAAGACTCTTCTCCGTGCACCCCGCTTGCTCTTGCCCTGTTTCATCGTCGCCGCGCTGGAGTACTTGTGCTTCGAGCTTGAATTCATGCAGTGGTTGTCGTACCTTCCCTCCATCTCCTGGTCCGAGTGGGCCTTCATGTCCAACTACGACAACTTTGGGCACTACCTCAACGCTATGCTGGAGCTGGCTTACCTGATCCCCAACGCTGCACCCCAGGTTGTCAGTCACTACTGTGTCGGTGTGCTCTGGTCCATTCCCGTCCAGCTGCAATTCAGTTTCATGACCCTTCTGGCTGTCGTCATGATCCGTGATATCAAGACTCACTGGAAGCGCTTCGCATTCTACTCTTGGTGTGTCATCGCCCATTGGTACTCGCTGAGTTGGGGATCCTGCTTCTGGGCTGGTTTGATGCTGGCAGATCTGCAGGTCACCTACAAGTTCAGTGCCAAGGTTCAGGCTCGTCCCGTTCTGAGCGTGCTGTTCTGTATGGTTATGTGGATCTTGGCCATCGCCAGTGCTGCCATGACTCTCTTGGAAGATCGCCTGGACATCACGACCATGTCTTCTGAGAGAAACATTCACCCTGACATGTACACCGGCAAGAAGCTTGGCGACACTATCAGAGGTGGATACCCGCTGTACTTCGAGCCTCGTCTCAACACCCTGGTCTTTGCTGTCGCCATGCAGTTCCTGGTCGAGACGAGCACATGGTTCCAGGCTTTCCTTTCGATGAAGGTCTGGCAGCCCATCTTCCCTCACGCATTTACCATCTACCTCATCCACGGATTCATCTGGTGGACTCTTGGTTCGTACATGGTAGTGATGATCGGATCCACGGGCGCACCCTACTGGGGCGTTCTTTTGGCAACAGCAGTTGTGTGTTATTTCACTCTCGCCATCACAGTTATCGCTCTGTCCTTCCTGACCGAGACCATTACGGCCGCTTGCTGTCGCAACATTGCTCGCTGGGCCATGGAGCCCAAGGTCCCCAAGCAACCCACCCTCGAGCCCTTCCCTCGCAACCTCTTCCTCGACCGCAACAGCGACACGGCAGCCCTCAAGGACGAGGAAACCGCCGTCGGAGAGACAGGCGTCGGAGCCGGCAACATGGTCAGACGCCCTACCCTCCTTCCAGGCTCCATCTCCGACCCCACAGCCAGACGCCCCACCATCGTCGACGGCGCCATTCTCAACGATGCCGAAAAGGCCGCTCTGGGCTCCACAACCATGTCGTCGCCCAAGCCGCCACAAGGCTTCGAGCAGAACAACCGCCACAGCAGGAACTTTGAGAACAACCGCCACAGTCAACACATGGCCGACTTTGTCATCGAGGAAGAGGACGAAGAGGAACTGGATCCTGATGATCCTCGCTACAACAAGTCTTCTGTGGCGTCCAGTTCGTCCGACAGACATTCCAGTTCGGCGGGTGCTAGCTCCAGTTCGGCGTCTACTTCGAGGCAGGCTCCTTGATCTTTCTTCTTTCTTCTGAAAACTTCTTATTTCTTTTCCTTCTTTTTTTTTCTTTTCGTCATTTCTTTCTAGCTTGTCACATATTACATTTCCTATGTTCACATATTAGTAAATATAATCTCCTTGACCTCTTTCAAATGTGTTTCGGTGTCATCATCTGTGCTGGTGTCTTTTCGCAGGTGAAATGGAAGAAAGGAGGTGAAGTCGGACAAGTTGACACGGACCATGCTGCTGTCATGACGGAAGTGTCCGCTTCTTCGATCCCTCCACTTCGTCTCTAGCCGGCACTGCTTGCTCCAGCATCGTTCGTGTACAAGCCAAAGCCGTCTGTTGTAACAAAAGAGCGTGTTGGAAATGTCTCTCCATCCCGGGCACAGTAAAGACCGGACCGGCTGTCGAACGGCTCAGGTAGGGCAAAGCCGAACGTCGGCCGGCAAGTGTCGCGCAGCTTCGGACGGCCATCAGGACTTCACGCCGGAGTCTTAATCTCGCGCCCAACTATGACTCTCTTCTAAGTAACATAAGTATCCATACCTTCTCTCATGGCTTTGTTTGTCAGACAGTTGTCAAGAAACAAGATCATGTCTTCACTACAGCATAGCAGAGGTGTTCATACAGCACGCGTCGCTTTCCTCTATCAAGCCATCGAGTCGCCAATCATCAATGGCGTGCGCAAGCCAATGAAGCCTGGTGGTACGTCTGGATATTCCAAACACATGTTGGAGTATGCATTGACTTTGATCANNGGCTACCAAGACGGGTGCGCCGATATGGCCTTCAACCTGCGCAACCAACCCGGCATCGACATCATCACGCCCATCGACTCTCCCGATCCTCGCGAACACGTCGGCTGGAGCTTCCCAGACTCTGAGGATGGCATCCTTGCCGCGCTGCAGAAGGGAGCTACGCATCTGTTCGCCAACACCGTCGTCTTTGCCAGTCATCCACTTCAAACATCTGCAAGAGTAGGGGGATATCAGGATACAGTCAAAGTCGTGGGACATGCGCCGTGCATGGTAGAGGTTTATGATGACAAACACTACGTCAACGACATGTTGCGCAAGTCTGGCAACTTCACTCTGCCTCGTGGTTGGCTGGTCGAGGACGATGGTTCAGATCTAGCCGCAAAGCTCAACTCTCTAGACCTGCACTTGCCCGTCGTTGGCAAACCAGTCCGCGGCCGCGGCAGCCACGGCGTCAAAGTCTGCAACAGCACCCAAGAACTACTTGCACACATAACTTCCCTATTCGCAGAGTCTCCAGCCGTAATCCTCGAAGACTATCTCGCTGGCGAAGAAGCCACAGTAACGATTTTGCCGCCTTCAGAGGATAATCCATCTTACCGCGCTTTACCTATCGTCCTGCGTTCTGGCCATACAAACGGTGTAGTACCCTACAACGGCATTGTCCCCGTGACCGCAAACTCACGCGCCGTCACTGCAGACGAATACGCAAAAGATGCTACTTATTCAGCGATTGCGGCAGAGTGCGAGAATGTTGCCAAGGTGTTGGGTGTAACTGCTCTCATGCGGATTGACGTGCGTCGCGTTTCTGCACAGCCGGGCTCTAAATTCGCGCTGTTTGATGTGAATCCGAAGCCAAATATGACAGGTCCGGGACGGCCTGGGAGAGATGATCAGGCGAGTTTGAGTGCGATTGCTGCTGCAGAGGTGGGATGGGATTATGCGAGATTGTTGACTGAGATGGTGGGGACTGCTCAACCTTTGCGTCGCCTGAGAGAAATGCAACCGGATGCTGCATAGAGCAAAAGACCATGTTGGGTCTGGTCGCTCAATTCGCTACGTATTTAGTCTAGGGAGCAATCTCTCCATTACGCAAAGTGATCCTTTCCCATATCTCATAGCGCCCATGGCTCATGACCAATACCATTCAACAGTCCTCGCGACAAGCACGACTCAGCGCTCTCGTTGCATCTTATTCGGAAGAAGAAGTATAGGAATCCAATGTGCCAACAGGAGATACAACATGATGATCGGCGAAGGCAAAAGCTTCGTGACAGCATGAGGTAGCTGGAAGAATACACCATCGGCCCATATCATCCAAGCGATCAAACTACTGACCACAAAGCTAATGAGTACGCAGGACTTCGGTGTAGTCAGGTGTCTCGTAGAGAATTCCATTGTGGGAGATTTCTGACGTTGTGGGATCAAAGTGGGGAGTTTCTTCTGAACGACTCTATGCCTTCGCATACTGACAGGAAGGATAGGGTGAGGTGGCTGACTCCGTTGTGTGGAAATGCTGAATTCTGAATGCTGGAAGGTCGGACTGTTGCGAGAGAAGAACTGAATGGACGATGACAAGTTGCGACTGACCTTTAACATCTTGACAACACCTCAGCAAACCCGTACTTTGGGTTTGGGATATCACATGTGACCAGGACCAAGCCGATATTACTGTACAGGGAGCAAGAGATGTTGATCAGAGAGATAAACTTCCACGGGAATAGAATTTCGGCTCTCGGCACCAAGCACTTGGTATTGACGACTGCCTTTACAACACGTACTTACAACTTCACGAATTCATACCGACGATCTTGAGCATGATATCTCCAGTGGAAAAGTCATCAGATAAGATACTCGCGCATTGTTTCCTTGTTGGCTGTAAATTGATTCATTGTCTTCTCAAGAACCCTAGGTGCGAAACTCGAGTTGTCGAAGAAGCTTTCCAATTGAGATCTGGTTACGGTCTCGAGTTTTGCGGTAATCAACTATTCGATGGTGTGCGCAATCTTGCTAGGTGCGCGAGTCTCGCTGATTACGAAGGCTTTTGCAGCATGCTGTCTGAGGGACAGCGACAAGCAATAGCAGGAGCATCTTACAATCGGATCGTTCATGGTGAAGGCGTCACCCTTCAAAGAACCAACTCATTAGCTAGGAGTGACCTGAGCACATGCTAGCGTTCCAAAAGCTCACGATATCACATAGGAAGAGATCCCCTCAGACACGCAAGTCGTTTTTGAACATCAGTTTCCAACTGTCCCATCGTTGCCTGATCCGAGGGCTTTAGCTCTGATAGTTTCGAGGCAGATGATGGGTTAAGATATGCTTGCACAGCATTTATTTGACGCTGTATCAAGTAGCTGCACATTTGTGCTACCATGGCTGTCCGCATCTCTCCTAGTGGAAGTGCATGTTGCTGTGGGTCGGGTGTGCCCAAAGAGGCATGTTGCTTGTTTACTGCATGTTGTAGAGCCATTATGGCGGCGAGATATGTATTGAAGAGCAACATGTGGTTGGCCATGATCATGTGCCTTATGATACTGCTTGACCAGTCATTTTTTGATTCATAGAGTGTATTGCCAAGCAGAATGTTCAAGCCGCCAGCCTCAGGGCTACTTGATAAAGATTTCGGGTTGGACAGTATTGGCAGCGATCCCTCTGATGGTCTTACGAAGGGATTTGATTGTGGAGTACCATCGTTCAGAGCACGCAGCGTGTCGAGCAGGTCCTGAGAAGCCGAGAACATATTCTCGAGAAGAGCGCAGCCATCCTGTGCAGCTGCAGGTATGTTCTGGTCCTGCTCGAAAGTACCGGCAGAGGAATCTGCCATGTTCGAAGAAGCACGAACAAGCCATCCTGTCAGCTTCTGGAACGCGGTATCATCTGCGAAAGGACCTTTCTGAAGGGTCGCAGTATTTTGCTGATTCAGCACATCCGGNTGATTTGCAATGCTGAGGACTGCGCTGTACAAATATTAGATGCGTTGACTCAATTTAGAAAGACCAGCCATTGGATTCGCTGGCTCATGGGCCTTCGTTGTGGTGTCCTGATGAGAATCTTCTCGAGTAGGCATTTATTGTATGTTTGGCTCAGGCATCTCGCTCACAAGATCGGGTGAAACGGCATATGATGAGTCAAGGGTGTTGTCGCCCAGGCTGCCGTTCTCGATGCCGAGATCCTGAGGGTCGAAGTGCCACTGCTCCGGATTCGTGAAGATATCGTCAACATAATCTATCCAGTCCATGGACATCGGATCGATGCACACATCAAGATTTGTTCGGTCGGATCGCTGCTGGCCAGTTGCAACTCCCTCCGCAACGATAGCCGGATGCTGTCCATTCTCCTCAGAGTTGCACTCGGTCTGCGTGTTACCGATAAATGGCTTATTGGTGCATGAAGTATTTTTCTTCTGTCTGCTCGGCCGACCTTTTGGTAAGCTCGAGCTGTATATACATTGCGCTCTCAACCGAATGCAGCGCTCGCATGCACCACTGCTGTCGTCAGACGGACGTTGACATCGTAGTTTCTGCTTGTAGCATCGATCGCAAGACTGCCGTTTTGGTGCACTTGGAGGGTTTTGCATTTGCTGAGTTTCTGTGTCATCAAGGCATGCGCTGGCAGAGCGCAGGTGGATTTATAGGACAATCAGTCCGACGTCGCCAAAGTAAGGAGGAAGGCTTGGGACTCGGGAGTGTTGCGGAGGAAGTGGCATTGGCCTTCTGGCTAATTAGCTTGTGATTACCACTGATTTACCGGGCTTGTTGGCGCCCTGCGTCGTGATTGGCTGAGATTGCAAGATACACATCAAATCAGGGCGGGATAGTCAGTAGCACATGAATTGCGTCAATTGCCGTGACGAAACATAAAATTGACATAGTCCACGCCTTTATGGATACTAGGGCAATGAACCCTGAGCAGATCGGAACGTTAACCAGAAAAATAACAAACCAAGCAAGATGCAGCATATTACCGTTGCCGCTCGCGAACCAACATTCGAGACATTCATTTTGTCAATCTTGAGAACGAACTGCTTGGTCTGGGCCCAAGACCGCTCTTCTCATATGCCATGTCGATCAACTCGTAGTCGCATTTGTTGTGCACTCCATTCGTATAGGCTTGAGTATCGCAACTCGTACATTCCACAGGATCGGCATCGAAAAGCAAACGAAGCGCTGCATAGTTATAAGTACCCATTACATCATGGTAGCGCCAGAGATGAAGTAGTTGAAGTGTATGTCGTCTTTGGAGGAGGCCCACCAGGGGATCATGGAGGTTGAAGTGACATGAACCACATCTGCAGGATCGATCAGAGACTTGAACAGATTCCAAGATGGGTAGAAGCGGGTGTGGAAAGCTTCGAGTATCACCGGAGCATCCGGTTGGAACAGCTCGGGCATGTTGAAAAGAATCTTGGCTTCAGTTGCGTTTGAAGTCGAAGGCTTCTCCAGGAGGACATGCTTGCCAGCACGGATCGCACGAATGGCCCATTCATAGTGAAGTCCGTTTGGCAGTGGGATGAAGACGCAATCAATATTGGGGTCGTCGAGAATGTCTTCGGAATGTAAGCTAACACTCAAAGATCGTACACCGAGGACAACACGAACCTTGATGTAAATTCTTGACTTCTGAGATACCGTGCGACTTTGCGACTGCTTCTGCTTTTGATCGGTCACGCGCCGCAACAGCTTGGACCATCACTTCGGGATGAGATTTGAGGGGGTTATCAACGACAAGGGACTGGTCTTCATGGTCAGAACAGATATGCTGCACAATCAACAAGAGACTCACGCTATGCTTGCGGCACCCAAGACACCAAATCTGAGAGCGCCTACCTGTTTGGGCACCTGCGGCGGGCTGAATGCGGACCATACACGACTGATCATGGCTGCCATCTCGTCTGAAAGTTGTGATGTTTCCGTCGCTGGGTTGAGGATTCTTTTTGGAAGTGCGTTGATAGAGATCGGAAGCGTATAAACAAATATCATCTGGGCGGATGGGCCAGGCTATTTATCGCTGATCGCAAACGCGATTCGGGGCAACCAAACATTCATGCCATTCTGTACAAAGTGGTGAATTACCGACCGATTCACAATGTTTTGTGTGGAAGGAGGGAGCAAGTGTCGGCATGATATCGACGGCGTCGGTGCCATCGGCGACGGTCACGTGGAAAACTCACCGAATCTCCCGTCTTCACAAAATCGCCGAACGTGGCTCCCTCGGCAGGATCCTTAGCAGGCTGCATTCTTACTCTCATCGATCAAACAATAAGACTGCCAGAAATTCTATTGGTCGATGTACATGATGCTCTGCTCCGCGCTTACTGAACTGATGAAAGCGGCGCGCCACATCGCGACGCTTCATTCCAGTGTTGTGCGCAGCCCGTGGACTCGACAGTAAAAATTGACTGCCTTTACCACGCGTACTGCTGCTACTGCATTCCATGCGATTCACTACGGTATATATTTGATCGAGCAGATGCCTGATCTCAGGCAACAAGGCGATAATCTGGTTTGGGCAATCGCAAGCCACCCACTATCGACGAGACAGAGCATTGGCTGTCCCTGTGGCGAGTCGAAGTTATGCACATGCACCTGAACGAATCAGAAACATCGCAGACCCGCATGGAAGAGGCGTCTACAATGTATAGATCATAGCGAATCGTATATCGCATCGAAGTCCGAGGCCATGAGCGTGAAACAGCTGCTCCTGGCTCCCACTTTCACGTTTGTAATTTTTCGGCGTGGCTACGACGAGATACCAAGGCAACATCTGGAGTTGGCTTATGTGTCACCTGCCCGCTTGACTGACAAAAAAATATGTCTTTATGAGCTTCCAAAGCCTCACAGTACAAGCAACTGCCAGCCGCAGTTTGATGCTTGCTAGTAGATCAAGAACGTTTCAGCTGCTTAGACACACAGTCCACGGCTGCGATACTGCAGGCCGGCCGGCTCGCTTGATGGCTAAGCCTTGAGCCTCGCAGACAAAAGTCCAGGGCATCTAATCACGGACTAATCTGTGATAGGCCTGTGGCTTGCATAGAGGCTTGAAGGATTCTTCGACAAGGCTAAAGATGGGCGTGGAGGCTACTTATTTCGATGAAGCGCTGCTCTTGGAGACGAACCTGCTGACTTGACAATTTGCTTTCGCATAAGTGGAGACAGGTGTTGAATATGGATAACATGTCAGCAACCTATACAAAGACTTTGGTGGGTGCGCGAGAGTGACTGCAGACGGCTGGATACCTTCTTGCTGTACAAATTGGATTCTCAAGTCGCAATTCACTCTTGTATCAAAGCCCAATGTGTCTCATCTGTTCTCCTTCGGGTAGCCAGTCATCGAGTATCGTAACCTTACCACTGTTCGCAAGCCCTAGATCTGTCCTGATCCTCGACCATGTCCATCCTTCATCATACGCTTGGTCGAGTATCTCCTGTGTCCTTTTCATCCACTCGAGCTTCTTGATCTCAAACAGATCACCATCAAATTCTTTCTTTGCAGTCTCCAAGTCGTTGGCGGTATCGTTCCACCCAGCAGCCAGATATACATTCCTCAAACTGGACTTGATGAAACGCAGCTGATCGTGTTCTAAAACGTCTACATCGCCCTTCATAGCTACCAGATTGGCTTCATCGGGCTCTGTGATAAGTTCTTCACCGAAAGGCACCCAGTCAAGTCTCAACAACTTTTCAATCCACGGGCCCATAATCTGCTCTACTGGTTTCGCATCATCCATCTCGAAAGGATTTTCAATCTCTGCAATCTCGAGATCAACATGCTTTCCCCAAGCTTCCCAAGGCAGCAGTTTTTCTGAAGTGGTATCGTAGATCAGGGACGTCCCATAGATGTTCGGATTACTTAGCACAAAAGCATGTTTGGAGATTTCTGGCTCGGGCTGAAAGGTTGGGCGCCGTGACCAGTCGAGGTCGCCGTCGTCGTAAAAGACGGATTGAGAGCCGTTGGGGAGTATAGGCAGAGAGTATAGATCAGGATTTAGTTGTGGTAGTCGTTGCAGGAGAGCGATGGCTTCAGAGGAGAGGGCGGCTTCGGTGGCGGCGTCAAGATTTACGGTGGTTGGTGGGGAGAAGATGTCNGTCGGGGAGATATAGTGCAAGGCGGCAAAAGTTTGATATAAGAGGGTTAGGTTGGTGACGAGAGGTTCATGAGACATATTGAATTCCAGATCCAGACTGATGTATCTGTTGTATGTGTCTATGAAACAGCCCCCACAACTGAGGCGTCGTATGTCAGCGAAGGTTCGGACGTCAACAAATAACAGAAAGCTTCGGAATAGCCATGGACGCCGGCAAGACTCACAAGGTAATTGCTGTACAAGTTACAAGAGCCGGTCGCCTTTAGCTTTTCGGAATGAAAGATCCGATCTGAAAGTTTGTTCACATATGTATCATCGCAACTTGTGCTAATAATAGGTTGTTGATGCGAGTGAGGAGAGCAACCCTGTTCAGGCGAAAGCCGAGATTTTTCAAGCTCGTCGTACTTGTAGGTCGCTCTCTTCATTAATCCCTCACAACATGCATGCGTACATATCACCAAACTATAGCCACTTCTCTGTTTCATCTTGCGGTGCGCTCTTGATCACTTTGAGCCTTCTACCGACAACAATGACCCGGGAATGAGAGACCCTACGGGTTTCGACCTTATTCCCGGCTGGCGCGATGAGACGTCCAGAACACACCAGACTTCCCGAAGGCCGACTGTGATCAGCGACGTATTGATGTAGTCGGTTGCCGGCAGATATGCGCTCTTCTATATCACCAGTGCCGAAGCAATGAAGACGGCGACAACATCGATTCCGGTGTGCGCTGACGACGCGACGACGTGGCTTCAAGCACAAGCTTCGCGGTTTCCCTCAACGGTTTCCGCAACTTTTCTACACTGCCTTACACTTATATCATAGTCTGTCGCAAGACGCGTATACATTGATGGTGAATAGTCGCAAACTTGCCGAAGTGAATCAATCATGACAGAATTGGCATGTTGAGGCTTTTTCGTGGTGGTGGCTTGTTTTGATGCGAGGCACGGTAGGAGTCAATATATTCTCGTCAATGTCTGCCTGACTGGTCTTCCATTTTCATCTGGTTCGCCCTCATTTCAATCGCTAGGAAGGAGCGACACTCAACCAACATTATATATCGCAACTTTCGTAGCCTTCAGCGTCGCAATCTTCGCATCACAACCAGCATTACCTCAATAAACCTCACAATCATCATCGCCTCAATCAAAATCAGCTACTTGAGCTATACTATCGCACGCCTATCACCACTAATCCACACAACCATCTACCATGTCGAAACTTAACCCTCTCCACTGGTCGCGGAAATGGCAAATCATCGGCGGTCTCGGAGCCACGGCTGTCATCGTCGCAGTGATAGTGGGTGCCGTCGTAGGCACAGAAGACTCAGGCTCCAGCTCGTACCCCGATTACACCTCGTTAAATTACACAATATCCGAGCGCATGAACGGAACGACTTTCTTCGACCACTTCGACTACTACGACCAAGCTGATCCGAGTAGCGGTTCGGTCGTTTATCTTTCTCAAGAATCGGCGGCCTACAGTAATCTTACATACGCTGGCGCGTCGTCGGCTATCCTCAGAGTCGACAGTACGAACTCGGGTACTACAGACAGAAACTCTGTGCGCATTACGTCCAAGAACCAATGGGATACTGGACTATTTGTGTTCGATGTCATTCATTCTCCATACGGCTGCGGTACATGGCCTGCTGTGTGGCTGTCCGATCCCAACAACTGGCCTGAACATGGAGAGATCGATGTTATCGAAGCTGTTGAGCAAGGAAACAAGGGAAATCAGATGACATTGCACACCTCCAAGGGCTGCACAATGAAGACGAAGCGTGAAGAGACTGGCACAGTGTCTGGCACAAATTGCTGGAATTCGACAAACGAAAACGAAGGATGTGGAGTTTTTGGTCCCAAGAGCAGTTACGGAGCAGCCTTGAATGAGGCAGGTGGTGCAGTGAGTTATATTCCCATTTGTCTCTTCTTCAATATACTGATGTCTTGACCAGNNCTTTTTGCGATGGAACTTCGCGATGCAGGTATTCGCATGTGGACTTTCAGCCGCTCAGATCCACCCTCAGACCTTCTCTCCACCAATGATTCCTCCCCTGACCCATCACAATGGGGCACTCCTGTCGCCGACTTCCCCAGCACCGATTGCGACATCTCTTCTCATTTCAAAAATCAGTCTATCATCGCAAACATCGACCTATGCGGTAGTTGGGCAGGTGCAACCAGTGTATATTCGACAGAATACGGCTGTCCGGGCACTTGTGCGGATCTCGTCAAGAACAACGCTACTGCATTTGAGAATGCGTATTGGGAGTTTGGAAGCTTCAGAGTATGGACGGCTTCATAGAAATGGTCTTGAGAATCAAGCACAAGATAACTTATTGTCAAATGAAAACCACACACATCAAGTCCTGGTCTGGCTAGCCAACAGCTCCGATGCAGTCCCTTGTGCTGCAGCCAATTCAGTGTCCGAAGGCATGTCGACAATGAGGAGGTACAAAACATCCTGCGTCGCTGTGAGTAGAAGATAGGGGCAGCAAGCTAGAGTAAGACGTACCTTCTTCATGACCTTCTGCATCATTCCCAGCGGACCTGCACTGCTGCCGCCTCGTCCGCCGCGAACTGCTCCCAACCCGCGCTGCATTCCCCTAATGGCCTCCGAGGGCTCATCTCTGGCTTGCGCAGTCTCAGTAGACCCACCGAAGTCTCTTCCAAGCGCACCTCGACCGCCCAAACCTCGCGTAGTCATGCCACTGTGACTCCAGTCAAAACGTGCAGCACTCATGTTTGTGCGACTACCTCCAAGTCCGCCACGACCACTCGATACGTTACTACGCTCAGGCATCTGAATCGCTCCGCCCGAGAGCAAAGCAATTAGAGAACCGCTGTTAGCTGGATGACTCGGGTCCGCAAAGCGAGAAGAAAACTCTGGCTTTGGGCCTGCAGCTAGAGCGCTACTCGGACTCTCCATGGCCTGTACGACAACCGTCAGTCTTTGGAACAGTATGAGTAAAGCATGCTGTCATCAACTTACAAACTTGGCTTGCGCTCTTCTGTCCATGTAATCTTCCACAAACCGCCTCTTCTTTTGCAAAGAAGCCTTTTTGGTTTGTGCTACCTCGCCTGAAGTCGTGGCTAGAGCATCAAGACCGGGATATACCAACGGCGTAATCTCAGGCCATTGAAACTCTCCATAAGTCTTGCCGTTGGACTTGTGGAGAGATGTCAAATGTCCGTTCTGTTCGTTCATAACTTTTGCCGCCATATCTTCAAAACTGACAGTAGTCTTTGCATCACCAATATCAGGATTCCAAGTCAAGACCAAACAAAACAATCCTTTAGGCATATAAAACTCCTTGTTGATGTTATCCAAGAATCTGTTTGTTTTGTAGCGGCCTTGGACTTCCATTGCTGCTGTCGTGGCTGCGGTGATGGCCATGGATACGAGGATGGAAGTTACAGTGGGTAACCAGATTGTTCCTATGGATGCGAGGTTTAGGGCTGCTATCCATTTTGATGCTTGAGTGGACTTGTTGAAGGTTTCGAGGAAGTCGAGGAAGGTGGTTTGAGAGATATTGCGGGAGGAGAGGATAGGTGGGTAGGCTCTTACTATACCGCGGCTGCGGTCTTTAGGTCGGCGTTGGGGGATGATGATTGGAAAGGGGAGCTTTTCGTTTGAGAGAGATGGTCCAGCGGTGAGTGAGGATGGTGGTAATCGTGAGATAAATGCGTCGGCAAGAGTGCTTGGGTCTGTTGGTTCATCTGGTTGTTGAGTTCCGGGTTCGCCGATGAGATCGTCTTGGGCTTCATCGAGCTCCCATGCCTCTTCTTCAAGGTTGTGGGTCGATATTCCCTGGTCTGGCAAGGACTCAAGTTGTGCATCGTTCTCCACTTTTGATTGTTTCTTGTTCGCCTTGCGGGCTTTGTAGGCTTCTGACACGAGGCCAATGCCGCCTCCGACATTCTGTACGATATTGGTGATAAGTTGGGCCATACTGTGCTAGATGAACACAATAACAGGTTTTAGAAGATGAGTTTGATGGTATCAGTAAGACTTTGCAGCGAGACAGAGCTTCCCTTTATGTGAAAATGTGCGAACATCAGCCTGGCATCCTTGCATAAGCTTCAGAGAAGGACTGCGGGTCGTACTGCTTGTCCGGAATGTCCATGGAGTTACCGAATGTGGCTGAGTTGATCCTGCAGCTCCCCCGCCTGACTTCTTTCGGAGTAAGGTCCATGTGTCCCCGAAGAACGCATCAGAATTCAGGCAACACAAAAGCTTGAGAATGCTTGATCAGACAGACAAGAGACGGTCCATGTTGCAAACTCGGTATCGGTTTCGCACTCGTGAGGTTGTTGCATACAGGATGCGGCTCAGTGCATACGAGGTGAGGTTCTGAGCTTGAGTAGCGCCGACTTCGTGATGGACAGCATGTAGATACCACCTGACAGCATGCAACTATATCTTCTGTCAGCCCAATAACGAGGAAAGTCTTCGGTTTCGGTTTCGCTCTTGTCAGGCCGCTGCGCTCAGGGTGTGGCTCAGTGCCTGCAGACTGAGGCTGTGATTTCGGTTTCGGATTTGGGTTCGCCATCTGCGTAAAAACTACCTCCCCTGCATTTCCTCTGTAAACCACAGCAAGGCTTCGGATACGAACCAATGCGGTAAGATATGTTTCCGAGAGCGGGTCTGAGATTGTCTCAAAATAACGCGTGGTAGGGGAGAACCATCTGGTACAAAGCGTGTGATCGCTCTCTTGAGACTCACGCTAGATTTCCCTGTACGTGGACTTACTCTCCACGGCTCTTGTGATCTTGGCTTTGCGAAACAGTCAATCAGGGAAGTCAACTCGCCTCAGCATGATAGCTTGGAGGTATTGTAGCGGTTGACCCTTGCTCTTGGTTGACCCCTTGTTCTTACATCTTTCACGGCGATCGAAAAGTGTCCCGGTCGCGAATCTGTTCATATATTGACATGAGTCCCATCAAGTCAAGGTGAGGAACCATTCATCGATGCAGAGGAACGAAACAGGTGGTAGAACTAACATCAGGGATTCTGTGCTCTCTTCGTCACGACTTTTGGCCAGCTGGGAAAGTCATTCTGTCCAAAGGGCTGACCGGCGTATCTGTTCTCCAAATCCAACTCTCATTCCTCCCAGACAACCACATTCGAGCTATGATCCTTCTGATCGAAGGCTCGAATGTGAGGCCGCGACTTGGTTGTATTGACGATACTGTAGCGAATTGTATCACTATCGATGAGACGCATTTCATCGATCCCTCCACGACAAAGCCGGGCTTCGAAGGATCGCTATCCGCTGTCACGGTGACCGTACCTTTCCTAATTTGTGCTCATGTGCGAGCTTCCTCTCGCCGGACATTTTGTTACTCCGACCAACCATGTGTGTGTTACTTGTAAAAACCATCATGTTTTCTAATTCTTCGTGACACAAAGCTGTTCAACATTTCTTACATGTAGTCACTTTCGTCACTCGGAGAACTGCTAACCACTCTTCGCTATGGTTGCTCTCGAGACGATTCGCGATTCAAATAAGAACATCGCATCGACTCTTCCCGGACTTGTCGCTGTGTTCGTCGGTGCAACCAATGGTGTTGGAGAGGCCACCGTGCGACAGTTCGCAAAGTACGCATCGGCACCGCGTGTTTACCTGATCGGCCGGTCCCAAGAAGCAGGCACACGCATAAGCAAAGAATGCAAAGCTCTAAATCCACAGGGCGAATTCATCTTTATCAGCAAAGACACCAGTCTCATTCGTAACATCGATGAGATATGCGCTACGATACAAGAACGCGAAAAACATGTAAACCTGCTATTCCTCACAATTGGAACGTTACAGACTGGCNAAGAGTGAGTACCTTTCCAACTGCAATATTGTGACACGTCCTGATATTGTTTCGATATAGCGACCGCAGAAGGTCTTCATTATCCTGCTGCTCTGGCTGTGCATGCACGAAACCGATTCATCTCGAATATACTCCCTCTCATCAACAATGCAACCAACCTACGCAGAGTCATCTCCGTCTTCATCGCAACCCTCGAAGGAGAAATCCAAATGGACGACTTTCAAGGCTGGCACATGAAACTCATGGCAAACAGAGATCACGCTGCCTCCATCACAACACTATCTCTCGAAAGCCATCACAAGGATAACCCTAACGTGTCTTTCGTCCACAATTTTCCTGGTGTGGTCAAGTCAGGCATCACTCGTGGAACTTCTGGACCGCTATTTACTGCGCTGAAGGCTGTGATTGGTGTATTTGGCTCGCTGTTTTATATGCCTGCCGAGGAAGCGGGAGATCGGCATGTGTTTTTGGCTACGAGCGCGAGATATCCGGCTGGTCTTGAGGACACAGTGACTGGGGTGCCGTTGTCTGTGGCTGGAGGTTTGGCATTTGCTCGAGGTACTGATGGTAAGGTAGGCAGTGGTGTGTACTCTATCGATGCAAGTGGAGAAAGTGCTGGATCAAAGGTTGAGCAAGCATTAGCTTCGTTGAGAAGCAGAGGTATGATAGAGAAAGTCATGAACACAATCAACACGGATATCGAGAAGGCGTTGGCGACAAGTAAAAAATGAACAGTCAGTTTGATATTATACTACTCTTACAGATGTCGGCAATGACTTTGAACCTCCCTCCAGTCCCGTTGCCTCAATCTTGTGGTGCTATAAAATTGCACGATGCGGTCGCAAGTCTCTTCTAGTCCACTGGGACCTCAGTCGAGTCTCATGCGTTTGTCATCCTCCCAAGCTTGGGAAAGAATGACCAGAGAACCATGCTGCTGCTCAGCTGACATTAGGGCACTCTCGGACCACGAGGGATCACCGAGGCGAAGGGGCAGGGCAAAAGCAGGGTGATTGGCAGGAGCGGCGGGTGCTTCAGGCTCAGGGGTAGTGCGAGGAGGGTGGTTGAAATTTATGGTGAGTTTGTAACCCTCACGCTGCTCAGCGGAGAAGATGATGCGGTGGAGCTCCTCCTGAGTACACAGAAGTGTGGTCTCCGGGTCGTCGTTGTGTGCTATTATCTCATCAGTCTCGTGCTCGCAATCTCTGGGCCCGAACATCAACATGCTCAACTCAACGAAATCAACCAACCCCTTTCTGATCTTTCCCGCCTGCGCATGACCGGCACGATAACACTGCATCTGTTCAATCAAGTCCAAGTTCTCCATGGAATGTCTCCGTAGACAAGTCACCAAACGTCTTTGAGCTGCTGTGTAGCTCGTACGGACTCTGCGAGGGTTGCCGCGGTAGATGCGAAAGCGGTAATTGATGAAGGAGCCCAGGAACCACCAAGGCAGGTTCTCGTGCAGCAGCCGTTGTTCAGCCTCGCCGCCGTCGCTGCACCATAGGATGTGACGAGGGAGGAGGATGGGTTTGGCACAGTCGGCGGCCATCTTGTTCCAGCGCGTGAGTTGCGAGCGTCGATTGATTGTTCCAGGGCGGCCTTTGTCCTGTTATGGAATTCTCTTTGTCATGACGGTGACGGGGATGTTGTGTTGGCTCTAGGGGAGCCACAAAGCTGCGCAAACAAGCGGTGGCGGTGTTATGTTGATGATCGGCGCGTTGATTGAGTGGAGTTGACACGTAAACATGTCAGTTTTTAGATGCGCGAGTCAATTCTCTCTGCATCTCAAATGATTCTGGCAACTTGTTGATAACGTCCTGAAGTGCACCATGCTCATTGCGGCTTGAGACTCCAGCCTAACACCATTCATGTTCTTCGACTTGTCAATCACGGCCTTCCATCGGTGTGACAAAAAGAACATCATAAGAGGAAGAAAAAAGATTCGCAGTGAGTAGGATTCGAACCCACAATCTCCTCGATGCCAGAGTGACAACAGCTGCCCGCAAGCAGGGCTCACGACTGTGGTTGGTAGATTGATAAGCTTGTGTTTGCAAGACATATTTACGATGCGCTCTCTAGCCATTGAGCCACCGCTGCTGTTGGTGACCAAAATTCAGATTTCTACATTCTAAAAGGACTCCGAGTCAGGAAAGTGACAGCAAGGAAAAACTGAAGGGACAACAATCAAGAAAATGCTCTTTCTGTACTGTTCCTGATCTCCAGGCATGTTTTTTCGAACATGCATTGCTATCTCTTCGAAGTAATAGCAATACCGATGCCAACATACTCGCTCAAGTTCTTATTTCTCGGGTCAGCTTCGTGATTTCAACCCGCAGGTCTGTTGTTCGAAGCGAGCGATCAAGCCGAGACTTGACACTCGTTTGCCTTCCGAGTCTTTGTTTGAGCCGATCCAAACAACCAATTCACGTGTGTTTACTTGCGACTTCCCCCAATGATATGTTCAGCACACCATCTTTCACTTGAACAGCGGAGCCACCACTACGCGTCTTCATCAGAAGCCATATCATACATTGCGAGCTTCTAGCACTCCGTGATCTTGAGCTTTTCCTTAGTGTACTGTAGGAAGACTCTCTTTCTCGACACGGTGTCATACACATGGAAGGTCCTGCGGCCGCCCGTTGGCGTCGTTGCTGTCACATGTTAACCTTTCTCGCCCTTAACCCATTTCTTACGCAGTCGCAACCGACCAAGCACCTTCCATTCTCGCAACCAAACCTTCTTGCATTCAATTTGCTCACGACTTTTCCACCTCGTTTCATCGATACGTTCCAGCGCAGAACACATCTGTCAGCTTCTAGGCTGACACACTTCCAGATCAGATACGATACTAAACTTCAGTCGTCGACCAACCATCCACACACATCTGAATACAGACACTCATAAAGAGTTCAATCCATGCCTTGTCAGTATTCTTGCCTATGATGTTGTTTCGGAGATGAACAGAAGGAGAGTAAAGCCTGATAGCAGAACAGGGTGGTTCGCGCAGCACGCGGACAAACTTTGGTGTCTGGCCTGGGGAACGACATGCCGCGTCTCGAAGGATGTATTCCTTGCTTTTTGTACAGCGCTAATTGAGATTTTGATAGTCATTCGATCAAGGAGCGAGATCGGGTTCTTGGAATCGATAACCTACAGCCATCTTGGAGCGAGGGCAGTGCATAGTCTAGGGATACATTCACCTCTCGGTGCAGTAGAAATGCGAGTCCTTTTTGTGACAATGTACAATCGAGTGTTCCTCAAGATCCATGGGCCCAGGAGTTCTTATCTTGTCCTTCCCTGCCGATCCACGTCTCCAAAGTTCAGGAAATACTGGCAACATACACCTTAGAGTCCCTGAATTGCCTCTTCTCGTCATCGTCTGAGTACAGCCAGGCGTGTTCGATGCTACCAGCACGTCTGTTGTGGACGAACCTCCACTGATATTCGTTATAGTCCTATAAAACGCTACAACTATAGAGAATATTTGATCTCCAGATTGCGCGAAATATCGTAAATACAACGCGACAATCATTGATATGTCGCCTGTCCCGAATGATTTTCGCTGCCTACAACCTTCTAACGGCATCGTATACCGTACAAGGGCCTTAGGCTTCTATCTCAATTGCAGAGCATCGTAGACAAGCGATCTCTTGATCTTAGCCGCTTGACTCCATGTGGAAGAAAGATAGTATCTTCCTCGGCTCACGCGATATCCCTTGCTTCCTAGTAACAGCATCGAACTTTCTTCACCTATCTTATTGCATCCTAAAACCATCGGCATGTTGTCTCCGGCTGATGCTTGCTCGGAACATGTTCGCTATTGGATTGTCGGCTCCGGTTATCATGACCAAATTTTGAATGGGCCGAAATGGTCATGTTTCTGTTCCGATTTAGCCCCAGTCATGTGTCGGTAGGGGGTAACCTTGTGAGGGATCACAGCTCCTTGAGGGCCGCTTCTGGCGCGACAACACGCAACCATGAGGCTTCTAGGCATGCAAACATCGATATCTCATTTCATAGAATCTCAATGTGGCGCTCTGACCACATCTCTCGGTTGTCGCTGTTCGGATGATGGAATGTCGAGGCCAAACATCAAAATCAAGCCTTCTTCGTAAGATAGGTAAGTCTCAGTGAATCTTGACCAGAGATGTTCAATTGTAGAAGCGTCAAGCTAGAAGCTCCTAGACACTTTCACATATTATTGTCTACCTGGTGTCAAACTTGACATCGGGAAATACCAGTTTGACAAACCCGTCACGATGGAACGAACAATCTACTAAGAGACGCGTACATTCCTCACGGATACACAATGCACCCCACCATTTTGTCCTCTGCGTCTTTTCAGCTCCTGGACACTCGAGCTTGATACGCTTCTTCATACCTCTTGGCTACTTCTCCCAAGTGTCTTCATGAGCATTGTGATCAGGAAACGCGCTTTTATTCTGCTGAGGCTAGTATAATAGCATCGCCGCGAAGATGGGACAGTTCAGGAAGCCCTTTTGCTGGCTCTGCTGGCGTTGTCATCCCATGTCACTGGGCAAGCGATTACCAACACCACAACGCGTAAACTCGTCTCCTCAACTCCTCGAGATGTACACAAGCTGAGAATTGTTCTTTAGAAACGTCATGTCCAGTCACTACCACTACTACCATCTACCCTCATGAATACACTACGAACTCTGTTGGAAGCGTGATCTATACCGGCTTCACAACCACAACCACATCAACTTCGAGTTCGCTGTCGTCCTCGTCATCCAGCGCATCGAGCAGTAGCAGCTCCAGCGTGTCATCCTCCATATCTTCGTCTCTATCGTCCCCAAGTAGTAGCAGCGTTTCGTCTTCGGCTTCGTCGCTACTCAGTAGCTCAGGCGCCGGCGCCACCGCATCTATATCAAGCTCGTCAAGTTCTTCAAGCAGCAGCAGCGTCAGTTCGAGTTTATCTTCATCACTGAGCAGTTCAAAATCTTCGAGTAGCTCGAGTTCGATATCCTCGAGTGTATCATCGTCAGCAAGCGACCTCGCCGGACAAATAAACGCATCAGTTTCTTCCAGCAGCAGTTTTTTGAGTTCTAGCAGCTCCTCAGTATCCAGCAGTCGATCTTCATCGAGTTCCAGTTCAGTTTCATCGAGTGTGTCGTCCTCAATATCCTCATCTATATCATCCTCGGCCAGTGGCCTAGGGTCTCAAATTACTGCTTCCGTATCAAGCAGTAGTTCCAGCTCATCCAGTTCAGCTAGCAGCAGCAGTAGCTTATCAGTATCATCGAGTATGTCGTCCTCCAGCAGCTCGAGTGTTTCATCGTCTATATCGTCTTCTGCTTCGGTTTTCGCGGGACAAGTCACATCAGCCTCAATATCGTCCAGCAGCCTTTCCTCGTCATTGTCGTCGTCCTCATCATCTTCTGTGTCATCTAGTCTGAGTTCTTCTGCTAGTATTAGCAGTAGTTCATCAGTTTCATCATCAGTCTCTTCGACCCGCTCGGCTTTGGCTGGCCAGATCACGGCATCCAATTCCTCAAGTTCCTCGAGCAGTTCCTCAGTATCTAGCAGCAGTAGCTCAAGTGCTTCCTCATCAAGCAGTCCGAGCGTATCATCATCGATATCTTCGGAAATTTCGTCTTCAGCCAATCTGGCCTCGGTTTTGGCATCTTCTGGAAGCAGTTCGATGTTGAGCTCAAGCAGCTCTTCAATTAGTTCCAGTCTATCCTCATCGAGCTCTTCGAGTAGTTCCAGCGTGTCATCGTCGATATCGTCTTCGGCTTCACATGCTCAAGGGGTTTCGGCAAGCTTGGCCTCGGCGACATCATCCAACGTTTCCAGCATCAGTTCCTCGAGCAGTTCCTCAGTGTCCAGTAGTAGTAGCTCGAGTGCATCATCTTTAGGCAGTTCGAGCGCATCATCATCAATATCCTCGGATGTCTTGTCTTCAGCAGACGCGGCTTCAGCCTCCGTACTTCCGGGAATCAGTTCAATATCATCCTCGTCCTCCTCGTCCACTTCTTCAGTCAGTTCGAGTCTATCTTCGTCCAGTTCCTCATCAGTATCATCGTCAATATCGTCTTTTGCGTCCTATGCTCAGGGGGGTCTCGGCAAGCCAGGCTTCAGCAACTTCATCCAGCATTTCTTCAACATCCAGCTCAGTTAGCTCCAGCCTGTCGAGTTCGTCGTCGTCATCAAGTTTTTTCTTCTTCAAGCAGTTCCAGCGTTTCCTCGTCGGTGTCTTCAGATATATCGTCTTCAGCAGACATGGCTTGGGCTGCAGCTTCGATATCCGCCTCCTCAGTAAGCAGCACTAGTTCAAGTGTGAGCTCCTCGCTATCATCATCTTCGTCATCTAGCGTATTCTCATCTAGTAGTTCGAGCGTTTCGTCGTCTGTGTCGTCCTCCGTATCATCACTGGCGGATCTTGCCTGCGCTGCTGCATCCAGCTCATCAAGCGTTTTATCTGTTTCACTGAGCAGTTCCAGCAGTTCCAGCAGTTCCAGCAGTTCCAGCAGTTCCAACAGCTCCTCTTCATCTAGCGCATCATCTTCGAGCAGTTCCTCGATGTCGAGCGGCGTGAGTTCTGATGGATCTTCGCTGAGCTCAGTTTTGGCGACACCCACGACAGCCACCACGCCAACGATGGTAACCACATTGACAAAGGGAACAACTCTTACAAAGGCAACCACCCCAACGACAGCGACCACAACAAAGACAGCAACCAGTTCTACCATGGCCACGACAACTACAACAGCGATCACGCCGACAACTGGGACCACTCCAACTACCGCGGCGACACCAACCACGGCTATGACGCCAACAACTGCGACGACAATGACAATCAGAGATATAACTTCCTCCAGCAGTGCATCTGCGTCGACACTACCTAGCAGTGGTACTTCCTCGATTATCAGCAGTACGATTCTATCTTCTGTGGCTAGCAGCAGTTCTCTGTTCTTTTCCATTGCCAGCAGCTCCAATTCGTCTTCGGCAGTCATGCCCATCCAGACCACATCGACTGCAAGTACTTTGATTGTGTCCTCGGGAACGATGTACCTTCCTCCAACGCCCGGCACTGTCACGAGTATGGTGACCTCAACGACAGATTCAATCACCGCTCTGAGTTCATCTTCGATAACGTTGTCCAGCGTCCTATCAGCTGCAGCGTATAGCACTTCCAGCTCTCTGAGTGGCTCGTACTCCTCCTCAGTAGGTGTTGCTTATGTCGGAGTCACATTGACCCCTTCATATTTCTCGACAACAGTAACAACTACCACGACTACAACTTCTAGTTTTGATCTCAGCGCCGCGCCCAGTACTAGCTCAGTATCGATCAGCGCATCCTTCTCATCTGTTGTCGGTTCGGCATTCGTTGGAGTAACTCTCACGCCTTCACTGCGATCATCCAGCACAAGTCCATCAGCGAGTCAACCAGCGCAATCTTCGTCTTCTGTACCTCCTGGCTCCGCATCCAGATCTTCAGCAGTCTTCACATGTCCCGACGACGACGGGACATATTATACCGATCAGAACGGCGATGGTTACCAGATCCAGTGCAACACCAACGGAGGGTCTCGAAAGCGTGCCCTTCACGAGTATGGCTTGCATGGGCTTGCAATGAACCGTGAACCGATTTCATGTGTGCCTATCACTTCGAATACACATTCCGACTTTGCTTCATGTGTCAACTCATGCAGAACTGTGGCTAGTTGTATCGGAACTACATACGTCGCTTCCTCACGTCTCTGCACATACTTCTCGACATTCACCAACACTGCCTCGGATACTGGAACAGATGTGGCTTTCCCGGCAAACATCACATGCCCCAACTTGAATGGTTTCAGCTACCTGGACTCTTCTGGTTCAGAATATGGTGTTTTGTGCAACCGATCATACCCAGCAAGTAGCAATATCACCTCTCAGACCGGATACACCAATCCTACAGCTTGCAGTAACGCTTGCTCTTTCAGCGCCAATTGTCTGGCATCATGCTTCGTCAATGGCCGATGCACCTTCATTAGCAACCTCAACACAAACAACAATCCTGGACAAAATCTTCCTGGAGCGATCATGCTCGTCCTTCTACAGTCGCGTGTCGTTAATGTCATCTCGACAGCAGGTACCGTATCTCGCATCACATCGTTCTCGGTTGTACAAGGTCTTCCAAGTGCTGTTGCCGTCGTTCAGAAAGGACAAAATCCATACGATGCCGTTGCAAGTGCGTACATAGGTTGCGGGAACGCTTTCTGGCAACCAAGATGTGCGACAGCAGCTGTCACCACCCCGTCAGTGGTGTCAAGGTTTTCAACTATATACACAACGGCGACCCCGAGCTCGAGTCCAATTGCGACAGTATCTACTGCGAGCGGAGGTATCACTACAAATGCCCCAGTGACTACTACCAGACCCAGCAGCGTTTCTAGCAGCACTAGGACCTCGTCAGCCAACTGCTCCTCGAGGCTGCTGGGTTCGATTCCCGTTTGCTAGACATGTAGGAAATAACTACTCTGTCTTCGCATTGGCTTTTTGTATCTGGGGCAGCACAAATGATTTTTGCGTTAGCATGGGCAGTATACAGTAATTAGTAATTCAAGCTCAATACATCTTGCAGACTGAAAGGGTAATTCTTACGATCCTTGCGAATGAACTTAGAGCTTTGCCACATTGAATCGAAGATTCAGCTAGGCTAGAAAAGTCTCATCTCGGAGTCATGCTAATACATTCTAGCTATAAGCTTTTGAGGGAGTTTCTAGAAAGTAGACCTACACTTGTGCCCCATAGCCAACAAAGAGTTGTTTGGAGTAGTTACTCGTCACGTTTCATGTATTCTGGCACATTGAAAGTGGAATACTCACCATACTGTGTCTGAAGACAAGGCAAGGGGGTAAGAGGAGAAAAGATCAGGTCTGTGCTACTGGGACTACTTTTCGAGATCCCGAGAATGTCTTACGAGTGACGGCAGCTCAAATCCGGTGAATTTCAGGAGAATGAACGTGAAAGATGATGCAGGGATCTGGGAGTCATGGACCTAGTGTGTTTCTCCAACTGGTAGACAGTGTGCTCCCAACTATCAGATCAATCCGATCAGACGTGACTCTGCCTCGGAACAGTACGTTCCTGTGCGCGCTAAGTTGGTGGAGACACCAGTGGTCAGTCACTCTCGATCGCTCAAGGCATAAGTCATGAGAAGATCTCGGAAGGTTTTGCTGGCCCAGTGGTACGGGACACAGTCAAAAACATATGAGAACACTCTGTTTGCAGTGTCCTGGCTTGTCATGGACTAAGTATGTGTTTCCATAACGCGGTTTAGATTATTACTTCATGCCTTCAGGTTCTTCTCAGTCGTTCCTGAAGGCCAAGCATCTGTCCATACCTTACACCAAGCGCCAGAACGACCAGAACAAGCCACCTCTTGATACCTTGTCCCAGACTAGCGCCGCCCAGCGCGAGCAGCTTGCCTATTAGACCAAAAGTGATGACTGTGCCCTCACGATTGAAGTTGGGCGCAAAGTCGTTCATCATCTTCAGTTGCGACAACTTACCCTTGTAGGGTGGGTATCTGACACTCAGCAAGCTCTCCATCCACGCAGGAGTATTTGTAACGATGCGACGGTGGGTAAAGCAGTCGAAAGAAGCTTTGCCGCGGTAGCAACCAGCACCACTGTCGCCAACACCACCAAATTCGACGGTAGGCAGGGAAGCGTGAGTGAAACCGTCGTTGATACTGGCGCCGCCACTACGAGTCTCGGACAGAATGCGAGTAGTATCGGCTTTACTGCCGAAAGCATAGAGACCCAGTGGTGTGCTATGGACTTCATTGGCAATGCGAATCGCTTCGTCGAGGTTGTCAACTGCCAGGAGAGGGATGAAAGGTCCAAACGACTCATCAACGACAAGGGAGTCAGAAGTAGATGTAACACGCACAATAGTAGGAGAAATGTAGTTAGTCTCTGCATCCATCTCTCCGCCATATAGGATTTCACCCTTGCTGGAGTCGAGCATCTTCTTCAGACGCTCAAACTGACGGCTGTTGACGATGCGTCCAAAGTCTTTGCTTGCCTTGGGACCTTCGGGGTAGAACTCCTTGATGGCAGTCTTGAGCTCCTTGACCAAGAAGGGCAAGACATCCTTGTCGACCAAGATATAGTTTTGACTCACGCATACCTGGCCTGCGTTCAGACCCTTGGCCCAAAGGAGGCGTCTGGCAGCAAGGCGAGGGTCGGCGTTCTTTGTGATGATGGCAGGGTTGCGACCGCCAAGCTCGAGTGTAACAGGGGTCAACGTCTCAGCTCCTTTCTTTGCGATTATGGTTCCGACGGTAGCAGAACCGGTGTAGAAGATCTTATCCCACTTAAGCTCCAGCAATGCGCTGCTCTCAGGGACAGCACCCTGGACGCAGATGAAAGCCGAGGGGTCGAGGGAAGCTTCCATGGCTTCTTTGAGGAGGGCGGCGGTGTAGGGCGAACTTTCCGAGGGCTTGAGAACGGCGGTACATCCAGCAGCAATTGCTCCGATCAAGGGGCCGAGCGACAGCTGGACCGGGAAGTTGAAAGCNGCTGTTTGAGGTTCGTCAGTATGTTGCACGTCCATCAATCTCTACAACACTCACCCAAGAATCAAGACAACACCCAGTGGCTCCTTGCGAACACGCGGTCGCATAGGCATAAAGGTAAGCGGTACATCGCCAGCAGCCTCCTCCTTGGCCCACTTCTCAATATTGTTGATTGTGAAGATGATATCGTTCAACACCCATCCGATTTCAGTCAGATAAGCCTCATAGAAAGGTCTCCCCAAATCGCGCTGCAAAGCTTCACCGAGCTGCTGCTCTCTATCCTTGATGGCCCACCATAGCTTACGGAGCTGTGTTACGCGCCAGCTCAACGGCTTCGTTTTTTGTGAGTGGAAGCTGTCGTGGATACGCGAGTGGATGCCTCTGATCTGCTCGATCGCAGTGTGCTCGAATACTGGAAGTTTAGTGTCCATTTTGGAGCTATGTCGAGTAAAAGAGGGAGAAAGGCGTTGGTTGCTGAGCTGTTGGCTCAGGGTCGCTTATGATCCCCTCATCTGACACAGCAGCCTGCCGCTCATCGTGCCTCGGCTTGATGCTGTGCCTCTCAGATACTCGCGAATGTCACTTCGTCGCTCGAACGACCTACCCGTGTACCATCTACACAATAATAATAACCTCGAGAACCAGGACTCGACAGGAAGAGCTTGCGAGCCCCTTGTCTCTGTCTCCTCTCCTCCCCAGGGTCTTGTACGTCACAGAAACCAGCAACCAATCGGGGACTTCGTCACAAAGCCCTCCGACTCTGAGAGTCAGTGCGTTCTTGGCAAGAACTCCTCCAGGTTGTCGGCTAGATGCAAGTTCCACTTCCGCACATCACTCGAAGTTTTTGTACGCAGAACGACCCTGACGCTGATGCTAAGAATGTCTCAAAGCACGACACAGCAAGCGAGCTGTGGAAAACGCGATACTCATAGCGAGTGATGAAACAGTAGTACAATCTGATACTTTCAGAGTCACCAAAGAAGGAAATTGCATGGTTACGCGGCTTCAGCATTCTCTGTGATGCTCGGCCGGCGTCGTCCGCAACCCCGAGCCTTGCCTGAAGTGTGACCGAAATGGTCGTGGCGTGGCATACGAACGTGTGGCCGTGCCTGACCAAAAGCCGATACCCAAAGAGAGCGAATGTAGTCGCGACCTCGAGAATGCCAATGATCTCTGAAAAGTGTGGTGCATCTCTACAGCTTACAATGTCTACTATAAATAATAGAAAGGTGGTCAATGTGCACAGCAAATAGGTAAGAGGAGCTATGTGTCCACACTAAGAATGTATATGTTTACTATTCCGAGTATGTACGAGGTATCAAACTACCTAGACCGGCCATAAAGATCCTCATAGACATTTACATGCACCTGCGGAAAAGGATGCAATAGATGCTGGGAGTCACCATGACTTCTCTGCCTCATTGAGGGCCGTGGAACCACTTCTTCCGAGTATCCAGACGATACAGTGGGAACTCGATTGATCATGGTAGTAGGTCCAAAAAAGGTGGATAGTAGACTTGACTGATGATACATTGCTTCGTAAGTACATAAAACATACAAAGTTATGAGTGCTGTGAGGAAGAGATCGAGCCTCGTACCTTCAGCCCGGCTTTCAACTCCCAAGCTTCCAACTGTTCTTGTGTCCAGTCCCATAACTCGCCTTCTAACGCCGTGTTGCTCTGATGGCTGGTCGGTCTTGGTCTGATGCCCACGGGCTCGTAGTACTCTCCCCCTTGTATTTGTCCTTTCGATGTCCCTCGTAGAGCCGTGGCAGCCCAAAGACCGTTCCAGGCAAGCTGGTCCACTGGACTTCGCTTGCCTATTGTGGTAAACCACATGATGAACCGGTCGAGTACAGAAAAGTTGTCCTGCAAACCTGTGTAGCCAATGCCCGGGTGCACAGAAACGGTCGTCACGCAAGGGTACTGTCGGTTCAAAGCTTTGGCATACAACATGTTCGCCAGTTTCGATTGCGCATAGCGACGCCATCGGCCTGCAAACATCCTCTGTTCTGTCTTGAGAGCACTGAAATTAATTCCGCGCTTCGGTATTAATGATGTCGCAGCGGCTTGAGACGTTGTGATGATGATTCGAACATCGGAGCCGGGCAACGCCGCCGTGTCTTCCAGAATTGGCATTAAGAGGTCGATTAACAGAGCATGACCGAGATGGTTGGTCGCAAATTGCTGCTCATAGCCGTCCTTACTCAATCCAGCTGGTGATGCCATAACACCGGCGTTGCAAAAGAACAGGTCAATTCGTGATGCTTTGGCAGCAATTCTGTTGCTTGCTTGACGAACAGAACTCAGATCTGCAAGATCGCAAGGAATGAAACGAATTTGCACCTGTGGATTCAGGAGTTTCATTGACTCGACGAGGCTATTGGCAGCTTTCGCATTGCGTCCGGTGAAGAATATTTTGCTTGGACTGTGGACTACAACTTGCTTTATTGTTTCTGCACCCACCCCGGACGTGCCTGATGTATTNGTTAGTCGGCTTCCTGGATTTCACCAAGGGTGTGAAGACATGCCTCCAGTGATGAGAACGACCTTTCCGGACAGATCCGGTATGTCCTTTAGCGTATTGAAATGGTAAGAAGGCATTGTTGTTGATGTGAGAAGGAAAGAAGTTGAGATCAGTAGAAAGCAAAGTCATTTGAATCAATTGAGTAGAGGCTCCGAGTGTTGGCCTTGTGACCAGTCTTATTGTTTCTAATACTTACTGATGCTGACATGTATTCAATTTTTCCTGGGTGGGACGATGTATCGATCCGTCTCGGATTCGGAGACGCGGTTCGTCCGGCTTCCGTTCCTGCAGGGTTACTTAGGCAGCACTTTGACACGTTCCGGGGTTTGTTTCTGGAAACAACTCCATTGGTTCGCTCGCACTCGTGCTGTAGATCGACGCGATGCGATGGCCCTGTAGTCTTGGCTTGCAGAGGAGAGCATGCCGAAGGCAGTCAGGCCATAAGGCAGACAAGAATTTTAAGGTTCTTCTTACCCGCACCGTCCCTTAACAGTGGCTTGGAGGAAGTCACAGCGAGCAAACATCCGAAAAGATTGAGCTTTGGAATGCGCAATATAGAATTTGTGAGGGATGCTAAAAGATCTTGAGGTTCAGTCGTGACAACAAATCTGCCAACGTCTTGACACGAAAAATGACTTGTAAAAGCAATGGCAAGACATCGCAAATCTGTCGGTCGTGTTGCTCCGTGTGGCCAAATCGTTGTTCAAGAGTGCTTTGAAATCTAGGAACAAGATGCTCCTCCGGATGTTGACAAGTTCCACGATCCATAGATCTATGATGAGTCAGTCGGCATCTGAACAGCTTTATCAAAATCCGAGCTGGACAAGGAGGTGTTGTCGTTTTACTGTTGAGAGTTTCGGCAGACAAGGAGCCAAAAGCCCCCGAATCCGCCCCACACGTCATCTCTTGCAAGAAGTTCTAGGCGACGCTATGACATTTTCCCCGACTCCTGGGCAAGAATGCTCATATCTGATTGGCTTGGAAGTGCTGATGGTCCGCTCTCCGGAAGATTAGTGTGCTAAAGACGGCGCAACTCTAGACGAAAAACACCGTCCCCGATTGCTGTTGGATCTATTTGAACGAGGCGTTTGTATATATGACCTGGGCATCGCGCCTTGCAATCTTCCGCTCATTGTCAAAAACGTCTTGTTTTCTTCGTCCTTCGACTCGTTCACCTCGGGACACTTCCCTTCGAGGCCACTTTCGATCTCGGCTCTTCTGGACATAGAAGCCAACAGCTTGTTCATACTGCGTGCGCTTCAATTTTCTCCATAATGGCTACCAACAGCCAGATAGCCTGGGCCCCTTCACTCAATCATGGCTATGGCGACGACCTTATGCGTCGCATCTCCCGCACAGTTTCTGGTCGCTCTGGACTCTCAGACTATGAGGAGCCCAAGGACGACGAACACATCAGCAAGGCCGAGGATTGGTCGTTGATGCCCGAAGTCAAGAGATACGCTGACAACGACCCTGCCACTGGACGCAAACTTGGAGTCACCTGGAACAACCTTACAGTCAAGGGCGTTGGCGCTGACGCAGCTTACAACGAGAACTTCCTCAGTCAATTTAATGTACCCCAGCACATCAAAGAGGGACGTCATCCTGCACCTCTCAGGACCATCATCGACAACTGCTCTGGATGCGTGAAACCTGGAGAGATGCTTCTTGTGCTTGGCCGTCCAGGAGCAGGTTGTACGACTCTTTTGAAGATGCTCTCAAACAGGAGAGCAGGTTACGCAGAGATCGACGGTGACATCAAATTCGGTACCATGGACCCCAAAGAGGCTCAACAATATAGAGGTCAAATTGCAATGAACACCGAAGACGAATTGTTCTTTCCCACTCTGACCGTCGGTCGCACTATGGACTTTGCCACTCGCCTAAAGGTCCCCAACAACTTGCCTGAGGGTACCGAATCGCGCGAGCAGTTCCGCACCGAGTACAAGGACTTTCTCCTCAGGTCGATGGGAATTGGCCACACGAGTTCCACACGAGTGGGCAACGAATACGTTCGTGGTGTCAGTGGTGGTGAGCGCAAGAGAGTGTCCATCATCGAGACTCTCGCGACAATGTCCAGCGTCTACTGCTGGGACAACTCGACCCGTGGTCTGGATGCCTCGACTGCCCTCGAATACACCCNNCGCGCTCTGCGCGCCTTGACAGATAAGAACGGCTTGGCCACTATCGTGACCCTTTATCAGGCTGGAAACGGTATCTACGACCTCTTCGATAAAGTCCTGGTTCTCGACGAGGGCAAACAGATCTACTACGGTCCTCGCGCCCAGGCCCGCCCTTTCATGGAGAGACTTGGCTTTATTTGCGACGATGCTGCCAACGTTGCTGATTTCTTGACTGGTGTTACTGTGCCCACAGAGCGCAAGATCAAGAATGGCTTCGAAGCTCAATTTCCTAGAAATGCAGTGTCTATCCGCGAACGCTACGACAAGTCATCAATCAAAGCCAAGATGGACAAGGAGCTTGACTTCCCGAGANGCTCGCGCGCGAAAGAGTGGACCGCTGACTTCCAAAAAGCTACCCATGAGGACAAGGCGAAGGGTATCCCTAGCCACAGTCCAAACACAGTCGGCTTCCAGTCGCAAGTCAAGGCCTGTATCATCAGACAGTACGAGATTCTATGGGGTGACAAAGCGACCTTTCTGATTAAGCAGGGTTCTACTTTGGTTCAGGCTCTTATTTCTGGTTCGCTCTTCTATAACGCCCCTAACAACTCTTCTGGTCTCTTCATCAAGGGTGGTGCTCTCTTCTTATCTCTTCTGTTCAATGCTCTTCTCGCCATGTCTGAGGTCACCGATTCCTTCTCGGGTCGTCCTATTTTGGCCAAGCACAAGTCCTTCGCCTTCTACAACCCCGCTGCCTTCTGTATCGCTCAAGTTGCTTGCGATCTGCCAATACTCGTCTTCCAGATCAGTGTCTTCTCCGTCGTCTTGTACTTTATGGTTGGCCTGAAGGTGACTGCTGCTGCCTTCTTCACCTATTGGTTCGTCATCTATCTCTCGACTTTGGTCATGACCGCACTCTTCAGAGCCATTGGTGCTGCCTTCCCAACTTTCGATGCTGCCTCCAAGGTCTCCGGTTTCATGATCAGTGCTCTCATCACGTACATCGGTTACCAGATTCCCAAGCCTGAGATGCACCCCTGGTTCGTATGGATCTACTGGATCAACCCAATGTCTTACGGTTTTGAGTCTCTCCTTGGCAACGAGTTCAAGGGTCGTATAATTCCTTGTGTCAACAACAACCTCGTTCCTAATGGTCCTGGCTACGCTGATGCTGCCTTCCAAGCCTGTGCTGGTGTTCGTGGTGCTCTTCCTGGTGCCACCGAGGTCACTGGTGAGCAGTACCTGGACAGTCTGTCTTACAGCTCGTCTCACATCTGGCGCAACGTCGGTATTCTGTTTGCCTGGTGGTTCCTCTATGTCGGCATGACTATCTTCTTTACTCTCCGATGGAACGAGAACGGAAACTCTAGTGGCTACCTGTTGGTCCCTCGCGAGAAGGCTCACCTGACCAGGGGTCTTATGAACAAGGCCAACAGCGATGAGGAGAACCCTGCCGAGAAGTCCCAAACTTCCATCTCAAGCGCCGACACTCAAGTCCCCACAGGCGACAACGAAAAGCCCAAGTCCGAGTCGGACAACAACGACCAACTTGTTCGTAACACCAGTATCTTCACCTGGAGAAACCTTACCTACACTGTCAAGACACCATCGGGTGACAGAGTTCTTCTCGACAATATCCATGGCTACGTCAAGCCCGGTATGCTCGGTGCGCTGATGGGCAGTTCGGGTGCTGGAAAGACTACTCTGCTCGATGTCCTTGCTCAGCGTAAGACTGATGGTACTATCAAGGGTGAGATCCTCGTTGACGGCCGTCCTCTCTCGGTTTCGTTCCAACGTTCTGCTGGTTACTGTGAGCAACTCGATGTGCACGAGCCTTTGACCACTGTCAGGGAGGCACTTGAGTTCTCTGCTCTCCTCCGTCAGAGCCGTGATACTCCTGACTCTGAGAAGCTCGCTTATGTTGACACTATCATTGACCTGTTGGAGCTCCACGACATCGAGCACACTCTTATTGGCAAGCCTGGCGCTGGTCTCTCCATCGAACAAAGAAAGCGTGTCACTATTGGTGTCGAGCTTGTCTCAAAGCCTTCGATCTTGGTAGGTATTCTGTCACACAATTTCTGAACACGCCACTAACATGCGATAGATCTTTTGGACGAGCCCACATCTGGTCTCGATGGTCAGGCTGCTTTCAACACAGTTCGTTTCCTCCGTAAGCTGGCCGATGTCGGACAGGCTGTTCTTGTCACTATTCACCAGCCCTCCGCGCAGCTCTTCGCTGAGTTCGACACACTACTTCTTCTCACTCGCGGAGGCAAGACTGTCTACTTCGGTGACATCGGAGACGAGGCCAACACCATCAAGGAATACTTCGGTCGCTACGACGCCGCATGCCCGCCTAGCAGCAACCCTGCCGAACATATGATTGATGTCTGCTCCGGTTCTCTTTCGCAAGGCAAGGACTGGCACCAGGTCTGGTTGGACTCTCCCGAAAACAAGAAGATGCACGAAGAGCTCGATGCCATGATCCAAGATGCTGCTGGTAAGCCTCCCGGCACCAAGGATGATGGCTACGAGTTTGCCACCTCTCTCTGGACCCAGACCAAGCTTGTCAGCAACCGTATGAACGTCTCTATCTACCGTAACACCGACTACATCATGAACAAGATCATGCTTCATATCGGTACTGCTTTGTTCATGGGCTTCACTTTCTGGATGATTGGCAATGGTGTCGCTGATCTTCAGCTCAACCTCTTCGCCCTTTTCAACTACATCTTCGTTGCTCCCGGTGTCATTGCTCAACTCCAGCCTTTGTTCATCGAGCGTCGTGACGTATACGAGACTCGTGAAAAGAAGAGTAAGATGTACGACTGGAAGGCTTTCACCACAGGTCTCATTGTGTCTGAGATTCCTTACCTCGTCCTCTGTGCGACTTTCTACTTTGTCTGCTTCTACTTCACCGTCGGATTCCCTGCGAAGGCCTCGTCTGCCGGATCAGTCTACTTTGTCATGTTGGTCTACCAATTCATCTACACTGGTATTGGTCAGTTCGTCGCCGCCTACGCTCCCAACGCAGTTTTTGCTTCGCTCGTCAACCCTCTCATTATCGGTACTCTTGTCTCTTTCTGCGGTGTTCTGGTTCCCTACGCCCAGATTCAGCCTTTCTGGCGTTACTGGTGAGTCTTTCTAAGCCATCTCAATCTTGATCAACACTAACAATATATCAGGCTCTACTACCTCAACCCCTTCAACTACCTCATGGGCTCTCTCCTCGTCTTCACCTCCTTCGACCAAGAAGTTCACTGCAAGAAGTCTGAGTTTGCCATCTTCAACNCCCCTTCAGGTCAGACATGCGCATCCTACCTTGCCAACTACCTGCAAGGCATGGGTCACGCTTCCAACCTCATCAATCCTGAGGCTACCTCCGACTGCCACGTTTGCCAATACACTCGCGGCAGCGATTACCTTGCTACCCTGAACCTCAACGAGTACTACTATGGCTGGAGAGATGCTGCCATTTGTGTTATCTTTGCTCTTTCTGGCTACGCTCTTGTGTTTGGTCTCATGAAGTTGAGAACCAAGGCCTCCAAGAAGGCTGAGTAAGAAGCTCTCTGTATGTTTGTTTGTATCGTTTGCATGTCAGCGTGGCGTTAGATATAGACTGGGGTTGATATAATATCAAGATAGACTAGCATAACTTTCTTCTATACTTCTTTCATCGTGTCAAGTGTCTCACCAGTGTTTTGTCTCTCTCATGGCCACGTTGTCTACGACACAGCTATCGAAATGCACATGCGCCTATTACTGATGGATAGTCTCCACGGAGAGTCGCAACATGAAGGCCTTTCACTGGACATGGTCGATGCGTGTACTGGATTCTTGCATTTCTATAGGTGTCTATGACAAGGATAAATCCCTTCTGTAGTTGCAAAGCGACAGATTGGCCCACCATCGACGACTCGGTCTCCTTCCACTGGCGTGAGAATTTGTCTCCCGACTCGGTTCCGCCTATCGAAGTACGACTTATGTGTTGACGCACTGGTAACTATAGCTCAAGCGTCAGCTCAGGAATGTCTCGCTGGATATGATCATACTCACACGATGCGGATGGTTGGCTTGCACTTAGACTAGTCGCCATTCTCGTCCTTGACCTCCTTCTTGACCTCCTTGACACCTTCCTTCTTGACAGTGCCGTCCATCTCAAGAACAGCAAGACGGCGTTCCAGAAGCGTCTGCTGAGCCTCAAGGTCGCGGATCTTGTGGTGGGCGCCGGCAAGACTGTCGATCAAGCCAAGGTTTGTGGTGGCCTGGTTGACGTCCATGCGTAGGACGCGCACGCGCAGGTCGTCGATGCGGGCGCTCAAGCTACGGCAGAAGGGGTGGAGAGTGTTGTTGAGGATGGTGATGGGATCCATGGTGTTGTTGATTGTTTGAGGAGGGTTGGAGAGTGTGATAGTGGCTTTTGGGAGGGAAAAGGGGTTGGGTTCGCGTCGTGAGAGAAGTTGCAGTTTCGATAGAGAAATGAGCTGGCAAAATGATGTTGTGACTTTCGATGGTCGACCGTGAGTTGCTTCCCAGGCTTGATAGTGGTTACTTCTGTGGTTATGACAATGCACGATAGAGTTCAGTTAAGGACAGATGCCCAAAGAGATAGCCCAGGTCGTAAAAAATCTGTACTATTCAGTAGCCAAGATAAAATAATGTCACACGCTTCGATGTGACGGAAAACTGATGAACTTTTGCACGTGTTGGAGAAATCATGACAAGAAAGGACATAGGACAGTGAAACTGTTGTGAGAGAACTCGCATATCCATTAGTGAATTGAGTTCATGCTATCTATCACTCCTCACTGAGTGGCTTTTTGAACTCCAGGAAAGCTTCAAAGATCACTTCTGACAAGAATTCCTTCTTGTTCTCGGCATGGAAGTCAAGAAAGAAGACCAGGCTCTGTGCCTCAACGAGTCCAACGACTGACACGTTCCATGTTGTCGTACATGGCGAGGATAGTACCAGTAGAGTAGCCAAACAACTTGAAGATGATGTTGGGCGAGATTTTAGCGGCCCAGCGAGCGTTCTCATAGACCACGACAATCGAGATCTCTGTAGCCCTGGGCAAATGTCAGTTGTGTCAGTGAATGTTGAGACTCGTGGTACTCACATTTTCTCGGGAGTTCCGGTGGCCTTGATGCACAAGACTGCGTTGTTGGTGCTGATGGCCGTGTCGACGAGATCCTTCTTGCCGATTGGGTTTGGGTCGAAATCATTGCGCAGGTCATACACGATGTCGGAGACGGACCACACACAATAGGTTAGTTGACATCTCGTAGATTCTGTAATTTGGTGCGCACCCTCTCGAAGATGGCGGGATCTATCTTGGATACGTGATGCTTTGGTGATATGTGTGTGTTTGGTTGAGTCGAATTGTGTTTGGTTGTTGCAGTTGTAGATGGTTGTAAGCGAGCGAAGTCTGGTGTTGATGCGGTGATCCGAGTCGACCGCTGCCTAGACGACGACTCTGATTCGAAAACTGATCGAACTTTGACTCTCACTCATACGCTCAAGTCCCTGGAATTCAAAAGAGTCAGACACTTCGATGCACTATTGGAGAAGCATGATTCCGAGATGATCAGCTTAGGTTTATGAGACTGTGACGAGCATCCTTTCTGCCTCCTGCCACCTTCTTTCCAGTCGTTCAAATCCATGATTTCCAAGGGAATCTCCCAGAGCACCGGAGTCAGAGTAAGTGTACTGCCTTTGGCATCTGCTGCCACTTTGCGATGTAGGTGGTCTCCGCACGGCCGGGCGATGACAGTCATTCGGTCTTCGTGCGTATGCCGGGATGGTGGATCCAATACTAGAAGCTGACCTAACTTATAGTAAGTCGTAGAGCATCCTTACAAAGCTTTGGCCAATTGAGGTGTAACAGAACATCGCAAGTACAAAGACGACTATATCATGCAATCTCGCGGCACCAGGTTTTGGAATGTCTGGACAGCTCAGGCGGAGAAGACGTGCTACTGTGTTTATGCCTGTCAAACACTCGATAACAAGATACGTGTGCGAGAAGACGGTTGTGGTTTGAGTGTCATGGACCCAATGACATCCCCCATGTGCATAGCATCCACAATACCATTTCAAGAAATCACAAAGCAAGAGTGACAGCGAGACGCCAGTGTCTTTGCTAACCGGCGAAGAAGGCATCGGGGGCTATCGCGTATCGTTCCGCGAAAGAAGTCTGGGAATGTCTACTAGGGGTTATCACCAGGTCCGTGATACATTTCTTCCATTGTCACTCTTTGAATCACTCGCTTCCGCCTGAGACCATCTGTCCGAAACAGAGTTACCACTGCATATCAGGAAGTCAAATGTTGAGACTAAGGCCCATGGACCCGATGACTGTTTCCACTTCCCTCCACGATGTGCGCCGAGACGGCTAAAGCACTTGTACGATCTTCAGACAGAAGTGAGCCCAACTGCTGCCATAGAGCTTGACAGGTGTGTAGATCCTTGTCGATAGATGCGCTGAAGCGAAAAGATGGTAGATCTATGTACAAAAGTCATACACAGAAGAAGTCAAGGCAAACGACAATAAAAAACCAAGCTGTGAGCGAATCAATGCCGTCTCAACTTCTGATATGCCAAGCCACTTCTCTTCGACTTGACCACTCGGTCAGCGACGAAAAGTACAACGGCAATGACAAAAACAAGTCCAAGCAGCGACACAATACTATTCCCCACAGGCGCCATCTGAGTGATTCTACTCACCATCCCTTTCGCCCACATATCCACTATGTCCGTCTTACCAAGCACAATACCATCCTCATCTAAGGCCTCGACAACCACATACCTGATCAATTTCTTCTCCACGCCATTCGGGTGAGGGAGATCAATCTCAGTCTCAAAGCCTTCTTTCAGGATCTTCCTATGCACCTGCAAGTTATCCTCTACCATGAAACTAAGCCTCCAAGCATAAACGCCTGTAGCGCCGTTCCAGCTTACAAAGACAGAAGTCTTGTCTTTGCCAGGAACCGCAATAGGGGCATAATGCGGCAACGCCTTCCAGGGGTACTTGAGTACTGAGTATGATTGCACGTAACCTTTGCCAGGGCTGTTCATGGCTTTCTCGACAACGATGCGCGAGTCGCAAAGCAAGGTGCCGTCAGCAAGGTATTCAGTCCATGTTCCTTGCCAGCCAAACCCGAGTAGGATGTGAGGATCGGAGGCAGTAGTGAGGTTTGAGCTGACGAGTTGCAGGGATCCCTGAGAGACAGAGTCGATGTGTAAAGGATGTTCGTATGATTTGATGAGTTTCGCAGTCAGAGGTGTGTTGGTGTTGACACCTGGACTGGGATATGTCAATTCGAGGATGAGGCCTCGAGCCGGGCGTGGTGGGATGCCGTTGTCGAAGAATGTAAGCAACTGCTTGGTGATACCGTGTTTGTGCACTTTCTTTCCATGGTCGGCAATCTCCTTGGCCATCAAGGTAGGAAATGTAGTCAGAGGTGTGAAGCGAGCGAGATGTTGGTACTGCATGTTTGTCGCGTGACCGTTGCTCAGATCAGAGAAAGAATTGCGCTTTCCGCCTAGAATCCAGATGATGGCGCCAGTTTGACCACTGATGTAGGTGATTGTCGAGGTGAAGCGGGCAGAGACGAGATAGTTGCCGAGGTCATCTTTCTGAACGCTGTTGATGTGATACCAGTCATAAGGGTGATCTAAGCTGAGACCCTCTCCACCAAGAGGTGCATAAGACTCGTTGAGCTGATGATGCTCAGACGCCCTCCACTCGAAGATGAGTTTCTGGGATGCAATGTCGAATTCTTGGAACAGGCAGTCCCAGATGTAGACGGTATCCGTGATCCTGAAGACGCCAGGTTGTTTGAGCGGGTAGATTTGGTAGAAGGTGATCAGAGCAGTGCCGGCAGGAGTGATGGTCAACTCGTGAAGGTCGGCACGCAGATTGTTGACACCTCTGATGCGGGCAATCTCCTCGTACTTGTTGTTGAGGACATAGAAATAGCCTTCTCCATGTCCACCGACAGCGTCATCGCCGACCCAGTATGTCAAGACTTGTTCTCCCTTATACTCTTGAACTTTGAGGTTGTATGCCTGCCCTTTGACGTTTTGCGACCAAACGAGCTTTCCGTGGTTATCGATGATGGTGACGGCAGGGTTCGGAACGCGAAAGCCTCTTGGAGAGAGGAAGATGTAGTTGTCGTCATAGCATTGCGACGAGTCGACAGCCTTTCTCACAGCAGGAGAAGTGATGTTGGCTGATCGGTACGAGTGGAAGGGGTAGGGGCCATATTTGGTCTCCCAGGTGTTTGCGTCAGTCAGTGAACTGTAGCTGGGACCGACATCATTAGCGACAGCAAGAGCGATGAGCAGGAAGAACAGGGAGAGTGGTCCGGATATCATTGGCGCACTGTGGTACGCGTCCTATGGAAGCCGTGCGATCCGGACGTTTGGAAGCTTCAGAGTGGAGTTAAGAAGAATAAAAAGAAAAGGAGAAATAAAAGAATAAGCCTAGACGCAGCCCCTCCCCACTCATCTGGAGAGCGGAGGCCCAATTGATGGTTAAGCAACCATCGACCTCGACAGTCACAATCACAGCTTATCCCTTGCTCTTGCTCTTTGATATCGTATGTTTCTACTTCGACGTCGCCTTCTCTCTATCACCCTCCCTCCGCACACGATCACGCATAATGCTTGTGTGTGTCGCCACTACCGGAGGCTGACCACAGTAGCGGCCCTACTAGAGAACAGCTCGACTCTTAGAACATAGATGGCTACCTGCTTGTTCCCGTGTTTTATATTAAGTATCACTGACCTGATGATCCTCGTCGCACGCCATGTGGATTTATCTTTGACTATCCCTACATCGATCCCAGCACACGCAAAGGTAGTCTTTCCGCGGCCCTGAACTTGACGACATTGGACACTGTGTAAAGGGAGTGTTCAAGAAGCAAAAGGAGACTCATTAGTCAAACAAAGAATTTGATAAAGGACTGACGTTCAATGTTCATTTAGGCGAGATATCTTTAGGCCCAGGCACGAATGATGCTCACCCTTGCCATACACGTAACGTATCTCTTTGTAAGCGAAGGCAGTAGCGACACTGTGTTGTATGGAACTCGATCTGGAATAATTCCTCCGAAGCCTGGAATTCTTCACAACGCATATCTTGCCATCAGGCGATACATGGGAAGATAACAGGAGATGAGAGCCGACAAAAAGACTTCGAGACGCCTTACGGTACTCAGCCTAGAGACATCATGCCCATTGGATACTAGAGAGCGAGTAGGATCATCAGGTCAGTGATTCTGTCTGCTCCATTTTCAGTTTCCATAACTTCTGTAACTTGCAAAGTCGTAGTAGAGAGCTGAGTCATCTGGTGGTCTGTTACCACTGACCTATTGATAAACATTCTTGAAGTTTCTTGCTCACGCGACTCACAAAGATCAAGGGCTCAATGCGCTTATGAAAGATCGCTGTTCGGCACTAGTCTCTCTATGATCAAAGAGATTGATAGTTCCAAGGCACTTAAACCTCCCTGAGGTTTGTTCTAGCAGCAATGTTTTTGCTTTGCAGGATTGGATCAAAAACCAAGATTGATGATTGATCGACATGGCATGCACTCCTGCATCAAGTCTTGGAACCACACTCTGCGGCACAGAAACGAGCAGATCTCCATTCCTATACAATCTACACGAAGACTATAGCGTACACATTATATCTTCACACAGCGACCTATGCATGCAGACGTCTGTCGATCTCCCAATGACGATTTATACTCTAGCGCATTTCCGACTGACCGAGAACGCTTTTAGAAGGGCCAGGATGGCTAGTATATCGCCCGAACGCAAGCCACTCGAGAATGACTGCAAGCTCCAGTCCCACCACACCCTTTCGAAGAGGGCGTGGCGTGAAAATCACAAGAAGACGCAGATGCTCTAACTGTTTGTAAGCGCATAAACTAGAGCGAGCAGGCCAATGATACCACTGCCTGTCCCTACAACTCCTTTCTGCCATCACATCTACGATAACGAATCGGGTTTCAATCCGCCTTGTCCTGGTCTATGGGATATGCAACGAGATCGTTGTTCTATTGACCTGGTCGACTACTCCGCATCGCTCAGCAAAGTCGAGGGCCAACGATCCTCGTATTCAGGTCTTGGTCCCTTTCAAGTCACGCCATAGCAGCATCCATGATGAATCGCCGCGGCATAGATTGAAAGCAATGTTGCGGACGTATGTTGACGAAGGTCTTTTCAGAACCCAGGGGTATCGAGGGCAGTATTGACCTTGACATGGTTTGGACAAAGACATCAAAGAAGACGCCATGAAACTGAGATCTTTGTTTCTTTTTTGAAATTGGCGTAACAAAGAGAGCGACCGCACAAAACTGAGAGGAAGCAAGACAGTTTGGCGATGATGGTTTGAAGAGCCTTTGAATGTATGAGATTATACAGATTTGATCTTGATACAGATAATAGTACATATATATACAACGTTCGAGATTGAGTCCTCGAAACTGCAGGGAAAAACAGGATTGAGCCGACAGGTCTACTTGTTCAGTGTCGCCTGCATCGCCTGCATCTCTTCATGTAGCCGTTGCCACTCCATCATAGCTTTCTTCTCCTTGATCTCGAGTTCCCGCTCCCTTCTCTTCTGTTTCTCCCTTTTTTCTGATTCTTCCTTTATTCTTTGGTCCTCTAGCACTCGCGCCTCGAGTCTCTGCTTTCTTTGCTGATCTCTCAACTCGAGCATTTCTCTGGCTTGTTGCTCCGCTTTTGCCTTTACTTCCACGTTCTTTTCCTTTTCTGGCGACTGTTGCTCTTCTCCTGCCTTCTCCGCTTGCTGTTCCGCTATCGCGTCTACCATGGCTCTTGCCTCTGCCCTCATTTTGAGCTCGTGCTCTGTTTGTTTTTTCTCCTTCAACATCTCCTTCTCCTTCTTGAAACTTTCCATCTGGAACTTAAGCTTTGTCATTCCCTGTTCGAGCCTATCCCTATGCTCTCTGAGCTTCATCCTCTCGGCATAAAACTTTGTCTTCTGCTCTTTCTCCAATGACTCTTTCTGCTTTGCGAGCGCTTGTTTCTCCTTTTCGAGAAGCTGCCTCTCCATCTCATACTTTTGCTTTTGTTCTTCCTCTTTTGCTTCTTCTCTCTTTGCTCTTTCTCCATCTGCTCTTGCTTTTCCTGTTCAGCCTCTTTCAGCATGTTGTCCTTGTGCTTCTGAATGACCTCCTGCACAATGATATGGCGTTTCTTATTGACCTTTATTTCCACAGCCTCGGCAAGCAATAATTCGAGAGTAGCAGATTTGTCATAGCCTTGCTGCTTCCAGAGCAGGTCTCTATTGATGGCCCCGCGCAAAGCAGTCAAGAAGGGAAGGTCGGGGACAAATCTTTCGCGAGCGAGCAGGTCGGCAGCAAGGGCAGGGTGGAGGCCATGCCTATTGACAATTGGTGAGTCGGCGCTCGAAGGCGATTCGGCGATTGGAGATGGTGTGGCTGCCTTGAGTGTTGCGAAACAGTCGGGTACCGATGTTATTGGTCTCCGCACACCTTCCAACCCCTTTTCAATACCAACGGCGACGATAGCAGCAAAGGATTTGAAGCGTTCGTGTCGACTGACATTGCTCTGCACGGTATGACCAACGTTCAGAGTCTGCTCATTGATGGGCTTTTCAGGGTCTCTTTTACCATGCAAAGAAACCATAAGCGTCTTTTGCATTTTCCGAAGAAGGTCGCGTGAAACGTTGCCGTGAAGACATGCATATGTCCAAAGTATTCGCAGTGTATTGTACGCACGCACTCTGAAAGCGAGTTGACCAAGTCTATCAAAGGTATGACGGCATGAGCCAGGATGCAGTTCTATCGTGTCTCTGAGGGTGTTTTCCAGAGCGCTGAGTGCAAATGTTAGATCACGGTATGAGACTGCGGCATCGACGAGAATATTCGTGGTGACGATGTTAGGTTGCTTGTTTCGGCTCTTCAGCTCATTGACCAGGGCCAAGGTATCTTCCAGATTGCCATCTTCAATGAGTGCAGGAAGGATTTGATTGCAGGCACGTGTGTCCAACCATTCCTTGCCTTTCCAGAGTTTGTCGTAGTGAGCGATAAAGTCAAAGATGGATTCTCCCCTACGCAGCCATTCTGAAGCATCTGTTCGTGACGTCGCGTTTGCGGTGGACATCTTTGCCACTGGAGATGACAGCATTTGTCGTTGTCGCATTGTGGTAATGATGTGTTTAGCATTCCTTGGACTGACTTTTTGGACCAAGTGCAGCAGAGAAGACCATGTTTCAGTGTTGGGGGCGACACCACGGTCTGTCATCATGCGAAGGAGGAAATTGTAAGTATGCAAATCCAAGGCTTGAGATGCCGAGTTCAGAAGTACATTGAAGGTAGCTGGGTTGGACAGTGCCATGCGCAGATAAGGATATGTCTTGGATTGAGCGTCGATCAGCTCGAGGACGCGACGGACTTGCGGAATCTTCGCGTGCGACCTAAGGTAATTCAAAGTTTGGGTTGTGGCGTGCATGGAAGCCCAGCGGATAGAGTCCGGGTTCGTGTAAAGGGCCATTAACCTGTCAGTGACGAGATCGATATGTGGCTTGTTTCTTGGGGAGTTTTCGGGGCCAAAGGGTCGAAGAGGAGGTGGAGTGGAGATGATCAGCTCGGCGACGTAGGCAGCAAAGCTTTGAAATGACCAGGCAGGCGGCTCGAGCACGTATGATAGCTGTTTTGCTGCTGTATGTGGCATGCTCCAGACGGAGCGGGGCATTACCCTGTCCATGACGACAGGCGTAGCGGTAGTGGTGTAACTCCCCATAGTGCCTTTGGCGTTCAGATTATCATCGCTCTCGACCTGGACGGCCTCGTTTAGGATACTCCTGGCCATGTTAATATTCGTCAGGGTGCCTGACATCTCCAGGGCCGAAAATTTGTCGTCTGCATGGTTGTCGCCACGCGAGACCTGAACGTGGCATCCAGTGTGCAGGTAAATATCCAGAAAGAGATTGTAGAGGTTGCCAGTGTAGAAGCCTCGCATGCCTTGCGGCATCTCCAGTCGTGCGAGGTGTTTAACATGGTGTTCTTCGCCCTCAGGGGTATGCTTGCGAAGCAGCATCAAAGGGGTGCGCCAGTCATTGGCGTAGAAGCTCTTTTCGCGCAGCTCTTTGCGCTTTGTTTCTTCCAGTTTCCGCACCTGGATCTTGCGCTTCAGCGATTGAGGCACGCGTCTGGGTTTGACGGTCCCATCGTCCTGCGCTCCATTGGATCGAACATTCGGCGAATCCGGTAGTGTATCTCCTAGCTCATTCTGCGTCGTCTTTTCTTGATCCTCGAGTGCAGGTAAATCTTTCGGTGTATCTGATGCAGTGGCTTCGACAGTAGCACTCTCGACCGAGTACCAGCGAGGGTGTAGAAATGGCAGTGGCTCGTGTGGCGGAAAGAGTCGCGGCCATTTGAGGCGAGTGATACGTGGCGGCATTCGCTCCTTCCTTGGATGTCAGTAAATAATCGTTTGCTTTGCTCGCCGTTTCCACATGCTTTCGGAGGTCTTGATCTCCGCAATCGCTGCTGCCGAAGTTTCGCCGGTCGAGCACCTCGATCGCGACTTCCAACCACAACAGAAAGACTTACAAACATTAATCAGAAATTGAATCGAATCAGTCAAAGAACGTCGGCTTACCTCAGACCATATTGGACAGTCGTTTTGATTCCGCCGAACCGTCACGATGGATCCTAACNCCCGACACACCCACCCCCAACCCTCTCCAGGCCTCTTCCGCTACGTCCTCGGTTTCCTCCTCGTGGGCGCAGCATGGGGCCTCACAACGCNNTCCTTCATGCGCCGCGCCGCGGTCGCCTCTTCTGCCTCTCAAACACCCGAATCTCGTGCCTGGCTTGGCCATCCCAATACCCCTTGGCTCAAAGCAAAGGTCTGGGGTGTGCTTTATGGCGTTTGGGACGTGCTCAGGAATCCTGCTTATGCGATTCCGTTTCTGATCAATGTGACGGGAAGTGTGTGGTTTTTCTTGTTGATTGGGCAGGCTGGTGAGTTAGCTCTTGAAGCTTATGTTCTTTGCGATTGAGGCGTGGTTCAATACTGATGTTGAACCAAACAACAGNAACTCAGTCTTACTGTCCCCATAACGAATTCTCTGGCCTTCCTTTTTACCGTCTTGGGTGAGTGGTGGGCGGAGAAGAAGGTCATCACGAAAGGTATGATTTCTGTTCCATATTTCCTCATAAGGACGACTTCCTGACCTTCTTATCGCANNAAAGACACTTGGATAGGCATGGCACTTGTGCTTGGCGGCATCGGCCTCTGTGTGCATTCCAAAAACACTTGAGATTTCTGACGTAGCATGGAGAACATTCGCCTTACCAATACAGTATCGCTTTCATTTTACAGATATAAAACTCAGCTTCATGCTGTACCTTCTATCTCTTCGTCGCTCTACACCTCTCTTCATCTACCAATTTCTTACATCTTTAGGACCTTTTTGGCTGTTCGAAGAGTCAGTTGGTATAGGCAAATAGAATCCAGATCTTGGGTGCCTCCCGCAGCTTCAACAACTCCAAGATACTGGCCACAAGAACGTTTTGCGCATCTTCCGATCCATATTGTGGTTTGCTCCCTCAACCACACGTCCCTCGGCCACCAGATCATTGCCCCCAGCCGCCGCCAAGAATCTCGAAAGCAGCAGCCCTTTGTTCACAGTCTTTGGGATAGCCTGATCATCTCCTGCCATCAAGATAAGGATATTCTTTGCATTGTCTCGCAAGCCTGCAAACAGTTTCCTCAACTCTTCGTCACTCTGAAAACTTCTCTGCTGGCCCACTAGGACCTGAGATGGCTTTAAGATACACTGGCATGCATACCTTTGAACGCTTGGATAGTCCTATTGTCTTCGTATGGCGAGGGTGGGAAGTCACTTTCTACAGCATCGATCTGGTTTGTCGCTATCGACTGGGAGGAGATCGGATTAGGCGTGCGAAGGATGAAGGATTGCAAGTGCGTCCGGTTGTTCACCAAGAGTCAGGCGTGTACAGAGTTGAATGCCTTGAAAAGAACTGCATCTGTGTTATAGCGATTGTGCCTGCTACACAAGAGACAAGATGATTACGAACCCCTGCATATGATTCATTTTACAAGCGTTGTTGTCCAACATAGCAGCCGGCTTCCAGTAGCATTTTCCCTGACACGAAGTCTAAGGTGTGGATCCGCCGATAACTCTTTTTGATTGTACCTAATGGGGCTCTACAGTCTGTCCTGAACAGCAAGCTCTAATGCCAAGTGCTGAAGCTAGCCGTATACTTGATAGTCCTGAGTGGGTCACGTGCTAACCAAATCAAGTCACTGACAAGATCGCTAAGTAAACTTAACCTCCTTGACTCTTCTTCACCCGCGTTCCTAACTTTATCTTGCTATACTCTATCATCTACCGTATCGAACAGTTTCCTTAGTATATCTCGACTGTCAGCTCTCACAACAGTCAAAATTGCCCAGTAAGTGGCGCTGACGCTAACATGCAGGCTGCAGTCGACTCGCATGGTCCAGGGTGTGTCCGCATTCGAGGGAGGAGCCGTAGGCGGATTTCTGTCTTGGTAGCACTCGCGATACGCTACAATCCTAGTCTTAAATAGGGGCATGCATGCGCTCGCTGCCCACCAGATGGCAAGTACCCTGTACATACATGCACATCCAGATAACTCAGCCGCTGCGCGGAGTCTGGTCACACATCATCAGTGTACTATGGCGAGTCCCACTTCTTCGCCCTTGTGCAAAAAGCTTTGTGAGATAACTTCTGCCAATCATCTCGAGCACAGCCGTCGACAATCCAAGAGCAGTACCATCGGCCTTGTTCTAAGGGACCTTTGGGGTCAACTTGATTGACGTTATGGTTGCGGGTTCTGCATCAGCCTTGGTCGTGCGAGACTAGGGATTAGCCATCCAAGCCATCGAGGCTGTGGCTGCGCACTCAGGCCCCTCCCTGCTGCTAACATTCGAAAGAGAGGCAAGACCTGCAAACCCCATAAAGTGTTCACTGGTTACCTCTTTGCGATCGACGACTTCTTGTCAGACGCCATGGAGCGCGATGCTAGCCAAGAGAATCTGATCCGCACTCGCAGCGAGCAACTAGAACCATACTCGCCATCTCTCTCGAGGTCTATGATCCCGATCTCTCGCCCGTCGGAATCGCAATGGCTGGCACAATCATCTCTAACTGCAACAGAGGATGAGCATGCTGCCACATACTACGAAGAGAATGTTGACGAAGCAGACAACGACGAAGGTCAAATCTCAAGCAAATGCACACGAGTGCAAGGTGACGAGTCTTATAAAGATTCAGGTGTAGAGCAATTTGAGGTATCAACAACGCCTACTCGTTACAATAGTTCGTGTTCTGTATCATCGCAAAACAGACGCGCGAACGTGACTTGGTTGGGGCGACTTCATGACTGTGAGTTATACTGGACGCGGTTACAACATTAAGATTAACAGACGACCAGTTTTTACGCCAAAACTTTGCGGATCTCACAGTCCCTTCCATCGAGGACGTCGAAGCCCTTTGTTCATTACCATCGTGGTCCTCGCTATGTATACGACAGTGTTCTCCGGACTTTTCCTTGTCATCGGTCTAATTGCACCACAGTATACTTGGATTCGCAAAGGAGGTTCTGTCTCCCCATATCAGGCAGGACTCTTGACTGCCTTCTTTGCCAAGACGATTGAGATATCATTTGCGACAGTATTTGTGGCTTTTATTGGACAAATAGTGTCTCGCAGAGCTCTGGATGTATGTCCAAGACAACATCGGACTGAGAGCGGTATCACTCTTGCCGAGATTGATCTACGAGCCTGGGTTGTGCAGCCAGGGACAATGCTTACCCATTTCTCCTCGTTCAGATCCTCCGTTCTATCACCTCTGGGAGCTTTCTCATTGGTTGCTGCCATCTCGGCTCTGCTTTACACTACAGCATCCGACGCGCTGGGTGAGTTTTTGTCGAGCAAGTCAAACCCTCTAATTGTTGTGCCCTGCTGAAACTTCCCTTGAAAGNTACAGCCTAACCTTCGAACAATAACAAAGTACATCCATACGCAAGGCTTGGTGCAGAGCACATTTGCCAATCAGGTGTATCTGCAACGAGGGTGTAAATCGCTTTGGGGCCAAGAAGAAGGGTTGTCGTGCTTGTTACTCCAATACGCTGCCAGAGGGTTCTCTGATTTCTCCAATTTCTATACCGCATGGGGTGGGCTGGGCCTCAACGGCATTGGGTCTGGTGATCTTGCTCATCGACCTGAAGCAGCTTCTCTGCTTTACACAAACACGACCATTGCAGGCTCCTGGGTTGAGATCGTTGATGTGGGTCTCAACTATGAGAGGTTTGGCAGGATCATCAACAACATCACACTCGCCATGCCTCATGCTGACGTACCAGCTGCCGCCCACAACGAGAAGAACGAGATCATACAACCCCAGGTACGATTTATTGGATGTTTCATAACTCGTTCAAGTTTTGATGATGTGCACNAGAGTCAAGACAAGCAAGCTGGCTACAAGCTCCAAGCATCCGTTCCGTCTCCTGCTGTCAATGTAATGTGTGTAAACATGAATGCAACGGAATTAGCACCCATCGTGTATACAGCGTGGGGCAACACTCTCAACACTACCTCCTGGTCCACGGGAGCTGCGGTAGATTGGTATGTACCCGGAACCTATCTCAACAAGACAGTGGTCGACGACATATTCCACTGGGGAGCAGATTACGACGTTTCACCTCCGGTGTTTGCGACTTATCCTGCCAATCATAGTACGCTTCTCAATCAGACCGGGATTTATGGCCGCGAGGCGCTCTATCTCTTGGGCAAGGGATCTACTGACGAATATGCCTTGTGTTCTATTCAAGCTTTCCTGACGCCCTTTTGCTTCACCAGCTATACCGTTTCGTCAGATAATGCAAGTCTTCGGTCAAATTGTTCTGGTCCCAAAACTGAAGATCCTCACGATATGCGATATATAAATAGCTTAATCAACGCAACGTCGGGAAACGACACTATCAGCCACGACTGGCCCTATCTGTTGACATCTTGGTCCGACAGTCTTTCGCTCAACGAAGGCTTGTACGGAAGCGTTTCCAACAATGCACAGATCCTCACTCAACTGATACTGCAAGACGCAGCGCTGAGCCCGAACATGCCCAGTATGGCTGAAGGAATCGCAGTAATGGCTGGCAGCGCTCTACTCATGGCTTCTGAAGCATCGCCTCTTGTGCAATTTTGGAACTACACGACCCGCACATTGTCTCCAGGGCAATACCAATACTTCAATGCCACTCTCGAGACGCAAATGTACGCATCTGGAGGCAACGGGGAAACCGGCACTCACGCTTTCTTCATCGTACTGGTGACGGTGTTTGTGGTCAATATCATCTGCCTGGTCTACTTTGTCCGCGGTGACGGACTGGTCACTGATTTTACAGAGACATTGAACTTGTTCTCGCTGTCTATCAACAGTCCGGCCTCCGACTTCATGGCAGGAAGTTGTGCCACCGGTCCTTCGAGCAAACATTTTGGTCCCGAGTGGGTCATCAAGGCCAGCGGAGAGCATGTGTATCTAATCAGTAAGGAAGATTTGGACCCCGAGACAGAGTCTGGCACCCCGGGTAGCATTGATAGGAGTATGTTGTCCCGCCTTAAGGGTATGATCGGACGATAGACAATTATCACGCCAGATGGTTCTAGAAGCACGTCAGAGACTAGACAGCAGAGGATGTTGATGCAAATGTGTTGTTGACGTCAGAAGAATCATGTATATGCTATCGCTTTCGATCTTCGTATGTATCTCGGTTTGGGCGAATGAATTTTGCTGCATTGCTGTATCTACAAGTGCCGTAATCTGGTTATACAGTAATCATGACGGAGGCATTCTTGTACCAGCTCAAAAGCGGATTTTCTCCATTTCTCGTTTGGGTGTCCTCGACATAAGCCCATCGCTTGAAAAAGTCTTCGTGCTTCATGACGCGAGTGAGTTTGCCTGTGATGGCGCGGTAGATGGCTTCGTTGACTGCAAAGTCTGTAGGGAAGAGGATATCGAAGAAACCTTGGTGGACCTGTGGAGAGCTAGTGTTAGTTCGCTTGGGTCAGAGAGAGAGAGATCTAAGAAGGGTACATACCAGTGGAGTGGTGACAGGAACCATGCGACGTTGATAGCGTGTCTGGACCACAGGTGCATTTACACCATCCACAGCATCAGGAAGCGCGTGGAAATCCGACGTGACCAGTTTATGCGCCGGGAAGTATTTGTGCAAAATATCGAAAAAGTGCATCAATCTCGTAGGGATATACTCTGGCGTACTCAGATTGGGAGCAAAGGGTAATTTACTCCTCAATTTTCTGAGCATGGCGGGGNNGGAGTTGCGTAGGGGATGTGCGTAGTTGATGTCGTTACAGGCGGCATCTCTGACACGCAGGAAGCGAGAAGCTACTGGGTCTATGTCTTTTGAGTAGAATTCGTAAAAGTCGCCGTTTGCATCGATGAGGGCGGAGCCTTGGAGTGGTTCCTCGGTGAAGGGGTCGTATCTTATGACATCGTGGGCGAAGTTGTCAAAGACTTCCATGGCTAGGAAGAAACAAGGAGAAGCTTCGTAGATGTCCCAGTCGAAGATGGACTTGTTGATGATAGACACCTTGTCCGCGTGACCCTTTGCTTGAGCGTTTCTCATCAACTGACTTCCTTGGATAGAGGCCAAAGCAGATGAAACTTCGATAACGCGGAAACGTGTGCGAGCGTAGACTTCAGGATCTGTTTGGCGGATGTAGTCGAGGATGTTCATCATGAGAGTTCCGTTTCCGGCACCCATCTCGTAGATGAGGAGGTCGTGATAAGGGTATAATTGCAATTTGTAGTTTGCAACCAAGTGACGGGCAATGGCTTCACCGTAGTATGGGCGAAAGAGTTCGGTGGGAGTATGCCATAATTGACGAGTCTCGTTGTAATCTTTTGCGTCCAGCTGATCCTCGAAGTCGTTATAGCGTTGGCCGTATTCGCGGTAGAATGATTGCTCATCAGGAAGTTGATTGAAGTCAAAGGGTTCGCCGGGAGTCCAGATGACGACGTGTTTCGAGAAGTAGCCGTATTGTGGGTTGTATAAGCTGTCCTCGATGAAGTCACGCATCAGCATGCGCACTCTCCTCGGTCGTTCCCTCCTCGCGCGTAGGCCATCCGAGGTGACTTGTGGATATCTCTTGAACTCTTCTAGCTTGTCCGGAGGAAACGAGATGCTGCGTTGCTGCCAATTGCTCTCAAGCTTGCTATCTTCCTTGCGACGTCCTTGGTAGTTTGGACTGGTGTGTTGCTTCTGGGAGCTGTACAGTCGACGGGGCGCTTGCCGGACTTGGCGCGACAGACATGTTCGGCAGGGGCGATGCTGGAAAAGCTGCTTGAACAGCTGCGACACGGCAGCTGACTCCATTGCGGATTTACAAGAGGCAGGAGCGATGATGTTCATCTCAAATGTAAGTCGCAAGCTTGCGGGAAACTCAACATGTGGCTGTGCGAGCCTGTGGCTGGAGCTGTGGCTGCTCCTTCCCGATACTGACGCATGCGACTTCCTGAACTTCTTTGAACAAATCCACTGTCGCATGTGACAATGAAGCAATGTCGCTCGACAAGCACACGAAACTCTACCTGGGTCTGGCATTCGCCACCGGCATCCTCATAACACTAGGATACAAGGACTTCTACCCGGACCTCGAACGCCGCTACCACGATCGCCTACGGAAGAATCGCACACGCCGCCGCTCCAGTACTCAAGTCTCGCTGGAAGTCAATGAACTTCAAGATGACTCGCCAGCCGCTCCTCAGCCCGCGACTGCTATCCGGGAAGGTATCGAAGGCGCAATTGGCAACACTCCCTTGATCCGCATCAAGTCTCTGTCCGATGCCACAGGTTGTGACATTCTGGCCAAAGCAGAGTTTCTCAATGCCGCCGGCAACTCGCCCAAGGATCGCGTCGCTCTGTCCATGATCCAGATGGCCGAAGCTGAAGGCTTCTTGACTCCCAACTCCGGCGACAAGGTCTACGAGGGCACTGTTGGCAGCACTGGCATCTCACTCGCTGCTATCTGCCGTGCAAGAGGTTATACTGCACACATCTGCATGCCTGACGACGTAGCCATCGAGAAGTCCGACCTGCTGCTCCGACTCGGTGCTGTCGTGGAACGAGTTCGTCCCGCCTCGATTGTCGACAAGGGCCAATTCGTCAACATGGCTCGCGCTCGTGCTCAACAACACACTTCTGATCCCAATCAGAAAGGCCGTGGCTTCTTTGCCGATCAATTTGAGAACCCTGCAAACTACTTGGCTCATCTGCACGGAACAGGTCGTGAGATCTTCGAACAGACTGGTGGCCATCTGGATGCTTTTGTCGCTGGTGCAGGCACCGGAGGCACCATCTCTGGCTGCGCTCTTTACCTCAAGCCCCGCCTACCGAAGATGAAGGTCGTTTTGGCAGATCCCCAAGGCAGTGGTCTCTACAACAGAGTCAAGCACGGCGTCATGTTCTCACCTACAGAAAGAGAGGGCACTCGTCGCCGTCACCAAGTCGACAGCATTGTAGAAGGCATCGGTGTCAATCGTGTCACTCACAACTTCGAGGCCGGCAGAGAGCTCGTCGACGACGCTATCAGAGTTACCGATGATCAGGCTATGATGATGGCTCGCTGGTTGGTCGAGCGTGACGGCCTGTTTGTGGGAAGTTCTTCGGCTGTCAATTGTGTTGCTGCCGTCAAAACTGCCTTGGAGCTGGGTGCTGGGCATCGCGTCGTCACTATCCTGTGCGACTCTGGTACGAGACATTTGTCCAAGTTCTGGGCCAAGGCTGGCACCGTCGGTGGGGACGACGAGGTGACCATGGACAGCATTCTGAATCCTCCAACATCGATCTCATGATGCTAGAATGTATTACTCGGCTCCCAAACGCGTCTTGATCCGAGCTTCCGAGCTCGATTACTAGAGCAGGCTCTCATGCCAGTCGGCGACTTGCGCCTGTAGCTAATCTGATTCGGGTGATGTCAGGCGCCAAGACGATGTGAGCAAGTCCGCGGTCAGTATTGTAGTCAGTGACTCACCAAGTATCAGCGCCCATCATAAACCGACTCAAGTCCAACCCGCTTACCAATCGTCTAATTCCAATCCTGCTGTTCCAAAATTTCACCTCCTGCATGCCTTCTCGATCTGGATGCTGGCCGCCCTGGCCTGCAGGAACTCGAGAAGTCATCAGACATGGTCATCTGCACCAATATGATCTTCGAGTCTCGACTTAGATACCTTCTCGACGTTTTCCGCATCGACGACGACCAAGAGGTCCGAAGTCTGTGTGAAGCAGCCACGCAATCAATCCTCGAGATGGTCAGAGATGTTCCTGTTCAGCGCAAGTACCACAGAGGCCTACACTCGTCCGAATTTGACGATGCTTCGCGCGCGAGATTGCGCCAGATCTTCGAATTGGTGAGCTATATACCAATTTCCAGATTGCGGACGAATCCCTGTTGGAAGGAGTCATCAAGACTTATTCCGACACTACGCCGGGGTTACGTTGGGAAGAGTTTCTGAGTGTATTTTCTGTTTTCGAGCGATTGGATCCTGTCAGTGCTTGTTTGCTTCGAGCCTCCAGAGCCAAGCCCGACGAATAATGCACTGCAAGAAACCATGGTATTGTCTGGAAATAGGATATATAGCCTGAAACTTATCCTTCCATCACTCCATCAAACATTGAAATATGACTCACCCTTTTGTCCATTTGTCTAGTTTCACGCGCAAGGTTATCCGGATCTCTACCAGATCGAGCCGCCCACACGCTACCTGAAAGCTTGAGCAAAGCGTAGCTCAAGAAGATACGCATGTTTGCGGGTTGCACTCTGTCAGTACAAAACCCATCGCAAAACTGACAGCATGAAACCTTCTTCCTGCTCTAACGAGACGCGCTCAAAGCCCTGTTAGCCAGTGTAACGCTGCAAACTCTGTATCCCAATTCAACTTTTAACCAACAATGTCTCCTTCATACACTACTCAGGCTCATACCACTGGAAGAATTTGCAAACATAGGCAGTTTTACTTGTCAGCTTCTTGTCTGTCTAGCCCTAGTACGAGTTCCCAATGTGAAGGTGCTCTAATTTGGATTCGAAGTCTTGCTTTCATCAGTGATATTAATACCATCAAGTTGAATGTCATCTCAAACAAGCCCAGCTTCTTCGCTGTGAACGAAGTGTATACAAATTTCTTGTTCTAGTTATTTTTCTTGAGTCCCCCAGATCATTCGATCTCACATTAGCTTCATGATTGATGATTGGCAGATCTAGTCGATTGGCAGACCTAGTTTTGCATTGTGTTATTTCCAGTCAAGACTTTGGGGTAACGAGACTTATTCCATTTTCTGCTTTCTGCCACATCGAAACCCACTGCCACTGATGCATCAACATGGATGAACTTGATGAATGCAGAGTATCCGAGCTTTTGACAAAAGCGACAGACGAATTGAGAAAGAAAAAGGAAAAAGGAAAAAGAGAAATCCATGGTGAGCAGGGTAACCCTGACTCGCTGTCTTCGCCTACGTCGTTTTGAGACTCCATCGGCATCCATATGACCTTTGGTCATGGAGGCTTAACAGAGTGAAAGTTACTGACTGTGTTTGCGTCTTTAACAGCAACTTTGGCTTTGCTTTTCTATCAAAGCTCCATTTGTGCAACTATACCAGGGTACCAACTTGGTTGCTGCTTCTGCAATCAAGGTTTGAAACATTGAGTCTCTATTATCAAGATACAAATCAAGCCAATGTAATATATGAGAGGTAGTCGGGAACACAGCAAAGACATGTTTGCTCCAGAAGTTAGCAAGAAAAGTTAAAAGAGAGTTTGGACATTGGGCCACGGTATCGCCAATGTTCTATGGGCGTCTGAGGTATAAACCATGTATGTGCCTTATATCATCGAAGAACAAAGTGAGTCGAGACGTTGTCCCTCAACACGAGGCCTCAGACCCTGAAGACATGGTGCTCGCTCATTTTCATAAGACCAGTAGGTATAACGGCACCCATCTCAACCTCATGTTTTCTCTGTTTTTTCTTTTTTTCCCTTTTTTCCTTGTTTTCTCTCCGGGTAACATGATATATCGCGATAGAAAGCAGCAACGTGCACAAGCATGTGACGGCAGCCTGGGGAGACTCGTGATGAGGGTTCGGAGGGTCGCTGCAGAAAACCTGAGAGCACGGCACATAAATTGTTTGTTGCTGCAACCATTCCAGCGAGTGATGTTCGTTGACCCGGAGTGGATAACATCTTGCCAATCACATCCACGGGTTTAGGAGCCTGTAAAAACTCGGGCTATGGCAAATGTCGTTATGTCAAGTCAAACACGCAACATGTGAATGTTGGCTAAATTGCTGCCTGTAGAGCTGGGAGGCAGTGAGTGAGTGAAAGCACATTTTCGAGACTCACATTCGATGCGCATGAGAGACCATATTGTGAAACACAATTGACCTCTTTATCATCTATGCACGGTGGTACTGTGGGCAATGAGAATGTACAACAGTTGCCAGGAGGGAGAGGCAATCACGAGAAGCAGTATCTCCATGGCTTACCCCCTGGTATTGCGAGTATTATTGTGTATCGGGAATGATGTGACAATCTGTATCGCATGGAGAAGATGGACAGGCAGCCTGGCTGCCTCGGCCGAAGCATCATACAGAGAAGATGTGCAGATCGTGGAGCACTCCAGACGTCTAGTCATGGTGACACCCTCACCTTTAGGCTGTGCGAAGAGGGTTGGTAGAATGACCATAGTAACGTTGTGATCGTCAGAGTCCTCGGTGTCCCCGACCCCCGTGGTCATACGCCCGTATAAGCCATGTCGATCTTTCGTCGATTGGCATACTGCCCAGCTTCGGCGGTGTTACGGTGTTCGAACAAGAGGGTTGAACTCTGGACGAAGCAAGTACGAGAACCAAGGGCCCGAGGACGTGCCTGCAGATCTGATGTTCCCAGGGCACGTGGTGTTGAACATAGCTCTGCTGTACCAAATCTAGATGTCCATAAATTCAGGGCAAGAGCGGGAGCATGACAAGTGGACTGCAGGTGGAGAGCAAACGGTCGATAGGGCTGAACTGGGGATAGCTAAGTGTACACACTGAAGATATGGAACTCGGCTCTTCATCTTTCCGATGACGAGATGGCCTGAAAGTCGTCTGTCGAACCCAGAGTGTTGTCCGGATGACAAAGCGCACGCAGAGAAGGATGGTGCAACATTCTGACGAAGAAGAAGCTTCAATACGAGAAATGGACGAGAAAAAGAGTTTGATTGCCCATTGACCGTTGAGCAAGATGTCAGAGTCGCGTGTAGAAGGTAAAAGTCTTGACTCGAGCAGGGTTTGAAACGGCAAGAAGATCGGAAAACGTGTCAATCACAAAGCGAAAAGTACAACGGCTTCTTGGTTACAAAATTCAACCAAGTGGTTGGACCGAGATTAAACATGGAGGTGGAAATGCGAGGCCGGGCAAGAGAAAGACATGTCGGATGTCTTCACTGGCAGTGACGGCAAGCGTGAGAAAGTGAAGGGTTGTGGATGGTTGGAAGAATGGATGGTGGAGGGCAGGAGGCTTCGGAAAACGGAAGCCGGCGTTTGAAAGAGCCGCTTGCTGTTGCCAACGGTCGTGACTGCCTTTCTGGAAGGGACAAGGAAGTGAAGAAGCATTAAGAATATCCAGATTGTTGCTGCTGCATTTCCACCTACTCTCCAACGAACATCCATCGTCTCTTCCAACATTGATGAACATCAGAATCTCCAACACCCCGGGGACGCTCCCAGTGAGATGCGTGCCAAGGACTCGAAGTCGGTTTCTGGAGACAACCGTGCGCTCGCTCGGTCCACATGCGGGAGACGGTTAGACTTGTACCAGCGTGCGACTAGCAGGGACCACAAGAGATGGAATTGGGAAAACCCACGGCTATCATGCCGGCCGTGGAGAGGGTACTTGGTAGATAGATGATTGGACTGGTCGTCGCTCTCGTCGTCCTTGTCTTCTGTTGACACCCCTTCGACGCTGGTCGACCCGACGATCCTACGGACTTGATCAAAACTTTGTGGCGCCGCTGATGCGAAACATCGGACATTGTACGTTTGTACCAACGCGCACCTGAAACGCAGACCTTGGACCTTTGTTCTCGTTGTTGTGCCTGCGAGTCTGAATCTCTCGTTCGTGTCTGCGCAGCATGACGGCACTTGTTGGCTCTTTCTCTGCACACATTGCTGCGCCTGCATCTGCAGCAGCACCAGGTCCAGCCATGGGCTACTCGTACGCCAACTCAATCGCCAGCGACGCTCCATCCCTTGCTTCGGCAGCCACCTTTACCACGACTCCCCCTGCAGTCGCCAACGTCAAGCCCGCCCCCGAGTACATCTCGCTGTCCAGCGCCTCCCAGCTGGCCACCGACGTTGCTGACGCTCGCGCCGACGAGGACCACTCATGGCGCCTTCATCACAGAGCCACAGTAGCCGAGAGCGCCGTTGCTTCCATTAACCAATTCCTCGATCGTCAGCTCTACGAGTACATTGCCGTCGCCAGAACCACCGCCCTCAACGCTCTGAAGCCTGCCGTTACAGAAGTCCTCAGGAAGAACCTTGCAAGAGATGCAATTGCCAGCGCCCAAGACAACCTCGAAGACCTCCTCGCTCTGCAGGCTGACGATGAGTTCGACGAGTCCCGCCCTTCGAGCCAGAGCGGCGCCAGATTCAACCTCGACTTCACATGGAAGAGATCGCGTCTCAGAGTCATGATGCGCTCAGAAAAGAGCGAGTTTGACATTGACGACGATGAGCGCTACGTGCGCCAGGAAGGCCTCAACACAACCTTTTCAGAAACTGCCGGAGTCATCACTCTGGCATCCGAGATCTTCTTGGCCGGCGTGCTTGACTATCTGGGCGAGATGCTGCTCACCATGGCATCTCAAGTCACCCTCAGTCGCATCCAGCGCGCGAACGCCAATCCGAGCCTGCCCGAAAACAGCGACGAAGTCACGCACATCCTTGTCGACGATGCTGACCTGGAGCGAGCCGTGCTCAACTCTCCTCTGGATCGTCAGTGGCGTGCATGGAAGAAGTCGGTTCGCATGCTCAACCGTGCCTCTCAACAGAGCCATTCTGTAGCGAGCAGTCCGGTTGTTGTTCGCAGAGGCAGCTTGTGGGACCGCGTTCCCGATCGACCCGAGAACAACTACCCCGAGCATGTACTTGCTTCCAACATTCCATTGCCCGAGAACCAGCGCGATGTCGATGAGATTGAAGTCCCTGGTCTCGCCAAGGACCCCGATCGGCCACAGTCTGCCCAGCAACCTCACTATGCGCCTCGAGCTTACCGCCCACAGAGTGCTGGCTTCGCCGCCCACCGCCAATACCAATTCGACAACTTCGCCAAATCCCGCCCAGTCTCAGGCCCGCTGCCTATGACTACTCCACTTGTCGAAGCTCCTGGAGCTTGGCCTACCGACACCCCTGCCGTAGAGATCGTTGATCCCACTTCACAATTTGCCGAAGGCCAAGCTGGAGAGGGACTGCCCAGCGTAAACGTCGACAACTCGGAAAGACCGGAGTCGAGAGACAGTGCTCACACCGGAAAAGCCTCCATCTCGTCTCAGCCCACAAGTCTTGACGAGACTCTCCCCGCCATGAAGGTGGTACAGCGACCTAAGAGACTCGCTATCTACGGCCCTTCATCAGCCAGATTCACACAAGCATTTAACCTTTCACAAGAGGGCCTAGAACTCGCAGCAGATCTGGATCGCCCCTTTAGTCCCGAAGATTTCTTGGCAAGTCGCAATTTGAGTGGTTCTCATTCGGGCTTGACTNCAACATCGAGTCACAGCAAGCCCCAAGCGCTCGGATCTCCCGCTGAGCTCTCTGCCGAGACCTTTATGCATTCAGACAGCGGCAGTGACGCAGAGAATGATTCCGAACCCGTCAATCATACAGCTCTTAGTTCTCCTATTATCGCTACCAGTCCATCGGTCAGACAGTTCCCTGGTCTGGGGATTTCACGATCTGGTTCAGACGCCTCTTCAGGACGTGCAAGAACTCCCATATCTGAACAACGTGTCTCAGCCGAATTTGTAAAGACCAGGAGGGCTTCCAAGTTGGCAGACTCAGACTCGCCTAGCCCCGGCAACCGCGGCGTTCGTCAGATCTCAAGGCAGAGCGTCGACGAAAGGAAGAAGCTTCCCACTTCATCGCTGACTTCGGAGAAAGACTTTGATGCTCTTCTGCAGAGAGACGAAACGATCAAGTACACTTTGACTCCGGAAAATGTCAGAGATTCATCTGATAGGGCGTTCAGCCCGCAAACAAGAGCCAGAAAGCCAACAGTCTTTCGCTCGAACACCGGAGAGAACTCCAGGNAAAACAGTGATACACATTCAATGCGGTCCAGCAGTGCAACTCGATCGACCGCAGCCGTCAATCAAATCAAGGAGCCAAAGCCAGTCGAGGAGACCAGATCCAGAAAGACTTCCATCAGTCGTCCTTCGCCTCAAAACCTGCATGCTCTGCCTTCAGGCCAGATGGCTCGCGAAGCAGTCATGCAGACTGAGTCGACACGAGATCTTGCGGACTTCTTTCGATCGACTGCTCCAGACAGAGAACCCAACCCAATTGTACCTGGTCTCGCCACTAGCCGCAGCGTGACTTCTATGCGCGCCACAGCTCAGGCGCAAGCTGCAAGTGCGAGAGATGCTCCACCTGTGCCCAAGCCAACAACTTCTAATGGCAAATACATCCCAAGAAGCCCTGCGGGGCTACCTCCGAAACGTTCAGCCAATCGACCAAGCTTGACTGCTAGAGCAGCGACTGGATCATCCGATAATAATAGTGATCTGATTGACTTCATCAGAGGTGGACCACCTGGCCCTGATGGAAAAGCTCGTGTCCCGACACACATTGCGCCTTTTGCAGACTGGGATGGTGGAGACGTTCAAACAACAATCACTGGCGCTCAGAACTCGAATGTCAACAGGCCTCTGACATCATCCACATCCGACTCACGCACAGGACTGTTGATGAATGGTACTTCTAACATCAACTACGGCAGCGGCAGTACACCCAAGCTACCCATGTCGCCCTTGACTCAACCTAGCTCTCCTGCGATGAACTTCGTGATACCGAACACACGTCCCACAGTCGGTAGTGATGGCCGTACACGAAGTAGAATCAAGGACCCGTACGCCATCCCTGACGATTCGGATGACGACGAAGAAGATGTGCTTGCTGCATTGCCAGCAACCAACAGCAACAGTAACACTGTCGCAAGTGCTGAGAAGCCTCGTACCGGCTCCATCACCAGCATGCACTCTTCGGCCGGACGCTCTCCCGCGATGGGCAACGGCAACACACCTACCTTGTCGCCTAATCCTGGCTATGCTCCCAGCATCAACAGCATGCGCTCAGCGACATCTACTACCGCAGTCCGCCCCGCCCACATCACTTCTCAGATCTCCAGTGGCAATGTACCTCGCAGCAACAGAGCGAAGATGGAAGTGCGCTCGGCTGGCGTTGTCAGGACTGCCAGGCTCGATCCCTTCCAATCCTCCGGCACCAGTGATCTCGCTGACTTCCTCATGTCATCAGGACCTCCTGAACCCGTTCAGAGATCTGCTCCGGCACCTGCTGTTGGTAAGAATGGCAAGCCGGAGAAAGCCGAGAAGAAGAAGAGTAAATTCTGGCAGCGTTCTTCCTCTTCCAAGAACACCTACGTTGACATGCCTTGATCAATCTCTCTTCTTTTTGTTCTCTTTTCGCATTTCGTTTTTATCTTGGCTCGTTTGTACATATTGGTTCATAACCAAGTCATTTCATTGCGAGTCCATTCGGTGGCAAACAGTACGCAAGTCGAACAAGCGCATTGCTTCCAGGTTGACGATCTTTCAGCAAAGCTTGTTCGCGCTCTTCCAGATGGGCAGGACATATGACAGGATTCCAACAAAGTTCTCAGGATCAAACAGATGGACTGGAAAGGCTTTATGTGGATCTGATTCTTTTCTCTTTTGCATTATAGGCGCGGATGGATACCCCTTTTGTTTTTAGTTGTACAGTAGACAACGATATGTGCTTTTGATGACTCAGTCTGCTCTTCACCTTCTCTCCCGTCATTCGTCTGTTGTTATAAGTAAGGTCAATTGACGGTGTCACAGCTATCTGCATTGTAAACACTTTGCTTACTCTGCTACGGTCTGGGTGGTTAGATGTTTGATCGACATCGGGATTGATCACTGAGTACGAAATCATTTATGATAGGGAATGCCATATCTCACTTGCTTGGAATCATATAGCGAGACACGCGCTTGTATCACACAGGAGTACATACACAGGGTGAGTGACTGCTAGAGACTGATATCCAAGACTTGCATATTTCTTCGTCTCGAGATGTGCAATGGAGCGTCTATACGTGAAGGATCAGGATTCTGCCTTGTACCACTTGGCCTCAATCATCTTTCTGAATATACTCCCCACCATCGTGCCTGAAAATACAGGATTTGACTGGGCGAAACTCCGTAACCTGCACCATCGCCGCTTCCAAGTAAAGCAGCAAAAGATGGGGATCAATGTCATCAGGGACCGTAGGTCATCAGGTCAGTGATTCTTGTCCAGAGGCCTACCATCATTGCAGCAATATCTTAGCATAACTTTGAGAGCGATCTTTTCTCTGGAGGATCATTGACCTCATGACCTGCTTTGTCTGCTTAGAGGGATTATGGTGAGAGTGCTGTCGTTGCTGGGCTAAGGATTGGCTAGCATATATGTCTGTCCGAATTCTTGCTCACATTCTTGAGAAACGATATATTCGATTCTATCTGTGTTAGATACTCTCAGTGCTAAGAGTGTTCTACTGGATGACAGTGAGACATCGGTTGATATGATGGTTCACCGGATCTAAATTTACTCGACATCAAGATCGAAAGTTTCGAGGATCGATGTCTGGCTCATTCGACCCGTTCTCTAGCTGTCGATATAGAAGTTCCGGATACCGCAGGCCACCTCTACTCGAAGATCTGGGAACAAGTGTCCTGGATTCACCCATCGCCTTGCACAATGAGTTTGGAGTAGAGTTCTGCTATAGATATGCCTGTAGAAAAGGTCTTCCGTACCAGATACTTACTATCAACAAATGTGGTTTGTGTTCTTGGTAGAACCTGTTTGACTTGAAATGGCTCGTGTAGCCATTTTTATAAGGCGAAGCGAGTCGTATCAACTTTGATTTCACTTGAGACGAGCTAGAAGCTCGCTGACAAGAGATGGCCTAGATGCGAATTGACTTTATCGGCTGAGAGAGATCGAACGTAGGTCAGGAGGTCTGTGACCCTTGCAAGCGTCCAGTATCTCTCACATATCTTTAAAGGATACAATTGGGAATCTCAAGGTTGCCGCAGGGTCACAGACCCGATTAGTTTCATCTTGTTCATTGTGCGGTAGAGTATTGAGGAGTTGGACTTGCTCGGAAGATTCGAATTTCTGTTGAGACCATGATTAAGCCATTCATACTTTTCATCTCGTCTTTGGGTTTCTGCGAATCATCTTGCTTGAGGTCGACTGCCAATTTACTCTCAAAGTCTTCCTTGAGTTCGTCGATGCCATCCTACTTACCTACCAGCCTTTTCATGGAGGTAGTTGCTTTGTTTCTTGCCTACATCCAGTCAGTCGGCGCTAGTCCGGGAATGTCCCAGAGCATCTCCTTACGTAGTAGTCGCAAGCAGCTGAGTAGAGACTTGCAAGCCAATTATCATTTATCTTTTGGTGGGTAGAATCACGAGGGATGGTATATTTGGACATTATGTTATATTTCATAGCAGGGTACTTGCTCATCACTGTGGCTTTCCATGGGTCTATCTCTAAGAGATAACAGACTAGTCGCGTGTTGGTATTGGTGGCATCTGTTGTGTAAGTGTAACGTGTAGATATCACTCATGTATTAAGGCATCTTTGTTGGAAGCTAGATACGATGAGCATACACGATGTATCAGAGCCGTGATCTAGTTATTACTCGCAACAAACATGCGTTGTCACGGATGCTTTTAGCTACCTCGGTCTTCCCGCTCAACTACCATGGCTTGTTGACACATCACGTTCCATTTATGAAGAGGATTCTCATCAGGTAGAAGTAACAGTAAGCAGGGGAATGTATATCACTAGGTCTGTGACCCTTGTAGAGGTCTAGCACCTCTGATCCCTGTATAGAGAATACAATAGGGAGTTTTGAAGTGCGTTGAGTATCACAGACCTGAACGTTTCCCTTTCACCCTCTCATTCTTTGGGCAATAGAAAATCTAGAGACTACAAGTAAAAGGAGCTCACGAAATGTTCTGGTATGCTCCGGATCTACCCGATCGTCGTCGGGTTGATCTATTGTCGCGAGGCCTGATCAGAAGCTACCCATGCTAGATATAAGCAGCGCATAGTCGCCTTGAGCGGTCGAGCAGAGATCTTCGATATCAAATCGATGCATGGTTTTCGGGGCAGCGAAGACAACGGTGTGTAGCGGTGCAGTCAGTAGTGATGAGATCTACTTTTTGGCCATGATGATTTCCCGTTATGAATCGCTGTGATGATGTGCAGGTTATACGTGTCGAGTTGCATTCGTCTTTTGCCCATGATTTCTTGCTTAAATTGTTGGAACCACAGAGCACTGGTGATGGATCTACCTTTGAGTTCCTATCATTATACGTGTGGAACGAGCCAGTAGCATCGGCTGCGTTCAAGTCGCCAGATCTGACTCAACGAAATCGTTCTCGTCCGAGATCCATCATGAAGGAGTCGGACGACACTTTGTTCAAGAACTTGGACGCGGGAAGGTGGCTGAATGACGTAGACATGCGCGCCGCTCAAAGTACAGCACCGCACGTCTACGACGTCCGCGTACGAGCAGGTCTTCAGACACCGTGAGTTGCCAGGTCAGTGTTGCAGCTCCATTATCTCAAGGATATCTGAGTACAACAAATCGATGTTAGAGAAGGTGTCACTCTCAAGGAGTCACAGACCTGTTAACCTTGCTTCCTCTTGGACCTGGCTTACCTATGTCATCGTGAGTAAATAATGCTATACAAGCCCCATCCTCAGAATCTCCTGGGTATCGGTGTGGAGGACGAGGGCATATCTCTGCTAGATTGACATACGAGGTATATTGATTGATCTTGATAGGTATTGAGCCCTTGGAGCCCAGAAATCTGAAACAAATGCATGGCTAAGTTGCATATTTGAGATATAGTTTATAGGAGAAGATACGATGGACATCTTCTCATGCATTCGCTTCCTTACTGCCTATGGATCAAGACATCGTCCAATCCTTCCTCGAGATCAAGCCTCCTCATCCTTCTTCCTCCACGCTCCATCCCTACTCAGCGGCGGCGAAACATCCTCACTCGTAGCATCCTGTCCCGGGTTCGCGATCTCATACTCCAAGATCTTGATAAACTTGTAGAACACCACTGCAATGAGAGCACCCAGTGCAGGTCCCAACCAATAGACCCAATGCTCATTATCCCACACTCCAGTAACAGCACAAGGACCGAAGCTTCTTGCGGGATTGAGAGAACCGCCAGTATAGAAGACACCGACCAACTCAGCAATGAAGAGGGAAAGACCGATGCCGACTGGAGCCATGTAGGTAGCACGATGCTTCTCCTTTGCGAGCATGAAGATCGTAAAGACAAGTTCAGCAGTGAGAATTGCTTCGATAAAGACACCGCGGGCTTTGCTGGTGTCTGCACTCAACGTCGTCCTAACATTGAGTGGCGTAGGAAAAAGCGCTCTGACCAGCACACTCGCCAGAAGACTGCCAGAAATCTGTGCTAGGAAAAGCAGACTGCCACGAACATAATCCAGAGACTTTACCATGACCATGGCGAGGGTGACTGCAGGATTGAACAGACCGCCAGAAATACGGAAGAAGATCCAGACGTTCACCATAAGAGAGAAGCCAAAGGAGACAGCAGTGTAAAGAAGGACAAGAGGCGAGAATCCATTGGTGGCATTGGTGGTAGTAGTGGACGAAGCTCCAATATTGGCGACTTGGGTACCGGCAAAGGCGAAGAAGAGGAACATGGTCGTACCGACGAATTCGCCTATCATGGCTACGAANGTCTTCGACTTTCTGTTAGCAAACCTCGCACTCATGCCACGAGCATCGAAGATCGAAAAAGGCAACTCACGATTCTTGGCAGTCGAATTCATCCACCAAGTCAAAGGCAACCGCAAAATCTCCTCGACCGGAGTAGAGGGCCGTCCATTCCTGTAGAAAGAGCCCGGACCATTGGCACCTCTCCCGGCACTTCTTTCGCTCTCGATATCCGAAAGATTGTCAAAGCGGTAGGAGCGCTTCTTGGTATCGTAGCGTAAACTCCTGAATGAGTCTGAGGGTGCGCGACGCACTTGATGCAAAGGGCTTTCAGAATTGATAGGAATCCTCTGCACATCAGTCGGGAACGGGTCGACAGAAGCTTGTTTGGTGTTGTGGCGGGGAGTAGGCTCTAAAGCCTGTGTATCGGAGTCTTCGAGTTGGGGACCCATGTTCTCGTAGTCGTTGTAAGAGCGGCGGCTGTAGAATGCTGGACGGCTGCTCATGTCGTAGCTCTCGCTGTTGTAGCCGCGAGGAAGTGGTCCCCAGTACGATTGCGTATTTGAGTTACTCATCGAGCGTTCTCTGGGTTGAACAGTTTGTGCAGTACCAGGGCGAGGTATGACTGCTGTCGAGGGACCACCAGCGGAAGTGCCTGGACGAGATCCCGGGACCGCTGGGGAGGCGAGATGTATCTCGCTGGACCAGGAGTTTCTTGCGAAGGAGAAGTGTGGAGTAAGGGTGCATTTGCTCCATTTGGCGTGTCAGGAACATAACCCAGTTGCCTATTGGACTTCTGAGATGAAGGCGTAGTCGGAGCATAAGCGTTTTGTGACATGATGGTATCCGGATCTTTGCTGCCAATCTGACTATACGTCGAAGTACCAGATCTGACAAGACTAGGTCTGGACATCGTAGCCAACTCTGCTGTCTTTATATGGTCGCTCAAGGGTCTCTGGATAGACTTCGCCGGGCAGTCTCGGAGTGAACGAAGATTGACGTGTGGAACCCTGGCAGATGCCAATGAGGGAAGACGATACGGGACCGTAGTGGTGTGAGTGGAGTTGTAGATTCTTGAGGTGAAACAGAACGATTCGTCAGAGGCGTTCAAGCAAGCCTATATGCGTACAGAAACGCGGTCATCGCGTGTTCGCGTTGTTGATCGAGTCTTAGAAAGAGTTTGATTCGTTGTCAGGAGGAACGAGCTTGACAGGGATGCCCGAGGCAGATTGTGGTAGAAGAGTGAGCTAGCAAGGAGAAGTTGGGGAATAACGTGGCTGCACGCATGGCAGCTGTCGATACGAGTCATCCTTCCACCTGTTAACTGGTACGCCAATGCTGCCCTACATACATACCCGGATATGGCGGTTCTGAGGAGAACACTGCCCGAATCAGGTCTTGAAGAGGAGATTGAGTCAGGCGGGTAAGGCTCTTACCATGTGTTGGTGACATGTGTAGTCGGGCGCCTGAGCAAAGCCTAAGAAGTAACAACAGTCCACGGTCTATGGCTCCTCAAACGCGACGATTAGCCATATAGAGTCAAATCAGCCGAGTAGAGCACTCGTGTCGATGTCCATAATGCTTGGCTTTTCCGACCAGACCGGCTGTCGCGAAGATTCCAGCTACTGAATTCAGCAGTTTGCACCTAGGCAGCAGATCGATCGAATTCGTGAACCCTCGAGAACGTGCGGGGAGGCCTGAAACCTATATCTGTTGCTATCCCTTCCCCTGTCGTCACAGCGAAAGATATTTACGCGTGTCAGGCCGTCCATCTGCCATGTCGGACTTAGCCCCGAATTTCGTGGACCTGTACAACTTGCAGAGGTGCGCATCTCAACGAATACCACCAGATAACTTCCTCATAAGATGAATGCTTGGACGTTGCATGCAATGATGGTAAAGGCAAGGTAAGCGAAGAAGAGTGTGGTAGGTTCGAGGTTGATGTTTCAAGATGCTCCGCCCGCAGATCTCCCGGAAAGGAAGACAGGGTCTCTGACATCACTGGAATCTTTCCAAGGCCAAGAATCGCGAAATTTCCACTCCGCTCCGCCGAAAAAGCTCCGCAGCACTAGCCAACTTGTGTAAGACCTTGCAAAAAGCTTTTTGTTCATGGAACAGACGATGCTGATTCTGCAAAAGAAAATTCCGACACGGGGAATTGAACCCCGGCCTCCTCGGACCTAGTTGTGTTCAGAAGAACACGGTTTGAGAGCGAGAAATCCTAGCCACTAGACCATATCGGACGTTGATGTAAGCACTTTTGTGTCTCACATATATAATACTCAAAGAACAGTCAGCAGCAAAGCTTGTGTCAGATCCCTGCCTCCTGTCCCGGCAGTCCTCTCTCTGTACCATCTTCCATCAAGTCAATCTTATCCTTTACAGTAGATATGTTAACCATATTATAACTGTCCTCGATGTTTCAAGTGACAATAACACTGGACCGACGTGCTTTACCATTGTAGTATGTTAGTCCTCTAACACAATCCTAGCGCCTGTATTGATTCGTTCTGTGGCCGAATATTATTCAAGAGACCGATGTATTTTAGACTCATCACTGCAATCAGATTGACACCTGACTTTTAAGATGGCTACACATCACAGCATCATGCCAAACGAACTATTCGGAATCGTACGAGATTCGAGTGTGGTCAGTCCTCGGTCCAACGTACGAACATTGGAGATCGATACTCCAAAGGCATCGAAATCGAAGCTTGTAAACGGTAAAGAGTTATGCGAAAGGTAATGTCCAAGTCATGCTCTTTATGACAAGATAAATAGGCTGGCTGGCACTCACCATCATTGCAAGGTATTATGTATGCAGATATCGACCAATACAGCCTCAATAGCCAGATATCTCAGCTTCTCAGCAGTTTATGAGTGCAACGAAGAGTTCGAAGAAGCCCCCTGCATTGATGTGTGATATTTCTTGCTCTTTGATTGGTGAAGAACAAAGCAGACTGGCGTTCTCTTCGTGCCAGTGCGAAAGCAGCTCAGTCACGAAACACGCCATGCGCGAACCCAGCATAGCAGACCTTTTTGCAGACTTCGATATCATGCCTTCTCGGCTTCTGTTCCATTCAGAAAAGGCGTCTGTTTGTAGTATGACGCATCTCTTGGAATCCATCTCGAGGTGAATTTTCGACCCACTGGCAGTTTATACTGGAGTATTCTAATTCCACGCTGCTTCTTCCATGGATCTCGTGTTCAAATGCCCGCGGTCAAACCCTAAGTTAACAACTTATGGTCGATACAAACGCATTTCGGAGAGCACTGCCAGCACATCACTTACAGAAAATTCGAGCATGAAATCTACAAGGACCCGAATGGCAACATTTCCCCTCGCTGGAAGCTTCCTGGAGTGTTCACAACCATTGAGGTCATGGAGGTAGGCCACTACACGTCTCGCAAAATCAGGAGGTGTACCCTCGGGTACATGTAGGGCGAGATGCTTATGCTCGAACGATGTTCTACTGACTGCTTACTCTCGTCTGGAAGAGCTATGCTCTCAGTGAGATGTTTTGCACAAGGGCATTCTTGCCTCCCCTTGGGGGGGATGCGCAGCAGGCTGAATAGACTGGAGGCGACTGCCCCGACTCAAGTGTATCGCAGTGATGACATCGCCAACATCCTTGGTGAGTGCCCAGCACTGAGAAAAGAAGTAAAATAGGTGCCTTGATTGGCCGCGATAGTGGTAGAGAAAACAGGATTGATTGATGTCAATGTCTTATCCAGGAAGCTATCAAGCTCGTCCCTCAAGATCATGCGCAACATATCATGATAGATTGGAAAACATTGTGTTGAAATCAAGAGTGGCTTGACGGTGTACTCAGTATTGAGTGATTGAGTTGAAGGAGTTGCCCTGGTTACTACTCGAATGCCAAGACTAACCTGGGTGGTCGAAAGAGAGAACTTGTTATTGGCGCTCCGCCAACCATCACTCACTTCTCCTACTCTCACGACGCGTATCCACCATTTTATCCATCTCGCGCCACATTCAAGCTTCTGAGACTGCACACTATACTGCGAACTGTGACTTACAGACTACTTGAAGAGTCTTATGCGTTGAGACGCTCAGGTCTCTCACCGCACGTCCTTGCTTACCAGTTTCGTCTACAAACACGCAGAAAGAATTTACCCTTGTGCAATCATGGCGTAAGTACTCCAACAGCTTCGTTTTTCCATGATGTTATGCTTATACCCATGGCTAGTCCTGTGTGCAAGATGTGGCCATACTGCCGCCACTATGAATGGGTGGACGAACATGGCTCTGTGATCAGGCCTACGTTTGAGATGTTGGCATCAGCAGAGGTAGTCCTGTACCCCGAGTCCTGCAAGGAATGCGCTGCCAGAGGATACCCATATCTGGTCCAAGAGTGCGTCGACAGAAGATACCTACAGCTTGAAAAAGCATGACTGACAATCTTCACAGAGGCCTAGACTTTCCATACGAAGAGAGAGCTGCAGAGGAAATCTTTCACACTGCCACACCTGAAGAATCTCTTGATGACATCTGGCGCCAGGCAGACCGTGCTGCTTTTCTCCAGTCGCCTCTCACCATTCCCTTTCGCAAGATCAGTACCGACCAAGTCTCATACAATGCTTCATCCAACGCCCCCGGGGTGGCCAACCACACTCTCTCCAGCAACGAACATGACTCCTCTCAGCCTACCATCACCCAGCAACTCCCTAATTCTATCGTCCATTCAGGCCCTTCCTCTGTTCACCCCGTCGCCGCTCCGACTGCCACTATCAGTGTTCCTGGTACTGGTACCCTAGCTACTCCTCTGACCAGCACTCAAATCCTGTTCGCCTCTTCAGCCACCACCACCTTCTCCTCCAATTCTCTGACTCCCGCCGTTTCCAGGGATCAAGTTCCTATCATCAGTCAAGCCAAGTCCCATGGTCCCCACGGCAGCCCCAACTTGCGCCCGCTTCCGGTTGCTCAGGAGAACCTCGACCGTGCTGGTCCCGCTGTCTCCGTCAATCAGAACTCTGCCAAAAACAGCTACTACATTGCTGGCTCCAGCAAGAATGGCATCAAAAGTGGACACACGTTCCCTCTATTCTTTGACGGCAGAGGCCTGGTTTTGCCAGAGTTCGGGTTGTCCTGGAAGATACAGCCGATATGGTGACCTCACGAAGTTCAGTAGGCAAAAGCATGGCCGGGCTTACTCGGGTCCTCTACGTCAAGCCAGCAAGGTAGAGCGTGATGCGGCTATGGAGCATGACCGCCGCCTGCAAAAGGCAGGTCAGGGTGGCTTCGTTGTGGATGCCGCTGGTGTAGTCATAAGAGCCGCAGGCCGAAGATATGGATGCTCGACTTGAGCGAAACTGGTCATTGCTTGTCTCAAGTGGAGGAACAACTCATGTTATAAGGGGCAAACATTTGGAGACGGCTGGTCGCAGGCCCATGTCTGATTTGTCTACCTGGACGGCATTTCGTGGAAGTAAATTGTTCCTAGACACGGTGACGCTGCTGGCCATGTCATCCAGAACTACCACT